CGGCGGCCACCCCTCGGGCCAGTACCCTGGAGGTCATTAATGTCCAAATGGTGTCCATCGATGTCACCATTACTCACTGGATACGGTCGCCTTTCCGGAGAGCGTGCCGCCTGTATCGGATCTGCATCCTTCGTGTTAAGACCTGTCTCCGTTGGACCAGCCAAGGATGGACCAGACGTCCCGCTTCTCTTGTCCACCACGTTGGTGGATTTCTTTCGCTTACTGCGAATCATGGCATCATTTCTCCCTATGACGCATGTTCGCAAAACTTACCCTACGATTTCACCAGTTGGCGGATATGTCCCGTGCAGACCTTTTCGCGAGAATTGAGTGGGTTTCCTCTAACGGCCCTTCTATCCAGGCAGAGAGAAAGTGGCATGCATTTGCCACCCCGACCACTGTTGACGCTTGCCAGCGCGTAGCGTCTTGTGCAGGTGCTTGCCTCTGTCGTATAACGCGTCCACAGCTCCTTAGGCAAGAACTCTCTCTTGCAAAACAGGTTTTGTACTTTGCATAATGTGAATTTACGTCTGCATCAAGAAATCCAGTGGATTCTTGGAAGGAGTCATTTTCTCAAACAAAAGATGGAATTATGTTTCTTGTATTAAGCCGAGAAATAGTGCATGAAATCATACAGCTCATATATCGCCGGAAACAGTCATCTTATTGATTAAAAGTGCCTTCCGACATTCTGTGGACTAGTGAAGGCCACACAAATTGACATATATAAATGTCTGATTGTATAAGCCGATTTCGTAAGTTGTTTCGCTATTGGTCAGCATTCGCCGGGTCGTACCCCCACCCGTACCCTTTTCGATAAATGTGGCAGGATCATTAGCGTCCTCTAAATTTGTCAACAGTCAACAAGTGGCCAGGGAGCTAGGGTTCAATGTCCTTTAAAAAGGGCATCAACCTGTGCAAATTGAGTTATGGAACGTAACAGGTACATCGGGAGTTAAAACCCTGACCGTGTTACCTAGCAACGATATGATAATAATGGCGGAACCAAACAAAGCACAATGTCCAGTGTTAACTTGTAAGGCTTCCTATATTCACACAAAATATGAAATCATACTTGCATACCCATACTTGTGTAAATCACCGAAGGTATATTATCAACATTATACTTGAAAAGGATTTCGAATCTCCTATGTGCTGGAAGACTAAATAGATCTTGAATAATCTCCAAATCTGATATGATCTACAACGGGTTAAAACATCTTACCATAATTCACATTTAAGCCCAAATAAGTGCATAGTTACATGCGCAGAAGTAGAGATCTAGAGTCAGTCCGTGTTCTAAACTGTGCAACTTATATTAAATGCTGAGACCCAAGATAAAATTATGAGCAAGGGACCAAAATATAGTCATGAACAGGATAACTACGTTCGTGCGACATTTATTGTAATCATATGTTTAACTTAACGGTTGCAACAAAAATGTTAAAGTTAAAAGGCCTCAATGTAAGTGACTACAAGTGCCCATTTAAAGCACTGATGAGAGTATACATATTCAGTGACTGACAAGTGATGCATGTGATCTGAAGCTGTTATTATGAGCAACCGTGTGTCTGCGTCCTTCGTATCAATCATATCACGTACAAGGCTATTAGCTTTCTAGCCTTTCCTATAGCACCGCGGCTTCTTAAGAGGGTAAAATATCGGTTGCCTTGGAGTCTAACCTTAATCAACATAAGAAGGTCGATTTTGAACAAAGAAGGAGACCAGCATTGATCCCTCTTAACGAGGAGCATTTACTTTAATTACATGAGTCCAATGAATAGAAAAAGACTGGTCGCACAAGCAACAATTAGGTTTAGTACGATCAGTGAGCGTGAAATCTTTAGCTGTAACAAACAAGGCTCTGTTGTGTGACGTGTGTGATGTAAGTTCCTACAAGAGTTTTAATCTCTTCCGAAAGTAGGTTAATCCCGGTCGCAATTTGTTAATTATGACGGAATACTGCATTCAGCGTTCTTATTACAGTACGCAGTCTTTTGAGGGCAATCTCTTCTGGACTACTCTGTACTCTTTGTTGAAAGGCTATTACTGTAATGATGATCTCAAGCGGTTCTGCATTAAATCATTTATTAATCCATATAAACCGTGAAGTTACCAACAGGCAGTATATTGTATGCTTATCAGCTCTGATTGTGAAATACTAGCCATAAATATGACAATATGGTGATAAATCATCTTACACACTACGGCTATCCTCGCTTTAGGTTTGGTGTTTCTCTTCACACATATTGATGATTTGAATAGTATTACTAATAGCATGTCCCTTAACGATGCATGAGATGTTAAAACAGCCCCCCAAAGACGAGCTATATACCACCACATATTAGCCCAATGGTCTAACAAGTAAGCAAAATATTGAATATTGAGGCATGTATAATACTCAAATTTACCCGTACAGCTAGCGTGTATCATACATTATTGTTCTGCACCAAATGCTCTAAGTGTAAACTCTAAAAAGTAATCTGTACAACCCCATTGCAAAGGATAGAACAGACAAAGCAAACTTGGTGAGTAACTTCTTTGTGCCGTCTTAACAGAAGCCAATGTTCAATACCAGATGATCTAAGTCATATAGATACTTTGTAAATATTCTTCCCATTACAATGTGTTTTTTTTTAATTTCATTGGCAGATGTTTCCTAGTGGCCTATGTCAGCCAACTGGAACAGGTGTCATACCAAGGATCAGTGAGCTAACACCTGTTTTTCAAGGTCGCTACTCTTCTCAGTCCTTCCCATTTTGACCTTTGAAATCCTCAAACGATTTGATCAAGTTGCTGTATTTCATTTGTAGACTTTGAAGCTTATCTAGGACAACCTGGCTTCCATTTTCCTGCTTCATTTTGTCTTTGTCGCCATTGGGTGCCGTAACTAATGCGTCAACATATTCTATTGCTTGCAGTTGCCCGTCCTGACTTTGCATCAGCTGATTAGTATTTCTACAGGTGTCAAGGGCAATCGTGTTACATTCTTGGCCAGAGTCCAATGTTGGTGAAATGCTTGTTGTTGCACCTGCATCTTTTATGCTATTTTCTATATGTTTACTACTTTCAAGGCATGTCTGGCTCAGTGTATTATCTGGACCTCTAGATCTGTACTGGTCATGTGTCTCTAGTATTTCATCTGCATCGGTCTGTAGTTCTTTTGTGGTTGATAGATTTAACTTGACAGTTTCAATGTTCTTTGTTTGCTGTTGAAGATGTAGATTCCTGCTTTCCATTTCCTCCAGTTGGCTGCACAATTGCTGTACCTTCGATTCGTTTTGTTCCTTCTCCTTGACCATATTCTCCATAACTGCACTCATCTTGTCATACTTTTCCTTTAAAAGGTTGTGATCCTCTACTAGGACCTTCCAGGCCCGTTCCCTCTCTTCATGGGCCGTACCCACTGCCGTTATATCTCTTGCCTGTTTCTCGCATTGACCCCTCAGGCGAAGGTTCTCGGCGCGTACTTTGATGAGGATGTTCTTGAGCTCTGGCACTATTTGTTTCAGCTCGTCGTTTTCCAACTTTACAGCAGATGATTCATTTTGCATTTGTTGTAAATTACATACTTCTTCCGTGGCAATATCCTTGTTTTGTTTGTCTCGAATGGCCAAGTCCGAAGATGCCATGCCTAGCATGCTTGTTGTTATTACGCCCTCTTCTTTTATACTATTGTCCGGTTGCAACAGATTATCTTTATGCTGTTGTAATGACAGGTTACCGCGCAGAGGGGAATTTCTTTTCTCCTCGTTTAATCTCTTGACTTGCTCGTTTGTCTCTTCAAGACGTTTGTTTGCCTCACGTAACTGTGACTCCAAAACACCTGTGTAACCTAGCTGACCTTTCACCGTGGTCAACAAAGTGTCGACTTCCAGGAGCTTCTGCTTTACTGATGATGAGTGAACCGTCATATTGACCTGCTCTTTTCCTTTAATTTTCAGCTTGTCTTCATAGTCGTCGAGGAACGTTCTCGTTTCTTTAACTTTCTGCTCTAAATCGTTTATGTTTTTAACACGTCGTGTATGAGACTGGTCAATCGCCTCAGCTACATGCATTGAAACATGCAGTTTCTGAGTGTCTTGATGGCTCGTTTCCTTTTGTAGGTTATAACCTGTAAACTTGCGTGAGTCGGTAAGGTTTTTAATGCCTTTGGTTTGTTGCATCGCTGCTTCCATGTGTTTCATGGCTTTCTCTGATTCTTGTAATGATGTACTTGTAGTCTCTGGGTTGACATTCTGACCAAGGTCGTATGATTGAGATGGAGACGAAGCAGACTGGGCGCTCTTCGGCTTTCGACCTTGTTTTAGCTGTTCTCGAAAACTAACTGCATGGTGGGCTGCAGAAGAGTTTCCCGGCTTCTCTCTATTGTAATTGCACGTTGCTGCAGCTTTGTTGTTGGCCTGCTGCTGGTATTTTGGTATGTGGCCTGCTTTGGAAAGAGGAGCCAATGGCCGGGCTTGCTGCACTGGTCTATTTTGTAGGATGTTTGCCTCATTAATAGTTGTTGGTTGGGAATACGATCTCGTCTTATCGTCTGAATTTTCGTCACGCTTTCCATTTTCCTCAGCGTCTGTACGTGGTTCAGACGAGGTAGCCCTATTACCGCGAAACAACTCTCTACCATGTTGTAAGCGTTCCCTCAAGCGACTTATGTGATGCGTGACCTGCGGTTTACTCTCACCCACCTGTTCTTCATCCGTGGCTTCGCAAAGAGACTGCAGTGACTGTGTACGTGTCATTGCCGGTTGAGACAGACGTCTTGTGTTTTGACTATACTTGGTCTCTGTTGATGACCCAAGAGACAGGCGTCGTCCAGACATGGGAGAAAGTGACACACCTGGTACACCTGGATATGGTGGTGGTGCCGCCGGCCTAGTAACCTGGAACTCATTAGAGTGCCACCACTCCATGATTTGACTAGATGCCTGATCCACAGAGCCTATGGCAAGAGTTAGGTACTCGCATTCAAGCAAAACGTCCAGCTGAACACAGTTAGAACACAACTTGCCTGCCCCAGTTGATTCTTAGTTGAGCTCTTGTGGCGTCGCATCAAAATGGCTGTCTCCTATTATAGAGAGTTTGGCTTAGAAAATTCCTTCGGTACAAAGACTGGGAGTGTAACTTGTTGAACAGGTTCCGTGTTTTCCATAAAAGGGCATCGTATATTGTGATAGAGATTTTTAGAAGACTCTCAGATGCTATCACCTCTGTGTGGATGTGTAGTGTGGATGCAGCACATTTTCTATGGCCTCGCATTCAAGCAAAACGTCTAGCTGAACACAGTCGGATCAGCACTATATGACGGTATATATAGTGCATTATAGTATTATACACTTATAGTATATTAAACTTGAAGGGGGGGAGTCGTCCTGGGGTCAGTCGTGTTACAAATGCTACAGTTTCTAAATCTAGTACCCTGTACCAAACCATTCCAGAATACAGTAACTGTTTCTATATTTTCATAACTTTATGGCCCACACTGTAGGAAATTACTACAATGGTGAAAGAATCGCAGTGTTCCAAACCATCCAGCTGGTACAAGATAACAAGAAAAGAATCGTTGGTAGGAATCCAAACCCAGTGTTTGATCTAATCGTTTTCTTGGCGGACACCTACTGTGCTTAAATAATGGCAGATGGAAACGTTACGGACATGTAAAAGACGAAAAAGAAAACAAAGTACTTGACTACAAATGCCACCCTCGTTGTATTTGACGAGAAGCTAAGATTCCCATCGAGAAAGAATCTGAATCAGTCCACCTAGGAGTGCAATACTTACATACGGTGATTGAATCTGTATTTTCTGTACAATGACCATTCGTAACTCCCTTGTAAAGACTTATGTAAAGACCTGAAGCAACCGTGAGGTACAAAATGTATGAGGCAAGTGCATGTTCTAGGTACCGCCCTTACAAAGAGGTATGGATGAGTTCTCTTCATCGCCTTCATACGGTACTAGTCTTATTCTTGGCCGAGGACATGGTCTATCAACTACATACAGGCATATACAATTATCTTCTAGAACGCATTCATGCTTCTAGGCTTTTAAAAAACTGCAAACCATCTGTCACAGTACGAAGGATATTTAATTAAATAACTTACCCATTCTGTATGATATCAAACCAGTTATTCTTTTTGCCCTACACAACAACTGATGTTAAAGACCTGTCACTTAGACGAATACACTTCCGTGCGCGGTTGAAACAACCATAGTGTGTGCCATGTTCGTAGACCACAAACATCAACTTAATGATGTAAGGAGTAAAGAAACAGCTGGTTACACTTCCTGTGCCTTCACCACAACAATGTAGCTGGGACTGGTGCTGCATGATGCATTCAAGCAAGAAAATAGCACTCTCTCTCTGGTCTTCCAGAAAAAGCTAATAATGCAGAGAATGTAAAAGTTACCCTTATAATGTTAAAGAAGCTCTAGACATAGTTCAAAGGATAAACTTAGAAACCTACACAAAGGACAATACCACGGGAACCAACTTGATAAAAGCGTTAATCAGATATTAATATTGGATCAAAGTGTGCGCTGTATACATTACTAAGACATATTACGACTTTGCGGCTTGTTTGCACGCCAAAGCATATCCGATTACTCTATGGAGAATCTCTGAAATGCCTGTCTTCAGAAGAACAGATTGAGCCGCCGTGCGTAGAGATGCGGTGGCAAGAAGGCAAGAATGCTGCCCGCAATAACAAAGCCAACTATTCCAGAAACGCACCCCCTGCGCGAGGCTTTGTTTACGTTTTACACGGCCTGACACGCTCATCCAATTTATCAGCCATTTTTTGACCTCTTAGGTTCCCGGCATGCCAAGCGCACACGGTGACCCAAGAAGACATACAGCACTGTCCATAAGGTGTCGCTATTGTTGACAGGTACAGGACGGTGGTGTAATATCATTGTTCGCTGTTGCTCCCAAAGCTATCACATGGGATAGCTTCAGACTTAGGGCTACAACTTGCCTTGACCTTTTGCCCCTAAAGGTAGTATCTGCATATCGTCACAGGCCCAGTCTATATGCGCCAAAGTATTAACCGCTATTGCAATAAATCTATGACATAAACATTTTGATATTCACTAAATATTACTAGTGAAACACTGTGTGATTGCATGAAACGTTGAAATAATAACAGACACTCAACATGTCATAAGGCAAAGAATCAACAGACATACTGAGAGTAAGTAAGTACCTTCTTAAATTTCATAGCACTTAGATCATAGAAGAGCTGTATATCTGAAAGACAAGAATATGTCTTACCTCTGTATGTTCTCACGACTCTTCTTCTCTACTTCGCTGAGCTCCTTCTCCAGCTCTCCCTTTTCCTTCATCACCCTGTCGCACTGCTCCTTCGCGTGCCTCAGCCGAGGTGCCACCGTCTTCTCGACTTGGTCAATGGCCATCTTCAGCTTCATGTACTCTTCTTCCATCGTCTTTATCTTACTCTGAGCGTCTTCCTCTTTCGCTTTCTCTAACTCGCTTTCTTCCATCTCCGTCTTCAACTTCTGCTGTTCGTCCTTTAACTGTTCTTGCTCACTCATAAATTTGTCTCGCTCTGCTTTGCTGTTCTCTTGCTCTATTTTCATATTTTGGTTGTCCGTCAACAGTTGGTTGATTTGTACATTTCGCTCGTCCAAATCACTTTTTAACCTACCGATCTCTTCTTCCAGTTGTGCAATCTTTGAAGTGGATTCTTTGTTTTCCTTCGTAAGTGTGTCTTCCTCAATGGACCATTCGTATTTCATCCTTTTCAGCGCTTTTATTTCGTCCTCGAGCTTTGCTATTTTACTTCCAGATTCCTCTCTCTCCAGCTCAATGGCCTTTGCGAAGTTCTTTGTCTTGGCGGCCAGCTCTCTGTTTTGTTGCTGTACGGCTCGAAGCTTGTCAATGTGTATGGCCACGTTTTCTTTATTCTTCTCAATATCGTTCTTCTGAGCTGCAAGTTGGTCTTCCAGTTTCTTCTTCTCTGCAATCAATTTCTCCATCTGCCTTCTGGCCTCTCCAAGTGCAGAGTCTGAATGTGTCAAGACGTCGATCTGTTTTCTCAAGAAACTGTTTTCCTCTTCCAGGATTTTCATCCTGTCCATATGTGCGGCAAGCTTGTTGTTTAAACCTCTCAGGGCAAAGGCTGGCTTTACCAAGTCAACGTCGATATCGTCTTCTGGCTGTGGTGACCCGTCGAACACCCCGTCTTCTCCTGTGATGATTTCATCAATCATTTCTCCATCAGCGGTTGTTTTCGTGCGGGACCTACTCTTGCTTCGACTTCGTCTTTTCTCATAAGCCGAAGACCCTGCCGACAGTCCTTCTCCAAACACCCTCCCCGTGCCCGCAAAATTCCCACCAAACCCTTTATCAGCAAAACTGCTTGCCTTGTCGAAGAATTTCGTGTAACTGTAGGTTCGCTCCCTCGCCCCGTCCCCGTATGTGGGAGAGCCGCCGTACCCATTGTGATAAGCCCTCGGCGGAGACTGAGACTGCGCCCGGTAGCTTTTCGTCCCCGCTCGGGGTGTACCCTTACTCCTAAACGAGGAATATGTCCGCCTTGACCGTCTTTGGTAGGATGAAGACTCCTCGGACCTTAGCCTGGAACGGCTGGACTGCGAACTCTCGTACTGTTCATAGTACTGCATGATGTCGTCCCCGGCACCCTATCGCTCCACAGTTGGCCAACGGTCCACTGCAGCACAACTGAAAGGAAAAGCGGCATGAGGCGAGGGTCTCTTAGCATGAGAAAACACATGTGGGGCTTCCGACACATTCACAATTCAGCCTTGTTGGCGGTCGATGATGTCAGACTACATAGAAAAACAGAACAGAGACTCTGGGATGTAGGGCAGCTAAAGGTCCCAAATTGGATGGTTCAGGTAGTAATTTTGTGATTACCTGAGGCCTGATGGCAGTGGTAGATTTCTCTATTGCTCTCAGGTTTTGTACAGGCTTTTGTGAATTGTCGTCACCAAAGAAGTAATGATGGATATCTCGGCCCTTTGTAAGAGGGGCGGGTCACCATTTTCTGACCTTAAGTCGCATACTGTTAAACCTGACAGTGTCCTTAACTGTACCCTCATGCTAAACCACGCGGAGCCGTGCTGTATAGCATTCCTGCTGTTGAAATCATAAGGTGTTATACCCTGGGATAATACCAACGTCCTTGATTTAGGAGATGATTAAAAGATCTAATATTTCCATTCCGAAACGTCAACCTAATGGATATGATAGGTTACTATATATCGGTGTATTAGCGTCACAATTCAGCTAAATAATCACAGTTTACTATATTACGACCTAGGAAGTCCCATTTACCATTACTATTAGGCAGACATTATGTGGCTCTAATTTCAGGTTCAATTTCGCAGAACAATAGAGTTAATGGAAAGGGTAAATAGAAAATAATGAGGAGTCTGCAATAAAACCAAAACACTTACCCTCGTAAGTCCATGTCATATCCATCAATGCAAATATATTTATCTATCTTATCTACATTATTCATTATCTGCTTGGTTACACGTTTTAGGGTAAGTACGCCAAAGCTATTTATATGTATGTCATGTCTAAGATGTAAATTGTTAAGACAGAATCCATGATAAATGGGGACGACTCACGGAAAGTAATGTACAGATCTGTTACGCACGTCAGCCCTTTGTGTCCTACACGTTGTTTTCAAACTGTAGCCTTCTATAGATCGGTATTCGTCCTTTGCTGAGGGCTTTGTCACTGCTGGACTCGTTTACTGTAAATAACCCGACATAGTTTAACGTGAGGCCTGCTGAATGTCAGAGGTTGACTTCTCCTAAAGAAGGTTATATAACAGACGTGCTATAATGTTTGTATTACACAATCTTTAGGAGATAATAATCTGTAGGAGATAATAAGAGACAAATTCTCTCTCTCTTTCTCTCTCTTTCTCTTTCTTTCTGTTTCTCTCTCTTTCTCTTTCCCTCTCTCTCTGTCTCTCTCTCTCTCTCTCTCTCTCTCTCTGTCTCTTGTACTTTCGAATTACTTTCCAAGTTCCAGGTACTGATTAGTAATCGTCCCTTCTTAGAAACCCTAGGATTTCTAATTACTCCTTTCATCTTTCATCATGCGTTAAGTGCCCCTTACCAATTGCATACCATCTGTATCTACAGTTGGTATCACTGCCCTTCGGCAAAAGATACGACCCATCTACTGTGCATATATAGATATGAGTTGTTCGTCTGTATTGTGTTAAAACGCGCGAGCTGACTTCTCCATCATAAGAAGAAACCTAAGAAAGACACGACCCTACAAGGTCCTAGAACACGACCTACTGTCCGTGACAGTATTTATCGCCAATGAAAAAGTCCTGCTACACACTTTACCGGCGTGCATCACTGATCAGTCGTAAAGAAAGTAAACATTATATTCTATACACGTATGAACATACTACAACAATAATGGCCTGAAATCTGAATCTTTTAAACTTTAAAGTCTAGGTAGATTCTAGTCTTTTCATGTTAACCTCTGACATCTTCATGTTACAGTCTATGCTGACTGGATACTAATTGGTCTCTTTATCTGATATTCAGTCAAGCGTAGAACCATAATTCTTCATGGCGTTACTGAGATTTCGAGCCAAGTAACTTTGCCCTTTTTCTCCCCTATACAAATACCCCGTATCTTAGAGTTAGTAGAAACAGCTATCTTCTTTGAGGTCCTTGACACAGCTGCGGACATATTGAGAGTGCCATTGAGCTGCAAGCCATGTCCTTGATAGGACAAAATTTATGCATATGTACGATGGATGATTAAAGAATAGCTTGTACATGTAAGCAGCTTGAAAACCAATCATAATGTATACATTGATGATTAATGCATAGTGAATAAAAAGAGTATTATATACATGTCATTCAGATTTTTGATAAAAAAAGGATAGCTTCTGATTTGCACTCTAGTCCTTTGTATAATATAACAGGTACGTCGATGAAGGTTAGACATCCAGGTAATACGATATGCCAAAAAGCAGTTACTCAAGCAACTGGATATGATTTCCAAAATGAGTAACTGCTTTTTGGCATAATATAACAGGGGGTAAACCTGGGAGACTGGCACCACGTTATTTTATTCAAATTATTCAAATGCTTAAGTTATTAGCGTATCATTTCCTTATGCTAAAGGTCAGTGTGGCGGACACTTAGTGTATCTTACAGAACATCCAAGGATTTCAATTATGTGTATTAACTGTTACCAAAAGCATTTAAGTATAGAGATCTTATCAGTGATATAACAGTTTCACACGAACGTCTTGGGTTGTACCAAAAATTGAGTACAGTAGGGGTCGGAGAGTTCTTCCCATCGACGTACCTCAAGTACAAGGGAATGACAACATATATCATATTTCATCCTTATTTATGATATATTTATGATCATGTATTATATACACTCGTGTAGCTCACATTGTTTGAGTGATTGTTATCTATTTGATGTATAAACAAGTCTTTGGACAATGTTGCCTTCAGCTGTATCGACACGGATCGAGGGTGAAAATGCTTTACATGTTTACATGTTTTTTTTGCATATGCGAGTAATAACGTTCATATATCAGTCACATATACCTATTGTATACCAATTGGTATTCCCGCCGATTTCGATATTCACTGTTTGTTTTTATGATGATGAATCTATCAATGAGGGGACAATGGTGACATGCCCCGATACTCTATCGTACACATTCCTCATAACGTGTGGCCAAGGAAGTCTGAACCTTGATACCAATAACAGCGTTCAGAATTTACCCACTCACAACCATCATTACCTCGTTATTCAATGGTTGCCCTGTCAGAGTCCTGTAAACGTTTATATGTTTATGTCAGTACCCCCCACCCCACCTTTACTCGAATGACCTCGACATTCGGTCGACCTCCCACCCGGTAAACTTTCCCCGCCACGGATGCATTTCAATGTGGACATGGTCCGTGGACGTTAGAGTGTAACTTCTATTGAGCGTGACTTCTAGAATCTATACACTAGAGGGGCGTGTGTCCTCCGGATCTTTCGTACTGTGCCTTTCATTGCCTGTATGAACCTCTTAGCGCATGGTTGACACAGATGAAAGAGACTCAGATTTAACCTAACGTATACCTACGGTTGGGCTATACACACACGTATATGAGACACTTACCTTCCTAATATCTTCAGCTACATGTCAGGACATGGTAAGCTTGCCTCTTGTAGGCGTGAAGGTCTGTGAAAATGGATACGTGACCAGATATGGGCTTGGCAAGGGCTCGCCCACAGTAAGCCAGTTTGACCTCTGGTTCGGTAAGTGTCCGCCCGCAGGGTACTAGTGATGGAACACGGAATCTCAGGCGGCCCCATGCGTGCCGCTACCTGGCTAGCGATGTTTACATGCAGGTGTGCCAAACAACAACAAAAACAAGACACTTTCACCGTGACGGTGAATACATCTCTGCGGGGGGTGAGTGTTAACGTTGGGTTATTACGACAACAAAAACTTTTATTTTCAAACACATTATCTGTTTATCTGGCAAAGTCATTCGGCTGAATGCCTATGACAATTGTCAATACCCCACAGTTAGCCAAATTCTAATGTAATGAGATTTCTAATGAAGCAAACACAAAGATAGCAATAATATTTCGTGTTAACAATATCATCAATAATGGAGAAAATGCTGAAGTGTCAAACCAGTCTAACTATCCAACAGATTTTTTTTCATTTGGCATTTACAGTTCGTTTACCATCGAGCTAAACTGTCAAATGTAGGTACACGCCTACTATATATCCACTACACTGCGGGTCTTGTAAGTTCACAGTAGTGGATAAAGATTACACTATTTACAGTTTAACTATTAAGGCTGTCAATCTTCAGCTCAAGTACTGGATATACTTCTAATCTAATTATAGCTTTACCTTTTGCACAGCACTGCCTCTGAGATGTTGCAAACGCTGGTCAGGTCGTCGCTTTGTGAACGTGACCAAGTCCGCTTTGGCCTACAGTTTTATGTGGATGTCCAGTGTGAACTATCTATTGGACAATGCCGCTGGGCATCGCCTTCATGCTGCGACCTCTTAACGTACACTCACCTCACGTGTGAACTTGGATACAGGCCAGCAGACCCGTCCTCGTGACGTCACAACTGTCACCAAGTAACAAAAACGTCTTTCATCACTTACAAGGTCACGTGGTGCAAAAGGTCAGGTCTTCCCTATGTACGGTTGATTGGTATGGTGATGAAACGTATGTCCTCGGGAAGAAACAGTCGTTTGTATTCGTACCGCGAAGATGACTTTTATAAAATGTCAGTTTGTCATGGGTGAAGTTTACTATAGACGTATTACTGTGACTAGGACATGCTGAATGATAGATTACTTTTCATGACATCTTGGATTATATACACAGCCTTAGAAGTGCGTTTTTGTTTCTGATACGGGTCTTTTTGTTTCTGATACGGGTTGTTTTGTTCTGATACGTGTCTGTTTCTGATACGCGTCTTTTCGATTCTGATACGGGTCTTTGTTTCTGATACGAATCCTTTTGTTTCTGATACTGGTCCCTTTGTTCTGCTCTTTATCACATTCTGGCTGGTATTCTCGGGGTCTTTTCTCACAATATGCTCAGCTATCTGCAAAGTTTTATACATTCTGTAAATCGTGTCTCGCGATCTTGTCACTGGCGCCAAGTCTCGGAGTTCCCCGAAGCAACATCCTTCAGTGGACAAAGACACCGCCAAGTGGAACAAAACACTTAATGAACCACCGTCTTTGTTCGATAACAAGCTTGGTGATAAACAGGAGTCGTTTATCTGTTATGTCTGCAACGATCTATTATATTATCTCCATTAAGAGGTTATGTTTTTACTACGCAACTCTGTGTACACTCAACCGTCTGTATGTACATAATATGAATATAAACTATGAATATGATGACCAAAATAGGATAACCAAAGATGCTATGAAGGCATTTCAATTCTTTGGCCTTGGGAGGAAGTGACCAAACCTTGTCTGGATCGTATTCATGGCTTATATAAATGGTTCTGAACCATTTGCAGTTTGCCCAATAATGCAGGCTTGGATTCTTGACAACTACTTGTACAATGCATGCAGCACCGTTGTCAGTCAGTCCAAAATCTCTTGTCATCCCACTAGTATCACGATCAGATGATGATGATGGTGAATGGTTAATAAGGATAATGAGGATATAAGCATTGATGGCTTTCTTACTACACCAACAATATATAGTTTTGTCTTTATTGATTTCGATTTAGACTGATTTAAGAGGTCAATTTTATCAACGCTAAATATATTACCACAATGATTATAGTATAGTCTTTATTGTACATTCATGCCCTATTCGACTAAGTGTGTGAATACAAATACAAAATAAAAGTAGTGTACATACATTAAAATTGACAGGACTTCTAATACTGATTCACAACGTGAGTTCTAGAATTAAAGTATAGGTTCAGCTTCTTTTCGCCTCTTGATGATGTAGCATATATTGGTTGAGATTATAGAAATAAAGTAAGGATGGTGTGACAGCTCTGTTTGATTAGTAAGAACATTTAGAGAAAATAATTTTTTTCGTGATGAGTAATTTGTTTTGTGGGAAGACGAAGGAGTTTGACTAACCCTAAAAACAGTGCCACTATTATATACAAACATGACACGCAATACATAACATCATAAATATTACAATAACTGACCTACATCTGCAATTCCCACAAGGTGGTTTGACACAAAAGTCCACTTTTACAACTGTCCTAATAAGGCCTGTATACATGTTTTATGTCACAACGTCCTTTTGTCCATTGTAGAGGTTGTAAACATCATTTTTTCAAGTGATGAAATATTTATGACTTGATCCAAACATAAGGGCAATGTGTCATGTGAGATTGTGTCATATCTCCCTTCTGCATGTTTGGCCACCTGTTTTCTGGATAATTCTGACGTTGCCATGGTAATTAGTGTCAATCAAAGCCAGGTTGGATGCTTGAGCTTTACAGCAAAAATACCCATCACCATATGTCCATATAAAGCTTAGAGCTATAACTTTTGTTAAGTTGGCTAGAGGAACGGCGAGGGGGGAAACTATACCAATGAGTTCCCACCTGGCTCACAGCGAATTATATCCGTGCGGTTTAGCAGGGTAATTACTTTGCTATTCCTATTTTTCACACGATTAGGCGTTATCGTCAGTGATACGTCAGATGGGCAGCTGCAGTGTGCGTCAGTTGTGCAGAACAGACCAATAAGATATGATATTACGAGTAGACGACCTTGTAGAGTGCTTCTTCAGTGTATTAACTTTTGTGTATACGACTGACACAATCTCAACAGGCATAAATCGTCCCACAAGTTACAGAAGGCGCGAGATTCTCACGCAAACAAAGGGGAGGGCCGCGTCGTCTGACATTTTACACAAAGAAAAAGGCGGGAAAACACCGCCCAAGGGGCGTCGACTTCGCCGAAGCCATTAGATACTGTGTCATTTCGCTGCAACCTTTGGGTTAACTGAGTGTACCGAGTCCCAGCTTGCTTGCATTCTCCAAGCGCTTGCCAAATAAACACAGCAGAGACTTGGTTGAGAGGTTTCGAGAAAATAACCCTAAATTATCAATTTGCGTGTCTCGCTTCGGCGAAAGCCTAAAAGACGGGCTGCACCTGGCTTGGTGGAAAGAATGAAGATTACACCCTTGTTCACACCGCGTGACTAAGACGTGCAATTACGAGCTAAGTGGGTCCCGGGGACCCCGCATTTGTGTAGCATGCAGCAGATCAGCGAGGTTTTATGTGTACTCACTGGGTGGAAATACGCTGGAGGGTCAAACTGATATGCTGGTTATTAAAGTCATGCCTGTGGCTTGTCAAGTGTTTGAAAGGCTTTGAGTAGGAGTGGACTATGGAAAGGTGTGCTTAGCGAGTACAATGAAAAAATACGGTGTCTAGCAAGCCGAAAAGTTGAGTAGGCATCCATAGGATATCAAGATGTAATATAGTATTTTTCTCGTCTTCCCTTAGCCCTTAGGCTAGAAAGAAAAATGGAGGGTCGACCTGTGTCTAAAGAACTGACTAACTACTAGTATGTATTGCGACAGTTAAAATCACCAACGAATGTCGTATTATATGATTTCTGAATCATCTTCATTGACCTTAACTATCTAGTCGCATCGTAAACGGCGGAAGCTTAGACAAAAGAGGGTAGTTCATGTCGTTATGATGACTAGAGATGACTCATGATACATTCTGTGACCAGGTGTTGGCCAGCGACCATCCCTCCTTCACAAAGAGCTTCAAAAGCGCCGCCTGTAGGAGTGGCCTTGCAGGTGACTACGTCACCGTTACGTCACGGCCCAACCTCACGTGCGAATGTGACGTCTGAATTCCTCACATTGTTGACAGGGTGGTGACAGGGTGGTCCCATTCCCACGACGAACTGCGAAGGTCGTTTGAAACAACAATTTCGTGTTGTATCCATATATGGTAAGATAGATGTCCATTCTTGCGACTGCAATTGCTAAGCCCCCTTGAGAATTAGAAATGGGATTGGAACATATTGATAAATGTTGTTCTTGTTTGTATTAAGCGTTCGTGAATAGGTAGTTGATTACATCTGTAACGAGTTGTTTTCAAAATAGCTTGCAGGCTTTGTTTTGAAAAAGGCGCAGCTAAATGTCATTTTTGGAATCATGAAAAATTTCACAGTTGTCTTCCTTTACTTCCCATGGGAACCTTTAGAAATTAGTCTCGATAAATAGAGAACGGACTATGTCATTAACTTTAACTAGGTGGGCAACTTTCCAAACAAAGGAACACCTGGATCATCTCGATCTCTGTGTGCTTTGTTGTCGTTTTCTCATCAGGTTTAGAGGTACTTAAACATATAGGGCAGCCTACGAGTCATCAATCTTACATTGAACAGCTTATTTTCGTACGTGAATGTACGCATAATCTCCTAAATCACGTATGATTGATATCATGAGATATAATGTAATGACGTCCTAATGAAAGCCTTAAGATGGATGACTGTCTTACAAATGACCTCTGACCTCCAGAGGTTAAGGCTTCATTTAGGACATTGTTGCAGGACTTTTAGGCAAAAATCTTTTTGACAAAGCCACGATGCTAATGTATTTTGTGTTGATGTAGCCTTAACATATTTGGATCTAATATACGTCCTTACAAAATACGGCTAAACATTTCTTTGTCCCTGAAATGCTCCATTAGTCCCCTAACATCATAAAAATCTATAGATGGATAGGTTACTGGTAAAACAGGTCTCAATCACCCAGACAGTCAAGGACGCAGGGTCGAGCATTGTTCAGCCTCAGCAACCATTAAACACAGTCCGGGTCATTTATTTTGTGTTGTGTGTGTGTCATCTGAAGGTCATTTTAAAGGTCTCAGTGTATGGTTTTATTCACCCATATGTCATCTGTCAAATATTTCAGATAGCAACCAAAGAGTAAGGAACTTATCATTTTTTTCCTGCAAGGACTCCAGTAGTCAGACAACAGTTTAAGAAATACACAATAGTTTGTATTTATTGATGTTGGGAAAACAAATTATGACAGTACTAGCATGAAAGTTCACCTGACAGTCACGGAACGTGAAATTATGACAGTCACTGTTTTTGACAGTCGTGTCGTCATTAACAAAAAAGAACTAGGTGGTCCTTAAGCTTGTAGGTATAAGCTTTGCCAGATATGCTGTCACCGAACATTTGCTGCAGTTATGAAGAGATTTCCTTATGTGAATATTGACTATTGTGATATAAACTATCAACCATTATCCAACAACCCCAAAACCTCAAATAACAGTACAAACCGGCCAACACCCCCATCGAAATTCCCTCGGTACCAACTCTCAAATATATATCCGCAGTATCCTCCAGTCTATCACACATAGCCAATGAAACTATCTTATATACGCAGCCAAAAATAAGTACTCCTGCAGTAAAGGATTAATACATGGCAATGGTAACGACCTATGACACATTTCAGACTGTCCTGTTCAAGGCTGTTGTCTCACATTTGTATATGAATGGCCAAATCGAGATAAGAATACACTTGTGGTCGACATGTAATAGACATAATGGTATGGGCTATTCAACTCACTAACTATAGTTCCATCCATTGCTTGGCTAATTGCAGATAGGTTGTGTCGTAAAAATAAACTTGCCAGGAAAAGGCGATGTTGAAAATATCGAAGAAACTATCACATTTAGAATAGCTTTGTTTTCGAAATACAAGTAAACCCTTAACCAAGCCCAAGTTATCACATAGTAGATCAGATCAAAACCACAATGGCACCATAATAGAGCAAGAGTAACACATGCATGTCATCCTTCTTTTATCTAATTTCACAGTTGTTTTCCTGATATTGCTGTTTTCTTGTCTTCAACTCACACCCCACATAGACATAAAATAAATAGGCCATCCTCCATATAATTGCTTTATATTGGATATCACCAACTCAGATCTAATGTTCATCAGCTTTTGGTAACCGGAACATTGACTGTAACAGTTGGTGACACGGTTACAGTCTGTGTCACTGGTACGTTAACCATAATCTTCTGTGAGCCGCTGGCCTCGGTGCTTACTGCCGATGTAGGCAGGTTGACCATGATTTTCTGACCGGCCGCGTGGCTTTCACCTCCTCCGTGCATTGTAACGGTTTGTCCGACTTGTGCTCCTGATCCACCTGCCATTGGCACGTTAACCATGATCTTCTGGGCTGCCCCTGTTGCCATCTGCCCTCCCTGGACCGTGACGCTTTGCCCTGCCGATCCAGCCATCGACATGTGCTCCTGCGTCGTGACGGTGTGAGTCGTTGCCATGGGAACGTTGACCATGATCTTCTCGCTTGACGTGGTGTGAGTCGTTGTCATGGGAACATTCACCATGATCTTCTCGCTTGACGTGGTGTGAGTCGTGTGCGTCGTTGCCATGGGAACGTTCACCATGATCTTCTCGCTTGACATGGTGTGAGTCGTGATGGTTTGGTCAGCGGTCATGGGCACATTGACACTGATGGTTTGACCACTACCAGATGCGTTGGCGGTTGAAATACTCTGTGCATGCGGCACATTAACTTTGATCTTCTGCCCAGCTGCAAGGTCCCCTGCTCCATGGACCACGACGCTCTTGCTAATCGGCACGTTCACCATGATTTTTTCGGCGGTACTTGAGGACGTGGCTGTTCCTCCCATAACTTGAGTGGTGGTGTGTACCTCACCTGTTGTCACCGTCTGCGTTTCGGTAACGAAGTCGTTAGAAACAATGTTCTGTGATAACTCCGATGAGCCCGTTACCACCTCAGCCGAAGAAGAGGTTGATGCCACCTCTGTAGAAAGCATTGCTGTGCCTGACACCGACACCATAGAAGTTTGCATAGAATCTATCACTTCTGAAGATGCCATCTGTGTGCTGGATACTGTTGTCACCACAGTAGAGTTTTCTGATTGTGATTGTGAGTTTTCTGACACCGCCACAGTTTGCGAAACTACAGCCACTGATGTTTCTGTTGCAATATTAGCCTGTTCTGTAATAGCCTCTGATACATTTACCGTCAACACAACCCCCTCTGTCATTATATCGGACGATAAACCAACTGATTCTGACTTGGACTCTGAGGTAACTGAAGTAACTTGGCCCTCACTAACAGCTGATTCAGTTAAAATGACTACCTTCTCCGTCACTACACCTGACTCAGTAGACAACGCAGTACTACCCTCAACAGTTTCTCCAGATGCGGACATGGTTAGGGAATCGGACAATGTGTCTGTTACTAGGACACCACCTATGCTACCGCCTGATGAAATTCCAACTTGCTCACCTCCCATTACTGATGACTTGGTAACCGTAACGATATTTCCTGTAGAGACCTGTGATTTTTCAGACGTAGCTGATTCTACCACCGATGTTCCTGTCACCATATTGACCTGATCTGTAGCGACTTCTGATGACTGCACCACCATTGTGACATTTGCCGACGTTTCTACACCTGACGACAGCACACTAGACTTTTTCGACTCTTCTGTGACTTCCGTCACTACCTTAACCTGGTCTGTGATAGCTTCTGATGCATGCACTGTCATTGAAACCCCCTCAACAGTCACAACACCTGACGACAAAACAGTCGACTCTTCTGTGACTTCAGTTACCACACCAATCTGTTCTGTGATAGCTTCTGATGCCTGCACTGTCATTGAAACTCCCTCAGCAGCCACTATATCGGGCGACAAAATAACTGACTCCGACTCTGAGGTAACTGAAGTGACAGATTTTGTGTTCAACCCTTCAACGGTAACTTGGTCCTTATTACCTATAGCTGATTCAGTTACTATGACGACCTTCTCTGTCACTACACCTGACTGGCCAGACAACACAGTACTGCCCTCAACAGTTTCCCCTGATGTGGAGACAGTTAGGGTATCAGAAGATGCTTGTGTTCCCAGCTGGACGCCACCTATGCTACCGCCTGATGAAATTTCAACTTGATCACTTCCTTCCACTGATGACGTGGTAACCGTAACGATATTTCCTGTAGAGACCTGTGACTTTTCAGACGTAGCTGATTCTACCACTGATGTCACCGATGTTCCTGTCACCACATTGACCTGATCTGTAGCGACTTCTGATGACTGCACCACCATTGTGACATTTTCTGACGTTTCTGCACCTGACGACAGCACACTAGACTTTTTCGACTCTTCTGTGACTTCAGTTACCACACCAACCTGTTCTGTGATAGCTTCTGATGCCTGCACTGTCATTGAAACCCCCTCAACAGTCACTATATCAGACGGCAAAACAACTGACTCCGACTCTGAGGTAACTGAAGTGACAGGTGTTGTGTTCAACCCTTCAACTGTAACTTGGTCTTTATCACCTATAGCTGATTCAGTTACAATGACTACCTTCTCCGTCACTACACCTGACTGGTTAGACAACACAGCACTACCCTCAACAGTTTCCCCTGATGTGGAGAAAGTTAGGGAATCAGACAACGCGTCTGTTCTCAGGACGCCACCTATGGTACCTCCTGATGAAATGTCAACTTGCTCACCTCCCATTACTGATGACGTGGTAACCGTAACGATATTTCCTGTAGAGACCTGTGATGTTTCAGACGTAGCTGATTCTACCACTGATGTCACCGATGTTCCTGTCACCACATTGACCTGATCTGTAGCGACTTCTGATGACTGCACCACCATTGTGACATTTGCCGACGTTTCTACACCAGACGACTGCACACTAGACTTTTTCGACTCTTCTGTGACTTCCGTCACCACCTTAACCTGGTCTGTGATAGCTTCTGATGCCTGCACTGTCATTGAAACATCCTCAACAGTCACTATACCTGACGACAAAACAACTGACTCCGACTCTGAGGTAAGTGAATTGACAGATGTAGTGTTCAACTCTTCAACTGTAACTTGGTCCTGATCACCTGTAGCTGATTCAGTTACTATGACGACCTTCTCTGTCACTACACCTGACCGGCCAGACAAAACAGTACTACCCTCAACAGTTTCCCCTGATGTGGAGAAAGTTACGGAATCAGAAGATGCTTGTGTTACTAGGACACCACCTATGCTACCGCCTGATAAAATGTCAACTTGCTCACTTCCTTCTACTGATGACTTGGTAACCGTAACGATATTTCCTGTAGAGACTTGTGATTTTTCAGACGTAGATGATTCTACCACTGATGTCATCGATTTTCCTGTCACCATATTGACCTGATCTGTAGCGACTTCTGATGACTGCACCACCATTGTGACATTTGCCGACGTTTCTACACCTGACGACAGCACACTAGACTTTTTAGACTCTTCTGTGACTCCCGTCACCACCTTAACCTGGTCTGTGATAGCTTCTGATGCCTGCACTGTCATTGAAACCCCCTCAACAGTCACTATACCTGACGACAAAACAACTGACTCCGACTCTGAGGTAACTGAAGTGACAGATGTTGTGTTCAACCCTTCAACTGTAACTTGGTCTTCATTACCCACCTTTTCCGTCACTACACCTGACTGGTCAGACAAACCAGTTTCCCCTGATGTGGACAAAGACAAAGAATCAGACGACGTTTGTGTTTCAAGGACGCCAGCTACGATAGCGTCTGATGAAATAGTGACTTGATCACTTCCTACTTCTGAAGATTTGGTTACCGTAACAACCTTTCCTGAAGTGACCTGTGATTTTTCAGACAACGTAGCCGATTTTATCACTGATGTTTCTGTCACCATATTGGCCTGATCTGTAGTGACGTCTGATGCCTGTACTGTCAATGTAACATCTTCTGTAACTACACCTGACGACAAAGCACTAGAGTTTTGCGACTCTTCAGTGACGCTAGTGAAAATTGTGCCTGACTCCACAGTGTCTAGACTCATGGTACCTTTTCCATTTATTACAACGGAAACATTTTCTGTCACCACGCCTGATACGTTCGATGCCTCATCAATAGTCCCCGAAGATACAGTGACTACGGTGACGGAGTCTGTACTAGAACCTGAATTCAACACAGCTTGGCTGACAGAATCTACCGATGATGTTGATGCCAATGTGATCTTTTCGGTAGATGTAGAAATAATATCATTTTCAGAGGACGCTTCTGATTTCGAAGTTTTGGTGATAGTGGCAACGCCTCCTATGGTAGATTCTGTCGACGCTGATGCCCCTGTTACTGAAACTATGCTCTCTGTTACCTTCACATCGCGCGTTGTGTTTACTGTAGTGCAAGAGCTATGCTCAGCTACTTTGTGTGATACATCTACACTTTCAGAAGAACCGGTGGCTGCAGTAACGTATTCTGTAGCATTGCCTGTCATTACATTGACGGAAGATTCGTCAACTTTTGCATCGCCTGATACAGAAGTAATAGTGACTTTGCCATCGACATTTTCAACGCCCTTGTTTAGGGTAACAGTGGTAACAGTGGACGTTTCTGTTTTATGGCAATGACAATGACAATGAGCATTGCCAAGTGCAGTTTCAGCGGCGAAAGTGCTTCCCGACACCATGCTTGATTGCGTTTTATTATGCATTGCTCCTGCAGCTGACACCGTTACATTATGCAGCCCAGCTTGCTCAAAAGCCCCTGAAACCACTGCTGCATGCTTTTCAGCTCTATCGAAAGCTTCTGACCGTACTGTAGTAATTCCCACCTGTCCTGATACGGTGGAGCTTGATACTGTTTTCCCCTGGTGTGTCACGTGATGTCCATGCGTCACCACCCCACCGTGCATCTCATTGGTCGTATGTTTCTGGTGAGACACCACGCTGTGCTGACTCATGGATCCGCCATGTTGGGAAAACGTCGCCGATCCGCCATGTTGTTGTGTCGTGAAGTTCATGGTGCCTCCTGAAATGGTAGAGCTCCCCCCAGACCACTTCCCAACACTAGACTCTTGGGAAGACACGCTACCGTTCTGAAGGATGGTGGTGGTTGTGTGTGTGGCGGTGTTAGCGCTGATTAAAGCTGTCTCTAGCCGAGAGTTCTCCTCCATAAGCACTTTGATCTGCTCTCCAAGCTGCCTCACCTACGCGACAGGCCGACAAGCAGAAAGTTAATTAGCGTGCAGGTGAAGCAAAATCGCTACAAATAAAAAGGGCAGGCTCCGCTCCTAAGGCGTCACCAAAATGATGGGCACAAGTGTATGATTAGCCAAACACAAAGAAAAAGCCATCTATATAATCTATGCGGTGATGATATGAATGTTATCAATTTAACTTGAATTATATGAGGGACACAAATGTGTTATGCTGAAGATTAGTGATCTATTGTACTAACTCTACAACAGCAAAGAATGGTTATCGTGATAAAGATACCCAAACGATGGTCTAGTCTACTGTGTATGCAGATACTAAGGAAAGGAATAGAGTGAAGCTTTAATAGAAAGGAAAGTCTAAGAATCAAGATCAAGCAGGGATGGTGGACTTGACGGCCCGTTTTGTGTTGAGCCAAGAGGACTGCTAGTATCACGGAAGGATAGAACCGAAGCCTCAAGACGTTTGTTTTCTTCCATTAGAACATCGATCTGCTCAGTGAGAGCCTTCACCTGGGAGTATAAAGAGGTACATGGATGTAATCATGGGTTGAAATTGGTGTGACTAGAAATAGAGGAAGGGGGATCTGGTGAGAAGGCAATCAGAAGCATCTTTGAAACCTCTAACTACTCTCCTTAAACATCTACCAGAATTGTTTCGATGTAGGGAATCTATTTCAGCAAAGAAGAAAATGACTATCTTAGACCACGTTCACAGAAGGTAACAGTAGCACTCAATACGCATTACATCAAAAATTGTAATTTTTTATCCCGTAATATCACATTATCAGTATTTGTGGCTAAATGTTGCCATAGAAAGAGTTTTCAATTAGACATTTCAGATATAACATTATGTTTAAGATTTTGTTAATCTTAAGTACCAATGCCTTTCACGTCGAAGGTCATACCTGCATATCTTTTGATGCCACCATCTTTCTGACGTCATCAATCTGTTGGTTGTCGATTCGTCCGGACAGGTCGTCAATTTGTCTGATGGCCTATAGACGACACAGCAATCGTTATAAAAAAAGTCAAGATTTACCTATACACAGTGTGCATTTGTACTCCCTTTGACGTCAGTGTACATTTATACTCCCACTTGTCTACATGATGCCATAGTCAAGAACTGTTTTGTAGTTTCGCTATTCTTGAAACAAAAAAAAATGGATTTCACTAACTATGCACAGTGTACATTTATACTCCCTTTGCAGTGTACTGTAGTAATTTATACTCCCCCTTGTCTACATGATGCCATAGTCCAGAATTGTAGGTACCCGTAGTTTCGTTACTCTTGAAACAAAAGTAGATTTCACAGCTTTCTCAATAATAAACAGGCGGAGTATGTGATAGCACCAACACCGTCCATATATCCTGAGGGCACGATTACAGGCTTTGCCTAGCAACCTTGAGCACAGAAAATCCTCGGCACCGTATGTGATTTTATAAACCTACATACTAGCGTCCTCTTATTCTATGAAAACGGGAAAGCAACTGGTGTAAATATTTGCATGTAGCTATCCATTTCGTTGTACGTTGTGGCGTTTAGTAAGTGTTTACTATTGCTTTACCGTGATCTATCATGTGTCATCAAGGTATTTGAGCAATGATGAAGCCGCTATTGTCGGCTTTTAGCGGAATCCACAATTTGATTTACACAAAGCAGAGGGTCAGCTACCAGAGGGTTTGGGGAGAAAATTACAGAAGAGATAGCCAGTCGAGAAAATGGTCCTGCGGGCTGTTTAACACTGCCCATGTCAATCAAACAGTACTCTACATCTAATGGCGATAACAAGCAGGGATTGGATCACAATGGAGGTATTGAACAGGTTCCCAACAGCTCGGTAATGTGATTATGTACAGGTGTTTACACAAATGTTCTTCTTTTGGTGACGTTTCCTCACAACCATATCCCTGGAACATGGTAGGTTTACCGTGACTAAGGAAGACCACCTGTAGTGCTGCAAATTCCTCATCACCAACTGATCATTCAGCATTTATACATGTACATGGCTGGATTCAAACATTCTCTCCTAGATGTTGATTCACATTATTATCCCAGTTTACTACAGTACTTGGGAAAATCAAACCAAATGTTAACTACCCAATCGGAGAAGGGAGTTGTTATTAGCATTAATTCTTTTTTTATTTTTTTGTTTAAGATTAGATTGAAAAATATCTGTTCTGCAGTTGTTGTTTGTCACTGGCCCCTGTCCCGCCCCCTTTTTGTGTTTTCATCTGTCCTGAGGCCAAAATAATCAACTCTCCTAACACTGCTAAAGTAGTCTGCATGCTCCGGTGCGACAGTGTCTTCGATGCCCTTGCTTGTTTGTTCTGCTTGATTTACTTCGGTCGACATGACCTGCCTCCAAACTCAAGCGTTTTTATCCACGTGGATGTAGGACTATGTACTGCATATGCAGCAGCTCGATTTGAGTATTTTATGAATAATGGTTCAAACAAAAAAACAAAAAAACAAACAAACATACAAAAAGCATCCAGAAAATGTTCATGCCAACCTATGTTAAAGTATATTTGGAGATACAAAGCCTATTGGGGGTCCACTTTTTTACACTACTGATTGCATCCCTCTGAGTGAGATTCTTAATTCACAGGATCTAAGGTGATAAACTAAGGTACTGCATCCCCACCCCTCCTACCACCCCTCCCTATTACTCTTCTTTATAAGATGCACACAGTGCTTTCAAACCTACCTGCTCTAGGTTGTATTGGTCCTGATCGCCCAGGCGGATGATGGTCCTCTTCATCTCCCGGTTCTCCTCCATCAACCTCTCAATCTCGTTCTCCAGTTCCTTTATCTGCGAAATATCGAGAGAATATAGGAGATAAAAATTCAATTCTCATCAGACGACAGTGTGAAACATCATACTCCTTACGGTGCACATCTCAGTGTCCTGTTTCCTGTCCTGCACGAGTCAGGTCCTAGGTCTAAAATGTGTACTATCATATATGACATATCTTAACCATTCTCAAACATATATTTGCCCGGTTTCGTTATCAAATGAGAGAATTGTAAGTGGTGCCATGTTCTGTGTGGACTATTCTCTTTGATACTGCATTGCACACATGTAACAAAGTGACAGTGGCTTGTACCTCCTTTGAAGATCCTTCCAACTTGACCTTGTACATCTCTACTTGTTTCTCCAGGTGGGACGTCTTCAAAGTTAAACTCTGCACCTTGACAATGGCCTCCTCTCCTTCGGTTACTTTCACCTGTGATATAAATTCATAAAAGAGAACATCAAATAAGCAAACCCCATATCTTTGAACGATTTTTTCATTAACAAACTACAGTACATATGCATGCAGTTCTGCTACTACTAGAATCAAAATACACTCCAAATTAAATGATGTTAATACACAAACGTATACAAGTATATGTAGGCACCTTTACAGTTCACTTACCATATTAAACTTTACATAATGTTCAACTAAGTGTTAGATCATGTTTAGTCACTATTTCACAGCTGGATGCATACATGTAGTTTATTGATTGGGCGTTTTAGAGAGTCTGATTATTATTGCTTGAATAAATCGGTATTTACTAACGACACTTGTGACATTTTGGCCTGACCAGAAAACGAATATTTTGCATGCCTGAAATACCGGATGTCACAATGACCCACCCATACACGTGTACTCCATCCTTAGACTTGGCCCACCCATACCGGAAGTAAGCTTAATCATTGTGCACAACAATGCATTATCAGCGTTGTATGCAATAAATGTAGAACAAATAACACATTCAGAATCCATGCCCTATACCCATGTTCCCAATGGACTATATACACAAGCCATATTGAGATAAAGTGTGCCCCCCTCCCCACACAGTACAGGCACATTTGATTAGAGTGCATAGTCATGTCGTTTGTGGATAGTTTGTGGATGTAACACTGCATTGTTGCTGGCATAATTCAATCACACCTTCATGCTTATTGAATTTTCTTCCCATGAAAATTGTATTTACTCAGAGAACCCACAATTACTGTGTAGTATATGGAGCTGCTTGTAAGACGTTGCTTAATGTTAGGCGCACACAGTGTACTGACATTCAAGCTTCATTGAACATGTTGGCATAGAGAGTTTGGTATATTTTTCCCAGGTTGGCAACATCTGCTGTTATCTACATGTAGACCTGTACATTTTAGGTAGTTTATCAACACAATTTACCATTGAGAAAGAAAAATTGTTTGACCTACCTCCAACTGCTTCATGGTGATCTCTAATTTCTCCACCTTGACCGTCAGTTGCTTCCTGGTCCTCTCCAGGGTGTCCTTCGTCTTCGTCAGCTCCTTGACCGTCCTCTTCAACTCTGTAACCTCTGACCTCAGTTCTTTTTCCGAGGTGACCTTGACGGAAAGATCTCTCTCCAAGATGGTGATCTTCCTTTCGTATTCTGTGACTTTTGACGAGGATTCTTTCAGAATGAAAATCTGCTCTTGGAGAGACTTGATTTGTGTTTCCAGTGTTGTTATTTTGGTCGTCATGGAAATGATCTGGTTTTCCTGCTCCTTGGTCTTCTTTTCCAATCCCCTCAGCTGGTTTCGGAGTTCGTCGCGTTCTTTACCGATCTTGTCCATCTTGTTCTTCATGTCTTGTAACTCCTTGGCTTTTCCAGCTAGCTGGTCTTTGAGTTTGCCATTTTCGGTCTCCAAGGTGACGATTTTCTTCTGGAGCTGGACGTTTTTCTGTTCGACTTTGCTGAGGGACGACTGCTGTTCCTGCATGGGCCCTGACAGCTGCTCTACTTGCCCCTTAGCGCTGTCTAGGTCAACCTTAATCCTCTTCATTTCTCCTTCCATTCCGTGCATCTTGTTCTCTATGTCTCCCTTCTCTATCTCTAGCCTCGCCCTTTCGTCTTCTACTTCCTTGAGAGCGTCGTCTTTGTCTTGAAGCTGCTTCCTGAGTGCCTCTAGCTCAGCCTGTAAGGAGGTGCACCTGCTCTCCAGTGTGAAGCACTTGTCTTCGAGACCCTTCCCCGCATCTTTGATGTTATCGGAGTCGCTCTCTAACCTCTTCTTCTCCTCCGTTATGATGGTCATTTTGCGTTCAGCGCTCTCAAGATCCATCTGTGCTTCTCTCAGTTCCCTGTCCTTGGCTTCGTTCTCTGCCTGAGCGTCTTTCAGCCTCCTCTGGAGAGCGGCCAGCTGGTCTTCCAAGTCTTGAACCTTGCCTTGGAACGTGACCTCTGTATGGCTGACCTCCTTTGTCATCGTTTCAAACTCTAGCCTCTCCTTTCGTAGCCTGGCCAACTCGTCTAGAGCGTCTTGTAGCTCGCTTTCCTTGTCAGCTAGGCGATTCTTCAACAGATCCCTCTCTGACTTCAGGTTTGCGTTGTCTGCATCCAGCGTTTCGTTCTCTCGAGCCAACTCCTCAATCTTCCTCAGGGCGATGTCCAGCTCAGACTGGAGCTGTCCTATCTGCGACTCGAACCTGTTCATCTTCAGTGTCAACTCTCTGTTCTCTTGTTTCATTTTATCTCCTTCCGCACTTTGACTTGCACTTCTCTCCTTCTGCCTCTTCAGATCATCCATCTGTTTCCTTTGTTTTCCTGCCTCCCTCTCTGTGTCCTCCAGCTTGCGTTGGAGATTTCTCTTTTCGTTATTTAAACCATCTACCTTGTCTTTTAAGGCCTTGGCTTCTCTGTCCTTTGCTTCTAGTTGGGCACGAAGTCGGTCTAGCTCTCCCTGGAGTCTCTTAGCTTCCCCTCCTTCTTTCTGGGCCGCTGCTCTGGCATCCTGTTGAGCATTCTGCATCTCCTTTTGTGTTGAATCCAACTGCATCTTCATCTTCCCCATGTCTCCCTGTATCCTCATGTTGTCTGCATTAGCCTTGTCTAGCTCTGCCTTCAGCCTTGCTAGCTCGTCTCTGGCGTCGTCCAGTTCCCTGTCCTTTCTCTGGACGTCTTCGGTGGTCACGCCCCCTTGACCCCCTCCAACTCCGACTCCGAATCCGCCGGCGTCTCTACTTCCAGCTTCTTCCATCTTCAGCTCCATGGTCGTCATGTCCTTCTTCAAGCTGTCGTTCATGTCTCTCATCCTCTGCAACTCGTTCATCAGGTCTTCTATCTCTCTGTCCTTCTGGTCACTTGATGGCGATGCGGCCGAGGAGAAACTTGCTGACGTTTGCTGAATGGTAATGCTGGCGTTCATAGATTCCTCCCTCAGTTTGATGATCTCAAGCTCAAGCAGGCGCTTACTTTCTGTCACTGAGGAGATCTGCTCAAGTAGACGTCTCTTCTCTGCTGCCCATTGACTAAGCTCGTGTTCTATGCGTACCTTGTCGGCTGTTAGCACTTGTATGTCGTTATTCTTCTTCCCGACTGCTTTCTCCAGGTCCTTGTTGTCGACCTTCAGGATCCTGATCGAACTCTCCAGGTCATTGATGGTCTGGTGCAGAATGGTGATCTTCTGGTTGTACTCCTCGTACTTAAACGTGGTGGTTGTCGTCTCCTGACTCCTCTCGTATTCTCTCGCGATAAGCTCCTTCTCGTGAAATAACTTCTCCATCTGCCTCATCAACTCGTTGATCCTCGCCTTTGCCCTCTCGCCGGCCTCTATGGCCTCGTTTACCTGCGACTGTAAGCCGGAATTCCTCAACTCCAGGGTTTCAATGACGTTGGCGAGCTTCCCGTTTTCGGCACGGTAGAACTCGAGCTCGCTCGACATGATACCATTTAAATGGCTGAGTTCCGTGATTTTGGTCCTCAGCTCCTTGATAAGGATTTCCAACTCCTCGTTTCGGATCCCGATCCGCCTGTTGTCGTCCTCCAGGAGACGCACCTTGATGGCGTACGAGTTGAATCGCTCCGTGAGGTCGGTCTCGTAGTGGTAGGCGTTCGCGTTGACCGCGCCATGGTAGAGGTTGCTGTGGGCGCTGTAGGTTGCGCTCGCCCCGGCGGAAGCCGCGTGGCTGCTGCTGCTGCTTACCTTGCTGCGGTGCACCGTGAACCGCGTCCCGATCGGGACCTGGGCGTCCCTCTTCAGTTGGCTGGCGTAGTGGGACATAGTCGGCCTGGGGCTTGGACCAAAGCGGGCGTAAACCTACAGTACTGCCAAGCAGCGTCTTCTCTCTCCCCCTTTTGACGTCTTAAAAACACAACAGGGTGGACTCAGTCTGCTGCCTGCTTATCACAGCAGCTTTCACCTTTTGTGTCACAGGCCTGCCGTGATTGGTCGACACGCCAACCTTTCACTCGTGCTGCTGCTAAAGCCCAGTGACCTGACATACACAGGAGTTGCCCGACCACTAGGAGAACAAAGAAACCGGCCGGCAGAATCAATTTGCGGGCACATACCTGCATAGCTTCAGCACTTATTGCTTGAAAGTCATACTTTTTTTCTCATGCCTAAAATGCCTCGAAACACTCCCCATAAATCCTGCCACCACATGCTGTTCCGATATAAGCTAGCTGAAAACAGGGGCTCTTATTGTGTAGGAGAACACACTACGTCTTCTTTGTGTCGAGTTTTAATGCGACCGGGGTCACAGGACCTAATGTTGAGAGAAGAATTTCACCCCAGGCTTGTACTATTTCGTATACGAATATTTTCAACCTTTCTGAAAGTCTGACACTCTTCCCTACTGGTGCCTTCTGTCGGCATGTTGCACAGAGCTCCATTTACCGTCTAATGTTTATTGAAAACGAAAACTAATTGTATGTCGGTACAAAAGGTGTCGGATAACACAAGAAAACTCCGCCTGAATCTAGCCCCGGGGCCAGACTCTGGGTCCTTTCGCTCCCATGTCTCTCCTAATGATACGGGTCGTTCCATCAAAGTACAAACAACAACAGGAGCCTTTATTCCCGATAACCTGATTTGCAGGTAAGCCATTTCTCACACAGACACGGCGAGCCCATTCAAGACACTTGAGCAAGTTTCCGATAGCTACGCCCCCTAACGACTAGCCATATATCGCATAGAAAACCTACTACATACTGGTTAACCATGGAGAAGTAAATTATACTTCTGTCAGGATGGAATTTGCCAGATTGTTGAAAACTCCCCACGAATACGCCACTTTTAGAAGGGATCGTAAAGTATCTGATTGATGCCAGGATATTTGGGAACAAATCGTTTTTAACAGACATAGGCGACTGTTTTCCTATTTTTGGGCAAATCACGTTTTAATGGGTGATTTGTATTCAGGACAGCTCGTGTTGGTCCTTAAGAGGAAATGCCCAGCCGGAAACTGTCTCTACAGTTTCCGTATTAAAGTTCCTATTGGATTTGTGAGTAACAGTCGAAAGGTTTTGTTTTATGTCAGAGATTAGAATTGGTTCTGTCTTAATATCATACAGCAATTCCTCACATGTAGCGTGATAATACAACCGGGAATGCTTAGGAATAATATGCAGAGTGTACAAAAAAAGCTTTAAACTACAACTATCACAATAACTGATGTTCCTGTGAATTATGGCGTCCCTTAATTAGTATGATATACCCACATGTTAAGATATATAGTCCTTTTTTACTTATGATAAAGAAATGGTAACTTGTGACCTTTAAAGGGGCTTGAGACTCATTGAGGGCAACTGTTTCAATATACCTTTCTTTTCTTTAAGGCCACACCGATTTAATTTTATGGATGACATCCTCTGAAGACCCCCAAACTAGTGCGCGCGGGCGAAAAAAATAAAAATCCGGCCAAAAATAAAAATGCTACAAAACCACAGGAATACAAACCTGGTATTGTGAATTTGGCGCATTACATAGCGACGTATACGATAGGCCGACACATGCTGGATTTTTGCGGAATATATGAATCGACACTGCTGACGTATGTACTGAGTTCTTGAGTCTTGGAGCTTCGGTAGCCTGGCTGCCGTCAACCAGAGTTATCACCACCATGCACTACCCAGGCCTAAAGCCAGGCCAGAGCCTCGGAATACGTGATCTTTTTTTTTTTTTTGAGATCGGGCGAAAATCAATGCGCGCGGGGATGTCATCCATAAAATTAAATCGGTGTGGCCTAAATCGGTATTCATTTTTGAAACGTCCAAATGTCAACCACTAGTGACTGTCTCCTATGCTGACCTTTTGAACGTTGTTTTTCTGCGGAGTCTCCTACTTGACTGTCATGTCACGTCCCAAACCGGCTTTACTGCCTTTGTTAGACCTCTGACCCCCAGTGACCCCGAAAGTGGCATCGCCCCCGGTGGCGCCATCACCTGGGTAGAGTGATGCGCCGGGGAACAAAGGACTGATGACAACAGCCTCTTCTCTGTACGGGTGACTGCCCTGGCAGGCCGCGGGATAAATTTTCCTCTCCCTCCCCTCACACGGAGAGATTCACTCCCTGACAGAAATCAGACGACATTCTCGTCATGAGTCATCGGAAGACCCCGGATGTGGAGCGGAATGTGGCAATACCGCGGAACGGTGTGACCAGATTGTAACATACGCGCGAAAGGAACGCGTCAGCCTGCAGGGCAGCATTCCGCGGGTGCAGTGTTTCGCCAGGGGCGACAGGCGGCGTGCGTGATTGATGGGGAATGCTTGTTGTTGAAAGAACGTTTTTCTTCTCCGCCCCTTTCGTGTGAAATGGCATTCGTTGTAAATCACTTCCCTTACACCACCCCAGGATAACGACAAAAGGGCTCAAGCAATGACACACCCATCGCCCATTAAACCCCCATTTACCATCGTTAACATTTACGACAGTTTGCCTTCACGCGATGTAAACAAAAGTCGTTTTGCGGCAAGGCCGCCATGATGTCGTGTTGACTATAGCTAGTCTTTAGTCGTGTGTGTGTACCAGCAAGGAGGTTAGTTCTATGAGCTAAATGTCTGGATCGCAATTTGGTTTATCATCTTGCGGAAGAAGTAGTGCTTATGCAATACGAGATACAGTACGAGATACAGTTGAAAATGTATTACACCAATTCGAAATGTAAAACTAAAAGACGACCTTATAGATTGATTGCTCCATAGATTGTTGTTGATAATTGTAATACTTGTATTACCTAAAATATATGAAACACTCCAGGCTACAAACAGAAATGACGTGGTGGTTATATAAAATTATGTTCTTACTGAATATCATGAACACACGGCATGAACGTTTAGAAATACTCGTCCTATGTTATCACTTGTATTTATGTAGTTCAGCTCTGTACCTTATTTTATACCGCCTATTCACTTTCTTGTCTAAACGGCTACCATGCCGGTCTGGCTTTTCTTAGTGCTGTAAGCTCTCCGTAAGACGTTTGTTCTCTTCCAGGAGTTTCTTGAAGTCTGTTACCAAGTTAGACCCCTCCTGTAATATGATCTTCAAGAGTTTGTTCTCTTCCGTCATCCTATCCAGCTTCTCCTGGAGCTTTTTTTCGTCCTCGGGTTCGGTCAGCTTTGTAGTGTCGTCGGTCACCTTCGTGGTGTTGTCGGGCAGCGTCGTAGCGTCTTCGGTCACCTTCGTGCCCTCATCGGGTACCTCCGCGCCCTCGTCAGCCAAAGCATCGGTCACCTTCTTGTCGACCACCTCTCTGACTTGGCGGGTCAACTCTTGCACCTGTGCCCGTAACTCTGTGTTTTCCTTCTGCAGGGCTTCCACCTCTGAGATGATCCCCTTCCACTCGTTTATGTTGTCGTTCTTTGTTCGAGGAGAAACCTTGGCCATTTTGCAACGACAGCTAGACTCTTCACTTTTAGACTTGACAAAGACACCTGGTGAAATGAATACGTGAGAAGCATTATAATCTGCTGTATTTTGTCTCGTTCTGTTTTGGTGCACATGAAAGCTGGAATGATTTCTGTGATAAGAAATGAAGTTGCCATTCTTTGTTCAAAGATAATACTTGGCCATTTTAGAACGACAGTTAGACTATTCACTTTACGACTTTATAAAGACAGTGTAAGAAACATTATAGTCTCTATGCATATACAGCGGTTTATCGTTCTCTTTGATTGCATGTTTTGGCGCAAGAAAGCTAGGCTGATTTCTCTGATAAGAATTGAAAGTATCTTCTTGTATTACACTTGGAGTATGTCGGTAAACAAACCTAGTGTTCTATTGAGCAGCGAAAGTGCTCTCAATTACGTACCTCAGACTATATGCTCCGATGCAAAATGCCTTCATTCAAATGACAATTTGAGAACAACAATTCAACATATCTACATTGTACATATATAGTACGAAATGCAGAACTTGCATACCTTTTTCTCCTGGCGACGTTTTAACAGTTCCACAAAGGTTACACAGATAGTGAAGTAAAGAATGTGGCAGTGACTGCACGTAGCCTTTGGCCAGAATTCCTCTTCTAGGAGATTTGACTCAGATTACCCACAAAATAGCCGCACCCACACCCATTTCCAATTATGACAGGGAACCGGGGAAAGTTACCCCACTTGGTGATTCATATTCCCTACAATTATAAAGTTTGGTAAACTTACCAAGATCCCCGCTATGCGACCCACATATGGGACGTAAGTGTGGGTGATTTATGCTTGAGTATCCGTTCAGTATTGAGGGGCTATTGTTTTTAATGACGAATCCTCAGTGTAGTTAATGGTGTGTATTTGAGCGTATAAAACGGGTAGATGGGTCTACAAGTGATTGCCATGTTGTTATCGATAAATAAGCATGTGTTTTATGGCTATTTTAGTAGAATAAAACAGAGCATGTCCAAAAACGTTTTAAGTGTCGTTTGTACGCCAAACATACTTTTGAAGCTCGTCTAAAATGCGTTACTCTGTAACAGCAAGAAGTCAAATTTCGTGCTTATTTGTATTCTGAATACTAAATACCGCACCGTTTTGAGCTCAAGGCATTCGTGTTTTGCTATTTTGATACAGGTACGACACCTAGCGGATGGGCGATGAACAGCAGGGCGGAATGGTGACGGCTAAAGCAAAAAGCCTGGCAGACTTCAGAGGGCTGGAACATGACGTAATATTAAACAACTGTGCCAACGTTCAACAAGAGTTCGGAGATCTCATACCTCCTCGAAACATTTAGAGCTTTTGTAAATTTTGTTGCTTTATTTCGTGTTTATCAAGGATATATGTGTCTGCCTGTGTGTGGATGACGCGTTCAGCACCAAGGACACAACGAGCTTTCATAGTGACCCTGGTACAGTCTCTACTGGACAAGCATAGACGCAAACCCGCAGACAAACTGACCCAAAACCTTCACCATAGAACCAACACTTCCGTACCGGCGGTAACAATGAGATAGAGCGACACGAAATAAATCTGGCGTCGGGAAACAATGAATATTTGCAATGGGAGGGATTTTTGTGAGTCCCGTGTCAGTCACGAGGATCGTTCCATCGCGATAGTTTGCTGAGGAAACACCACAGACTGGTTAAATAACCACGCGCTAGTTCTTAATCACGGCGTGTTGTTGTAAATCATCGATCAGCGGTTGTCAGGTACATAGAAACAGGGCTGTTAACTCATGGTGCAGCCGGCTCCTTGGGGGTTATAATGTACGGGTGGAGTAACATTTTCAGACGGCATCTTTTGCAGTGCCATGTCTATACTCAATATAACGCTCAAGATTTCTGAGCGAAAATGTGTACACTAATATTATTGTGTGTCAGATACCAGTTTTAATGAGATACACGAATGACGAATTTAACAAATTTGATCACGTATCATTACATATTGACGACTTTTGTACATGTAACACATATGTATTTCGTATCCATAAAATGCACCTTTCACTGAGGTTTAGCTCTGAAATGTTAGTAAATGGTCGCTATTTTCACTTACTAAGCACTCTCTACACATACACTACACTACCCTAAATTATTGCATTAGAAACGACTGTTTGCGCACGTCAGTCTTGTTTGCTCGCTCCGCCCTAAGTTAACACTAGTCACGTTGTAAAAGGTAATAAAAGAGTGGCGCGTACCCGACAAGCGTTCTTACCGACAAGGAGCTCGCCCGGTCAAGACGTTCTTTCTTCCTGAATCTGAACAGGTAAGACTTTTGCATTTCTTCTCCTCGTTTTAGTAACAGAAACGGAATGTATGATCTCTTACACACGTAGAGTCATCGCAGACAAATTCTGTTTTCTGTACGATCTTGGTGTAGCAAACGGCAGTGTTGCTACCGAAGTTACTAATGTCAAGGACATTATCCTTGCTACTGTAGAAATACTTTCAAATGGCGGAATATACAACCATCATGATTTTCGTTTGGAGTACATTTTGTAGTACTTACCGATTGAATTCAGCATACGCTCCAGTAAAGGCTTACAAAACCTGAGACCTTTGTATGGCGTTTTATGGCTCCTTCTTTCTTGACTAAACACTCGAACATGTCTCAACGAGGCACTGACAGTTTTACTGTAATGTGAATGGAGAGTCTCTGGAAAAAGGTGCACTCTGAATTTCTGAAAATGTGATGGTAGTACAAGGATCCCTTATATTCCAAATACTAAATACTTAGCATCGCACGCCATTGTTTCTAAGACTTACTACTCACAAAGTGAGTTATAAGAACGTAAAACGTCTCGCGAGAATATAGATGGAATCCATATTTCAAATCCCTCCATAAAATCACAAGAATGCAAAAAACATTAAACCGAATCCTACAAAAGTGGGTTGTGTTAGCTAACATCGGAAATGTCACCTACTTATCACGTGTCCAAAAAATCAGGTCAGTAGTCATGTAATCTTAATTTCTCTCACCTTTGACCCCTACAGATAACAAGACACGATGAAACTGCTTGTTCTACTCGCCTGCGCTGCCTTGGCAACTACTGCGTCACTCTCTTTCGAGAGCCAATGGGAGGCCTTCAAGATTAAGCATGGTAAGTAACGGGATATGGTTATAAAGAATCAAAAAGTTGTATAAAGCAGTTTAACAACACTTACCTTCGTATAGGTGTATCTGGTTTCTAATGGTCTTTAGATAATAGGAAATACTTAAATATCGTCAAATACTGATACAATTACAAGTAGAACAGCTACATAGTTTTTCACGATTTCGTGTAGTGCTATGCTACATCCCTTACAATCTTCCTCTAATTCAGAAGTCGAGTTGTGCACATTTCTCTATAAATTTGCACATGTCTCTGAAGATTTGTACAATCGTTTCTGGATGCGACAAAGATGAAAATTGCTTTGCATATATAAACTGGGGTACATTTCATTGCTTTCTTCCTTATCAGACAAGGCATACAGTGAGAAGGAGGAGTACGCTCGGCGTCTGATCTTCCATGACAATCTCAAGACCATAGAAACTCATAACCAGCAGGCTGACGCCGGGAAACACTCCTACTGGCTGGGGGTCAACCAGTTTGCAGACATGGTGGGTAGGAACTAAGGGACGGTTCAGTGGTGATCGGAGTTTAGTGTATATTGCTTCTATCATATTCCAGACTGTATGAGGCTGGCTATTTGCAATTTCTACTTTTGGGGTTTTAGGGTCCCCCCCCCCAAAAAAAAAAAGATATCCCTCCAAATAAAATGAAAGCTTTCAATTCATCCTGCATCTTTTTTTCTTCAGACACACGCGGAGTACTTGGACAAGGTCATCGGTGGCTGCCTCATTAACGGCAACCTCACCAAAGCAGGTAGCCGCGCCACCTACCGCTTCATCCCGAACCTGCAGGTCAACGACACCGTCGACTGGAGGGACCAAGGGCTGGTCACCGAAATTAAAGACCAGGTGAGCGGAAAGGAAATAAACCTGGTTTGTTTCTGTTCATTGCTAATCTCTTAATTACTTCGTTACTGTCTATATTTGTCTATGGTTAATTGAAGAAGTCTCGTGTTATCATAAATGTCCCTAGCTGCCATGTTTCCAGTATTTACCTACTCCTCATGGAATTTTGCTGAGGAACAAGTAATTAACATTATATCATACAGCCTTAAATTGGCTATCACAGTCCTGTTGACATGTTAAAATATGACTCCCAAAACGACATCAAATAAGGTCGTGGTGAAGTGAGGGGAATCTTACTTTGTGTCTGTTACAGGGCCAGTGTGGATCTTGCTGGGCATTCAGTACGGTAAGAAAATTATCTCATCAGACGATATATGATATTATCGTACAGGTGCCTAATATCACCCTTATATCTGACGTTACTTTCACATTATGCATTACTGTCTATTACAACAATACATTGAATTTTGACCAAAGGTATACATGTAGGCTCTAAAAGGCCAATCCATTTCATCTTTCTGTTAGTAATTTCTTCGGGTAGTCTTCTACAACGTCTCCTCCATTACAAGGTTACAAAGCATTGTTAAAACATAGTGGGTCATATCATTCACAGACGGGGTCCCTGGAAGGCCAGCACGCCAAGGCCACAGGTACCCTGGTGTCCCTCAGCGAGCAGAACCTGATGGACTGTTCCAGGAAGGAGGGGAACAAGGGGTGCGAGGGCGGAGACATGGACCAGGCCTTCCAGTACATCATTCAGAACAAGGGCATCGATACCGAGCAGTGCTACCCTTACCATGCTAAGGTAGATTATAGGTAGCTTCTACCAGGCTTCGGAAAGCGACTGGAAGGAGTAGAAATTGGCCAATTAATTAAAGCCAAGTAGACAGATAACATGCCAGGGAGTTGGTCTCCTATAAAAGAGTATAGTTTGTCCCTCCCAGATCAACTCCCCTGATGTGTTATTGGGCCAATTTCTAACCTTTCCAGCCGCTACCATTACCAAGCTAAGGTAGATTCTAGGTTACGTTCCTGTTCATTACTTCCGAGACGGAAGTATTGTTCTGGGTGTCGCTGGTTTCTGAGGAGTTCGCATGTCCTCGTAATCATACCATATAGTCCTATACATTAAGAAATGCACAGAACACATACTTCACGGAAGTCTAATATCTCCGCTTACCCTTATAGTCTAGTTCTCTTTTTACGATGGGAACATTTGAGGTACTATAATAGATACTAGTTACAAGTACGTATATCATTTAAGTCTCGTATTGCAGCCATACACTGCAAAGTGAGTGAAAACAGCTTTCACAGCAGTATTATAGTCAATAAACAACCAGGATATCCAAAAGATCAACTTTCAGTTCATCTCGTTCTTTACTTATTTCTTCAGAACCACCGGTGCAAATTTGACAACTCTTGTATCGGCGCCACCATGTCGAGCTTCACTGACGTCACATCCGGTGACGAGGATGCTCTGAAGCAGGCTACTTTCAACATCGGTCCGATCTCTGTCGGCATCGACGCCAGTCACCAGTCCTTCCAGTTCTACAGCAGCGGTCAGTACGCACCATCCTGTCATCATATTAAATCACTGCAAAATCATTTTACTTCCGGGACGGAAATATTGCTTTGGGTGACACTGGTTAAGGGGGAGTTTGTATGTGTCACGTCCTGAGCAGCGAGGATTGGACGTAAGTGGGTGGAGATTGCATTTTAGTTGTGTTGTGGCCCTGTCAATCGACTTAAATGGTCAATGGAATAAAATGGACGTGTTGTATACTCTTTCCAGGTGTGTACAATGAGTTTGAATGCAGCAGCACGAAGCTTGACCACGGCGTGCTGGTGGTAGGGTATGGCACATACCACAGCAAGGACTACTGGCTGGTGAAGAACAGGTGGGTTATTGTATTAAACACTTCCTAGTTCCGCAATAATAACACAATGAGTACAGTCAAATATCCTGTAATTTTGGACGGTCAACCGACGTCGTTTCCTTGTAGATATGATTTCGAAACTTAATTTTTTTTAAGTTTTCGGGTGTTTCTTTGTTCTGTAGCTGGGGCACAGTCTGGGGCAACCAGGGCTACATCATGATGACACGTAACAAGAACAACCAGTGCGGCATCGCCACCGACGCCAGCTACCCAGTCGTGTAGCTCTTACTATACTACTCATGTCGCCATGTTTGTTTTTCAATGATGATTACATAATCAAACCTTAACTTGAAACCTCTCCATTTGAAACGTCCACGGCTCATCACTATTCATGAACATTAGTAAAACGATGTTATAATACACGATAGAGTACACATAGATATGTATAATCACGCTCTCATTTAGCGGTGCTGGTTCACCTTAATCTTCACTTTTCTTGATATCATTTGCACGGGAATCATTTAATCTTGTGGTTCGACTGTTAGTTTTGAATTTACCGAAAGAAATAAACATTAAAAACAGAATGGTTGTACTACTTTTACTCATGAATCTTTTTTTTAGTTTTGTCGTACTCAGTGAATAATGGGTGATATGATATCTCTGTGGTAGATACAACAAAATCTATTTTATGTCTGTTACTGCGTATACAGTAGACAGCAACATCTATAGTTCGATACTTGGAGTTGGTTAGTAGGGAAGCCACCATACGGTTTTGTAGTATTTTAAGCAGGCTGTGACAGAACATCTCTATGCCCGACAAGGATCCAGGACGGTTGAATTTGGTACAACAAACGCACGTCTGCCCCAAGAATTCCCTCAGTTTGCGACCGTACGAACAACAACCGGACGCCGAATGATTTAGCGCCAGTATTTGGGTAAACAGGCGCTGTCAATATACATGTACATATCGAGTCGTCCGTTGCGACCTTTGTATCATTCAACTTTGAGCAAGGCAAACTCATGAACTCGTCGAATCAGCAGATAATGTCACACAAGGACCATTTGTGTGATGTCTTCCCCCTAACGTTTCACAAAAAGTAATTACAGCCCAAAATTGTTCCAATAGCTATGAACTTTATAGTTAGGTTAGTGACCTCCTCTCTCTAAATCACCCTTTCTTTTGTACACAAGCCTGCGTACCAAGTTACTCATTCCAAAGCAGAGAAGGGGCTGAATCTGTTTCTTGTCCCTTGTGCATTAGTACTTTTCACTTTCTTAGGAAGTGTAGACTTAATTTAAAAGTGATAAGAAATCAACCTGTCCCTTAGCATACATAACCCCGTCGGTAAGTCACGATGACAAAGCATGGCCGCCATATTGATTTTAGTCACAAGATGGTGGACTTTGTTTGCGTCACCTTGGGGTAACCTAGCGTCACCTGGGTAAAGTCAACAGTCACATGGTGTCCCCTAGCCGCTATAAAACGGTCACGCGACCGGCAATCTGTCTCACTCGATTCAACTCCTCAACCCGGCTAGCGGCACTGCCTGTTCTCTGATTCAACTGACGAAAAAGGTGAGTTTATCCAAGTTGTAAGACTATAAACACGCACATGTTAGCACTGCAGTGTACGGTATTTGTCTACCTACACGTATACTCGAATAGGCAAATACTTGTAGTACCAGCTTGTTCTCTGTCAAACCTGAACCACCCAGCAAACCAGCTAGTAGATCTCCACGTTTGGTTTCAAGTTCAAAACTTTCTTGTTTAGAAACAATATGAAACATTGCAGACTACAGTATGTTACGTTATACGGATAGATGCCTTATACCCAGAATAACCAGTCTAACATGTTTGTAGAAGTAGAGACTGGTACTAGAAAGAACTTAATGTGTGTGGGTAAATATCTTGACCTGTGGACTCGTGAGGACACAGCAATGACTCCTGTTCCTCGTTCTAGTTTGTAAGGACAAGCATAACGTCTGTTGCCCTTCTTCTAAACTCCTAAGAATGTTACCATAAGTACTATGAGAATTTCTCTTCAACTCATGTCAAAAATGCATTCATGAATCATACTAATTATGGCACCTAAGAACTTAATAAATAACGTACTAGACTGTTTGCATGTGACACGTTTTAATTATACCCCTTGCCACTAAGGTGGCTACCGTAGAGCGACCTTTGAGTGAGCAAAACAGCTCAGTAATAGTTCAAACGAATTTCGTCGCTTAAGATCTAGATGTATTTTGTTGTGGACTTTTTTCCATGTCTATAGTAGCTTGTAAACAATTAAGTTTCTGTTCACACTACAGTAGTAAATTGTCTTGCCCCAGTGCTTTTATTCAAAAGTTTCCAGGACAATATGCTTGTAATTTATCTTTTTTCCCCACCCCGTGCCTTAAAATAGTATTGGATTGATATAGAATCTAGAGGTGCCATGGGACATGTGACCCTTACATAACTCAGGTAAAAGTCCGACCGCAAATATCTCTGGACTTCGTTCGCTTACGCAATGTAACACATTTACCATTGTTTCATCAGCCGACATCATGAGGCTCTTTATCGCTGTCGTCTGCGTTGCCATGGCAACGGCCTCTCCGCTTCTGAACCCCCAATGGGAGGTCTTCAAGAAAGCTTACAGTGAGTATGACAAATTGACAAATACTGTATGTTAAATGATAAAACTGTGTTATTTATCTATAAATCTAGATACTTGTAGTACGGGGGCTATCGGGCACGGTACGCATGCGCCTCATACGCGTTGCCATGCCAGTGTATCGCTTAATTTCCGTGCTCCATAATGATTAGTATGATCTCCATTATAGTTGAACAGCGCATGCGCAGTGTAATGCATTGTGGGTAATATGTCAAAGTTGAAGGCTCCTCAGACGGAAAAAAAAACATGTCTGGGCATGTATCAAGCATGTTTACATGCCATAGGCATTCACCTTTGACCTAAAGCATGCGCAGTACTAGTTGGAACATTCCCCAGTGTCGGTTAACATGTAGCGAGTCACAAGTATGCTAATGAGTACTATGCAAATTAACCCATCTCTCCGCCCCCAGACAGGGTGTACGCTGCTGAGGAGGAGTACGCCAGGCGCCTGATCTTCGAGGACAACCTGAAGACCATCCAGATGCACAACGAGGAGGCTGACCGCGGGCTGCACACCTACAGGCTGGGCGTCAACCAGTTTGCCGACATGGTAAGATTCATGACTTACTAGTAGTCTGTTGGGGGAATTTTGAATGGAACATCTGCGTTACCTTGAATAGAGTAAAATTGCCTCTCCTTTTAGGAAAATGTGTACCTTGGGATTTGACTTTTAAGGGCCCGGTCACATACGTCGTAGCTCGTCCTACGATTTTGAGGTGGTGAGATTTTCAAGCAGGCTGTGACAGAACCAACTGTCGACAGGTATAAAAGACAGACTTTTACATGTAGATAACAAGGCAGCTTACACAACATTTCTTTGAAACATGCACGGATATGTCCAACAATGCCCTAAGTTTGCGATCGCACGGCGGTCCTATGATGAATAAGACCAGGCCTAAATATCTTTCCATAAGAGTCTAGCATAAGATCTAGATAATTTTTCAAACAAGCTGTAACACTTTTTCCCGCCGAAACACGCACAGACTCACAAGGAATTCCTGGAGAACGTCATCGGCGGCTGCCTGATGGACACCAACACCAGCAAGTCCAGCGCTGACCACGTGCACGAGTACGACCCCACCCTGACCGACCTGCCCGACACCGTGGACTGGAGGGACAAGGGTTACGTCACCCCCGTCAAGAACCAGGTACTTACTTATCCACTTCATCCCTTGCAAAACATTCTGAAAGGCCGACTTGTTTGGGGTCTGTCCTTGGCCACCTTTTTTGCTGATTGCTGATTACGTTTTGGATAGCCTGGTTACCACACTTATTTCGGCAGCTGAGAGGATGAATACTCGGGAGGTAGAATAGGTTTGGTAACCAGGCTACGTTTAGATTGCCTTCACCTTGTGCTGTGCATTTGATCCTCCTCATACCACTGTTATGCACAAGTAAAATCGTGTTGTACAAGTAAATGGGAGGATTTTTTTTTTGCTACTACTTAACATTAGTACTTACCATATATGATTTTTTTTTCCTTTCCAGGAGCAATGCGGATCTTGCTGGGCATTCAGTACGGTAAGTAAACTATTCAAATTTTACTTACTAGTCATCTGGGTCAAATTCATAATCGTTATGGAGGATTCACGTGCCCTACGGCATGCACATACGAAAGTAGTTATAAAGTACACAAAGTAACAGGAGACCTCACTCGAGCACATTTTGTATACCTAGCAGAAGAGAAAACAATGGTAAGCAGCTACTGGTGGCCGATGAAATAAGCAAACAAAAGAAACAAACATACGCGTTAACAACGTAAAATTACTTTCTCTGATCACACTTTTTGATTCCTTTCCATTGCAGACCGGTTCTCTGGAGGGTCAGCACTTCAAGGCTACCCAAAAGCTGGTTTCCCTGAGCGAACAGAACCTGGTGGACTGCTCCCGTAAGGAGGGGAACCAGGGATGCCAGGGTGGTCTCATGGACCAGGGCTTCAAGTACATCAAGGACAACGGTGGCATCGACACTGAGGAGTGCTATCCCTACAAGGCCATGGTTAGTGCTGTTAGGCATTTTTTACCTTTGTCTAGAACTTTATGTTTTTTGGTAGCATGTGTATGTGTGTACTTTAGTTAAGATATGGTTTAGCGTGATAACTGAAGAAGCTATGAATGGATTGCCATAGAATTTGACCTACCAGAGAAATATATGTATTTGGAGCCTATATGGTGGCTTCTCTTGTTACTGCAGTAGAACCTTCAGTTATGACATAGACATCGTTTTCTGGACATGCCAGGGACATGCTTTGTTGCCTTTGCTCAAGTAAAGAATTGATGCGGGTTTGGGCCTCCTTGTACTTTTTAACTGCAGCGGCCAATTTTATCTATGATTTTGGGAGGCCATATCTCGAGAAGGGGTTGATGGATTGTCGCGGAGACGATTTTACTATCTGGTACCATAACTTCTATTTTTTTTTGTTTACTTAATTTTCCCTAGAACGAGAAGTGCCACTACCAGGCCAGTTGCATGGGCGCCACCCTGTCCAGTTACACCGATGTCAAGACCAAGGACGAGGACGCTCTCCAGCAGGCCGTCGCTACTGTCGGGCCCATCTCTGTCGCCATCGACGCCGGACACTCATCCTTCCAGCTCTACCACAGTGGTAAGCCCAAAGAAAGTTTTTTTATCAAGAACCTTGCCTGTCTAGATGTCAAGGTGTTGTATTTCTGGCTTGTGTACGAGTATCATACAGTATTGACAATTTCCGCGATATATGACCAAATATGTTGCTGACACACAAGGTTTTGTTTTCCAGGCGTGTACCACAACTTCTTCTGCAGTGAAACCAAGCTGGACCACGGTGTGCTGGCGGTCGGCTATGGTACCGATGAGGGCAAGGACTACTGGCTCGTGAAGAACAGGTACGACGATTGTATAACTTGTTCTTTAGGACCCATGTGCTATGAAAAATCACATTGCAGATTTGTCAACTGACTCAAGTCACTAAATGGGCACAGTATGAATGGCTATAGAAGACATGCCTCAAGTCCAGTCGTTGCTTTTGGCTTATGGACATATGCTAGTTACAGAGTTAAAACTTTGTTCCAAGCAAGGCACAAAGAGGTTACGGCATCAAGGTCTCGACTGTCCAACTGCAGTCTTTCTCAGACATCAAGTGATAAATCATATACCAGCTAAATCAGCAATTGGTCAAAACAGCCAATAATTTTGTACCGCGTCCGCCTCTGTTTAGTGAAGGTCGGTGTGCGTTGAGATGAATGGCTTCCTAGCTACATGTACGTACTATGTAACAAGTATGGAGATGTCATAACCTTGTGGTGTTGTTTTCTATAATTACAGCTGGGGTGAATCCTGGGGTGACAAGGGCTACATCAAGATGTCCCGTAACAGGCACAACAACTGTGGAATCGCCACTCAGGCCAGCTACCCAACAGTCTAGATGTTACACAACAAATCCCAGACAATCATAGACGCGAAATTGTAGCCTGGAATTCGGATGAAAAATGAAAAAAAAAAAGCTTAAGAAGCAAGCTCCTATCTGGCTCTTCTGATGACAGAGATTATTTACTCGTAACTATTCAGTAGTCAGAAGCCAGCCCTTGCTTTCTGTTGAACTAACGAGTATAATAGCTTAACGAATAATTCGACATAGCTATATAGGATCTAGGAAAAGATGTCGAAAGGTTGAAATACGTCAAACAAATTTGACGCACCTTCTCACCATGTTGAGTGGTTAACTTCAAATACATATTGTAAAATGTTTCTGAATACAAATATGTGAATACTCGCTTTTCGAACTTCATAACTCTTAGTTTATACAGCTGTCGGGACACTTTTGCAATAATAAAACGACACAAATATCCTGTTAGTATTGCCAAAATGTGCAGCATTTTACTAGAAAGGAAAGTCTTGTGATTGTGCTTATCGCTAGCTACCTAGTAGTATAAATGTTTTAGGTTTATTTCTTTTTAGAAATGATTTGTAGACTCTTCAGAACAGCGCCTTTTCTTGCCTAGAAAAATCGCACTAAACTTTTATCACTTCCCATAACTCTGTCTTGTTTTGTTTTATTTTATTTTGTTTTGTTTACCCAATGGCTTGTTTAGCTTCTAATTAGTCTGTCTATCTGGTATGGTCTGGAAAACGTTTTAAATATCTAACTTACCTTATGCTGATAGTGTTTTGTGGTTTACTTATAAAAAGCGCCTTCTTCCCCACCCTGTGGCCAGTTTTAATGGCATACATAGTCTTCATGTACATTATCACAGAAAAAAAACATGCGTGATATTTTCCCCCATCCTCACTCCGTAATCCATGACCGGATCAATATGCAGATTCAGTAAATTTAGAAGCCACAAAAAGCCCAACACGTAGAGGCTACTAAGGAGACCACAAAACTCGGGAAGACCAAGTATTGAAATTTATGTCCTACCTGGGCCGCGATATACGTTCGATACAGGTGTTCCGGCCCGTGTGATAACTAGCGGTACGGCCCGGAGGTTCTTAACGCGTACGGCCCGGCCCTTCCAAATGTTCCATAGAAAGATTCGAACGCGTTTCGCCCTAACCGCGTGCAACGCTTCCGAAAGTTCGAATGCAAAATTCGGACGTTGAAATTGATGTTGTTGCGTTTTTTGGGAGCCAAGTCTTATACAAGTTTGACTGTAATGACATCTCGTATAGAATCCACGTAAAAGCCATGTATCACGCCTAGTCAGAAACCAACTGCAATTCCCTACAGCCTTATTTGTAAATAAAACTGAAATATTCATACGAAATCTAAGTTCCAAGAATTATACAATGACACAAACGATTTGCAATGACACAAACATGTTAGCAATGACACGACATGACGCCTTTTCTTTGAGTATTTCATCATCTTTTATCTATCAGTAGAATGAATGCAATAACATGCTTTAACGCTGGCGTTATTCTTAGCGACTAGTGCAATATGCGAGTACGATTATGCCAAGTTCATCACGTAATATAAACTATGACACCAAATAAGAATAGCTGCGGAAAAACAAACACAAACAAACACACCGCAAAAACACAGTACATAGCCGTACACATGTAAAAAACACAAAATATTATGGTAAATGTACGTTTTGAACTCTTGTTGAAGGTTGTAGAAGTTCGTCTGTCAGTGCGTCATAGTTATCCATTTTTCTGTTTTGAAAAGGTGGGGCGATTTGATCATACATGGTACGTACACTGTGCGCTTATGACGTGAAGACACGTAAGACCCGTGAGAACTGAAAGGGTGTTCCCTCTCATTAAAAACTAATGATAAAAAAGAAATCATTCTACTGTTTATGGCAACGCTGTAATCCATCGGCTAGCAATAACACAGTCAGGAATTTTGCTCTGATACTGAAGAGTCTTTTCTCAATTTGTTATCATTAATTTTGTCTTTTCATTTTTTTTCTTCTTATTTTTAGCTCTCCGGCTCATCTACCCCCTATATTTGAAACCTTTTCCCATGCGTGTGCCCACACAAAACATAGCTAGAATTTACAAGCATCGCTTAATTAGTAATTCCAGCGTAGTCAAGGACTTCGATAGGGTCCTACAAGCAGTGAAAATTATATTTTACCAGACAATATACCACCAAAGAAGTGCGTGATGGTATAGTAACGTTTCTTAATAATCATACTCATTTTCATACTCAGTTTAAATCCAGGCTTATCCGTAGGAGTTCTAAACCTTGATATGTACGTTAGTGATACAGTATTTAATTGCTTTATTCTATATGTGTCGGGGAGATTGAAATTATGAATTTCCTTCTATTTCTGTGTCGTGATTCATCTGTGAGAGGATGTCTACAGGGGTGGACTCCCACGCCTGCCTTCTGTTGTTTACTCTCCGGTAGCGAGAAAAGGAAACACTTCACTGCACGGCAAACAGACTAAATGTCGTCCAATTACACCCGAGGAATATCTATTTATTCCTACCTAACAACGTCACAACACAAGGCCCCTGTCCCTCAGTCTGGGTTGCGTTAGCGATACTACAGCTTCTAGACTCTAGAGATCCCTCAAAGGAAGACAAAGTGCACAGCGTGCACGAAGTTAGGGCTTGACCTTATGATAGCACGGTGACATCAGGGTGAGGTGACAATACGACGTCTCGCCTCATCACGTGGTCACCCAACGGCTTGTCCTTACGTGACCACAAAGCGTCACGTAACGTCACGTCACGTCACGTCACGTGACAATTGCAGGCTACATCCCACTGTTCTGACAGACCTGGGCAGAAATTATGGCAACCACCACGGCTGGATGGGGGGATTCTTCCTCTGAAGAAAACTCAGGAGACGGAAACAACATGTTGTGGACGACAGACACCACAGTAAACGTTTCAGACGTTTTCCCGTTAGGGGTGGACAGGGAAGAACTTGGAGAGATTGTGTGGTGGCTAGCCTCGACCACAATAATCATAGTCGCTGTCGTCGGCTTGTTTGGGAACTCTCTCATCATCGTCGTCAGCCGAGAGATCTACCGACAAAGGCCGACGATGCCGAACCTCCTGCTGATCTACCTCTCCTGGACAGACGTTCTGAACTGCTCTCTTGGTGTGACGCCGCTGGCGTTGTCCTACTACTTCAACATCTACGTTAACCAAGCCATGTGTGACTTCAACGCCACGGTGTTGCTAGCGCTTAGCGTGGCGTCCCAAATGATCGTGGCCCTCATGTCAGTGGACAGATACTGGGCCTTGCTTCACCCCTTCTCCTACAACCGTCATTTCGGTTACGACAAGTCGAAAATCTACCCCGCTTTAGTTTTTATCTTTCTCTACACGATGGTTGTTTCGTTCCTGCCCCTGTTCGGCTTGGTTAAGAACGTGCCCCAGTACCCTAACTCGTACTGTATGTTCGACTGGACGGATGACAGTCCCACCGGCAGGGCGGTTGTGTACATCAACGTTGTCAACATGTTTCTGTGCCTCTTCATCATAGTGGTGAGTAAAACACATACCTTCAAGTTGTTTGTTCATTGTATGCATTAGCCTTAGTACCATCCTGGTTAGTTTACGTCCGCTCCCGCAGGCCTTTTTGGCAAGGACAAGCAAGGGACATCAATCCTCCCGCGGACTGACTCTCCCAATCAATTATTCTTCATTTCGTCTAAGCCTTGTGGAGGCTAATATACGTACACAAGGCTAGATGGGATATTTTTACAATGTTAATGATGACGTTTTTTGCGTGTGTGTTAATAAAAAGCCATTAAGAAAACCACGGTATCTCTGCATGGTTTCGTAGTTAATAAGATGTTTAATTTCAATAGGTAAATTGGTTTAAGTGCTACATGATAAAAAGTGTTTTGTGTAAATACCCTAATCCCCACGCTTAGAATGAACGTTAAGACGAAAATGACAGACTATAAACTAAATTCCTTACTGACTCCTTTCTTGACAGAAAAAAATTCTTGCGTGATTTTAGCACTTAGATAGTTGTGTATTCGCTTTGTGTACCCTAAATTCTTATAGTGTCTGACAAAAACAGATAACTCCATTGAACATTAAAGTTTGTAACGGTTGTGGCCAAGAGAATTTATTTCAAAGTTTATCACTGCCCAAACCGACATGTTTTTGTCAAACCACTTTTGGTGTAGTGGTTGTTTGTGACCCTTTCTTCCTTTATTCAAACTTTACCTCAACTTTGAAAACAAACAACATTTTTCAAGTCGTAAATCGATAACAAGGTAAAACAAAAACTTCTGCTGGAGTTAATGAACGATAAGACAAGGAGGTTTAAACTTCTGCATAATTATAAGCTCGATAGACTATAACATTGTTAGAATTCTTATAATGACAACAATAAGGACTATGATAATAATGATGAGGGTAATGATGAATAGAACATACTAGTATTACTAGTAATAGAGAATACCGGTAATAGTAAATGGACTAAGAAGCGAAAGTTAAAAATCGTGCTGAGGCCTCCTTTCCACTAGACAACAATCGTACAGCGACCAAAATTGGATTAGTGTGATCTCTCATTCCATAACTTATATACTATGAATACGATGCAAGCTGTAAAAGTATGATTTGAAAGACAACAACATACACGGTTTTAAAAATTGTTCTTCATCTAAGGCATTTGTTGAGCGGTCTTCTAGTCGCTCAATGGTCGTTTCGCGGCCACAGCCAGTAGTAATGTAGCTGGTGTAAAAGCTAAGAAGCATCTCGCATGTTGTCCTATAGGTGGTGAACGCCTTTGTCGCTGCGTACATGTTCCGGTTGAGACGGGTCCGGCCTCGACTTCCCAGCCGGGACTCAGAGGTGGCAGGCGTGCAGGAATGCAGGTAAACCATTCATTCATCCTCCCATCTATTCACTCATTCATTCATTCGTGAATTTACCCATCCATCCATCCGTTCATTCAAGAACTCAGTCCTCCATCCGTTCATTCATTCGTCCATTCATCCATCCATCCGTTCATTCAAGAACTCATCCCTCCATCCGTTCATTCATTCGTCCATCCATCCATCTTTCCGTCCATCCGTTCATTCATCCATTCATCTATCAGTTCACTTTACGCACGTTTACTGTAATTCCTCAGGTTAGAGCTACAAATGGCCAGGTTGACGCTTGTGGTGGCCGTGGCATTCTTCTGTTCCTGGTTCCTCTTTGCTGTGAGTAGTCAAAAAACTCTTGTCTTAAACTTAGTTATATACTAGAATTCGCTTGTTACCTTCACGTAGGGAAGTTTTGTTTTGTGTGGATGGGTTTTTGTTTTGTGACTATGTTCTAACTGCTTTGCAATTGCATGGTGAGAAGGAGGTGATTTTGAAAGATGATTGATAGGAAAGTCAAGGGGCCCAGAGAACTCTGGAAGTATGTAGTATAATACCCGATTAAATAACACCATATAAAATCCCCACCACAGTACGCATACATTCAAAATATACTTCCTGGAGGTGTATGGGCTTTAAGGTCACGAAAATCCCCAAAACTGGAACTCTTAAGTTTCTGATTTCTCGTCTTTCTATAAAAGAGAATTACAATGAGTTTTCTGGTATCTCTACTCTATCAGAAGATTGTCTGACATTTAGTCGATCAACATGTTATGTAATGTAATTAAAACTAGCTTTCCTAACACGGAGTGCTCAGTAAACATTCTTCTAATGACGTTATACTTAAATATTAAAGAATCGAAAACACAACACTTGAATAGCTACATTTGCAACTTCAAAGGGGTATTAATCCAGTGACTTGTCAACTGTTTCGTGGCGTACTTGATCACAAAAAAAGGTCAAGCACATGTCGACGCCAATATTTGACAATTTCAAAACTGTCGGAAAACAAACCACTAATGAACGTACTATAAATAAACTACGCCTACGGATACATTCGAAAAGGCCAATACTTATATTGCCTGTTACAAATTAACTATAGAAACAATGACATCTAAGTACTTGATAGGAAAATTAATTTGGACTCGTCCTTGTTGTAAGCTCTACCGGAGGTCCGGGCGCATGGCACCTTGCCAACATTTAATCGCTACCTGACGAGTGAGTTTGATAAATTATCAAAAGTAAATTTCTCCTACAAACAAAGTTAACACAGGGCAGTTTGTGTTTATGTAAGTAATATTGAGAGTAATTATCGAGAGCTGAGCTCGTCCAACGTACCATTCACTTCCTACCAGCCTGTAAGACCTCATTTAACCTCCAATTCAACCTTCTTGTCAGTCTGTGGTAACACAATTTATCACCTTGTGTACTGTGACTCTACTGTATAAAAACAACGGACACACTAGCACAGTCTATTCTATTCACACGTCAAACAGTCGATTTGTCACTTTAGTATGACGTTAAACTTTAAAGATGCTTAAGGTTCGTGATGGCAACATTTGCTCACTGGTCGACCTGGGCGGAGTCATAAAGACTGAACCGCTACTAAATGTAGAATCCTGTTTGCACAAAACTTAACGACCACTCCCAGACGCCTAAAGGATATTAGCTCCATCTGATCAACCAATAAAGGGGTCTGTGTTATTCTAGCACTTGAAGTGACTAATATCCTGCAAGGGTGGTTGTGTTTGTTCGGCTGTGCCCTTTGCATGCACCGTGTTACGTTTGGATGTTGTCAGTGTGACGTGTGTAGTTCTGTGCTAGTATATCACCATATATTGACTGTGTTTTCGATGCCATACGAATGTGTATGCATGTAACCCGTACATGTGGAAATACGATCTCGTAGCAATTGATTTTGAATCACATGAAAAGGAACGATAGTGATTGGGATGAAATTGAACACAGAATGTTTAAATATTTTATTCCAGACACGTATTCTGGCCAATCAGATCGGAGGGTGGCCGGACAAGGATCTGGACTATCTTGGCGCCAGACTGATGACGTTTAACAGCGTCATCAACCCCGTTCTCTACATCATCATGAGGAAGCCCTGCCGCAAAGGATGCTGGATGATCATCAAGTCCGGGGTACATTACGTCACGTTCAAAATGGTGGCCGCTCCTACTATGACGTTGGCTGAAACTGTCGCGGCTTGATAGTTTGACATTGCGTACAAATCACCAAATTTGATAAAGATTTTTTTTAATCTAGACAATGTGGCGACTTGCTACGACGCGAAAACGTTGTAGTTTTGACATCTTCGACGGCTAAAGAGAGGAAGCGTTAGGAGTGGGTAACAGAGCCAATAAAAAAATTTGGTAAGAAGACAATGAACTAGGGAAAAAATAAAGAAGAAAGTTGGCAGAAAATACAACATAACAAATTGCTCAGGTAGCATTGGTTACATTGGTTACAGAGCAATTCAGCATATTTGTAGTCTACCTCTTTTCAAGAAGGATGTTTCTTTCCCAATGCAAAACATTACATTTAGGTCCCTGATTTGAATGATTATGTCGTAACGGTTATATTGCCATGTCTTGTCGTTCATCCCTTTGGTCTGTACCTACCTCAATGTCAACTCATGCTGTAACGTTTTATATATTTTGTTATCCTATGTATGTTGATTTCTAGTATAACAGTTTAGTGATAGTAAGGCAGGTTGTCATTATATATGTGAAATAAAAACCTCATGGGACATATCGTTGGAATTTGTTTGTTTTCTTTGTTTCTTTGTTTACTTCACTCAATCTAATGTCATTTGAAACTGGTATTTTAGTTCGGAAAGCATTTTTCCACTCCAATAAGTACAACTTCTGGGGTTAAATGTCACGGTCATGCATGCTACGTTGAAGTGAAAGAGGAAGTTTTATGTTATTTTGAACAGACGTCCCAAGAGGTAAGGTAGTAGTTTGCATTTTACTGCTCGTGTGCTGTAGTTTCTTTCTTACTACTCCAACTGCCCTTTTCTTACCTTGTCTTCTGACCCACGCATACCAAAACTTGGGAATGGGAGCAGTATATTAAACATACTTGTTCAGTGTGTGTAGTCGGTAGACTGTATGAGAATAGACGTGTATTCTACGTTTCTATATGAACATCATAAAGTACATGATTATAATGGATAGACATGATTATATAATGGATGAATTGACGAAAATGGCAAACTATGGCATTCTTTGGTTGATGTTAAACTGTATCAAATATTAGGCGTAGTCTCTATACTGCTAGCACATGTATAAAAACTTCCGTAAAAGTGACATGGCAATAAGGAACTTGTTTGGCAGTTACTAATTTTAGCTATCAGGAAATAGCGGTTGGGGCAGCGCCAGGAATCCCCGGAAAAGTTTAAGATTAAGGTTAGAAAAACATTAGTTCCCCAAAACAGAGAAGTGCTCGGGGACACTAACAGGAAGTTAGGTCAAAGGTCTCAGAAAAATCCCAGAAAAGCTTATCTCATTTCCCTGTTTTCAATTTCCTGAAAATATGCATGACTGTTGTCTTATAAGAGCCAGTGGAAAATGGATTTACAGTATAACTTGAAATTCACAAAAATATTTACTATAACTATTTCACGGAGGTACGAAATCTCCAAACTCCATTCTTACCTTAATGTATTTATTTATTTATCGGTTTGGCTGTTCAGCACGCACTGCCAGAGCGTCGCAACTAGCCTGTGGCTATTGCAAAGGGCTGTCCTTGCTGACAAAGACAATGGAGTTTGACATGAACAGCATAACTGTCTATAACATTATGCTGAGTACACTTGTTCTTATCTTTCTTCGTTATGCTTACAGTCAGCATCAATAACTAAACATGCAACGTTTCAATAATGCAATAATTTATCTACCCCTCGTGACTTTCTTGTGACCATGGTATTTCCTCAATGTTGCACTTTTTCAGTGCCTCGACGTCTTGACCTTTGCTTTTTGTACCCCGAAGTTAGTCAGCCTTTCGATTTTATTGGGCAATTTGAAGGGCGCCATCGCCATCTGTATTGTTTACAGAAAACATTGCATAATGTTGCCATCCCCTTCAGAAGCAATGGCCGGCTGTATGTCAACAAGCACCACTGATTGAATTTACAATAATAGCCTTGTGGTCAGGTTACTCGCCTTTTCGCCGAAATGATGTGTTAAAGACTCCTGTTTTTTTTTTAATTGCGGCGAGGAAGTGCAACTACCTTGAAACGTTGCAATGTTGCCACATGAAGAGTCACGCACAAAAGGCCCCCTTGCAGTCATGTGATACCAAAGGCTTCCTCATTGGCGCTCAGTACAGGTGTTCCGATTTAAAGTGCAAATATATAAAGGTCTCTTCTGACCCGGAGATACTGGCAGGTACGGTGTCAGTAGAATCATTGTCTGTCAGGTAAGATGACTGTTTCTGTTGTTTCTGGTCTTCTTTTCCCATTCTTAGTCAGCATTGTAGGTGCAAACACAGACACTAAGTAACAACAAAATATCCAATTCACACTACGAAAAGTTTCAGTGGAATTCACTAGTAATTCGTCATAATTTGTCGACGACTGGTACCCTTTTGTTTCGTGCCTCTATCAGTACAATAGAGACACGAAACAAAAGGGTTTCAGTCGCAAGGTAAAATCTCAATGCCATGAAGAGAAACATTATGTGAGACATTTCACCGAACATGTTAGCCACCACATGAGATCCTCGTGACTGACGTGACGACCTTTTACCTCAGCAAACAGCTTGTGCACCTTTGATGATAAATATTAACCCCTGGTCCTGAGAGTCTTGGGTGTCTCATGTGACCTATCCACATATCTCTGTGGCAGTCGCCAGACAAGCCACTAGATTAGGAGGGCTGTAGTTCATTGGTAGTTGGGTGCCACGCATGTGCACAGCAGGGTAAAATGGCAGGTCAACATCAATGTACAACCCTGACGGAAATTTGATAGCTAAGCAAACCTGAAAGCATACGCAAAGGCAACGTGAATGAAATAACGTATCCCCAATGAAGACGAAAACTATTAGCTATTATCTACTTGGAGACTAAAGCAATTACTGCACAAATATTTCATGCCAAGATCTAGCTGGTGTAAATGGCACCTGTCAATACGATGTTTCAAAAATGTAATATAGATCTTGTTTTATCCTTTCAGACAACAGACATCAAGATGAAGCTCCTAATTCTCGTTCTTTCTGTCACCATGGCAACGGCCATGGATCCTGAGTGGGAGGCTTTCAAACTCACACACGGTATATTTCCCATCAGTTATACTGTTAATTAAATACGAGACCCATGCGAAATTTGTTTTTCTGTAAATATATCAATATCAATTACACATGTTGTTTTGCGTGGCTGGTTTGTGTGTGTGAAGTTTTTTTATCAGAAAAGAGTAGGTCGCAAACGCGTAGGAGGAAAGATTGACCGGCAACATGATATGAGGTCAAAGGTCTCAGAATCTACACAGTAGCCATCAGTAAGTAGAGGTCGACATGGGGGAATTCAGGAAGCCAAGGATGGTATACTTCCTGGGCGTCTGAAAGAACTGATTTCTTGTTCTTGTTCTGTAGGCAAGCAATACAACAGTCCAGAAGAGGAGAATGTCAGGCACGTCATCTTTCAGGACAACAACCAGATGATCAAGGAACACAACCAGGAGGCAGCCATGGGCAGGAGGTCCTACTTCATGGGCATGAATCAGTTTGGAGATCTGGTATATGATCACTTGTATCTATCTCGTGCAGTATAATCTTGTTACAGACGTAGCGTATTCTGTACAATAGGAAATTACGTAAACGTCACTACAGTAAATGATGACTAAACATGGTTGGTTGGTTGGTTGGTTGGTTGGTTGGTTGGTTGGTTGGTTGGTTGGTTGGTTGGTTGGTTGGTTGGTTGGTTGGTTGGTTGGTTGGATGAGAATCAAGTCCCTATTTACAGTAAAAATGTCTTCCTGTAGGCACACAGTGAGTATCTGGAGTTTGTCGTTGGTCCCGGCCTGCTGCCGCTGAACCAGTCTCAGCCCTCCGAGAATGTCTTCGAAGGCACCCCGGGGCTCCAGGTTGACGACACCGTGGACTGGAGGCAGAAGGGCGCCGTAACGCCCGTCAAGGACCAGGGAAAGTGCGGGTCATGCTGGGCCTTCAGCACTGTACGTATGCGGAAGGATTTTGTAATATCCATTAGGCGACGATAGTTTTGGGGAATTGTATGTATCTCTTCTTGAGTTTGGAGTTGAGCGGGCAGAGATTAGGTTTCAATTGATTGACAGGGTTGTGACACGGCATGCCATAGCTGGTAAGATGTGGTTTTCGAAATCGCAATACACATTCGAGAGGAATTTGTACTGTGTAATCATACGTATCAAATATAAACCATTAAACAGCGGAATACAACAGTATGGGTAACATTCCATTATAGATATGGTGTAATTCAATCGGGTATTTCCTCTTTATCGTTCAATACGGTTCCCATACATTCATCGATACAGAACACTTCCCGGAAGTCTGAATCTTTGATTTCTTGTTTTCAAAATATTGTTGTTAACATTCAGGATGAAAATACATAAACTTCGAGTGCTTCTTCTTGTCCCTTGCAGACCGGCTCCCTGGAAGGTGCACACTTCCTGAAGACGGGTACGCTGGTGTCTCTCAGCGAACAGAACCTGATAGACTGTACTAGTACATACGGCAACAAGGGGTGCTATGGTGGGGACATGGACCAGGCCTTCAAATATATCAAGGAGAACCGCGGCATCGACACAGAACAGTGCTACCCCTACTATGGAAGGGTACGTAGATTAAGTCTCCAAAACATCTAAGGGATACAGTCATATGTTTCTATATTGTCAATAATTGCTTTGTACAAATGCACGGATGATCGTTTTTTTGTGAACGCCATCTTTACAAAGTGCTGCACAACGTTTTACAGTCGGTAGATGTCTCTCTATTAAAAACAAGACGTCATATTTTGGCACCTCCACATCCTGAATGGTATTTATTTGCACGCAATGGTGTAGGGTTCTTTGTAAAGAAATGACAAAAAAGACTGTAAAACGTGCCATCATTATTGTCGTCTGCACAGAAACCTCTTGCTCATTCCATATCTGCATTATGTTAAACTAAATATGTCTAAAACAGTGTGTGTTTGTTGGCAGAACTTGGCTTGCCGGTACCAACACAAGTGCAGTGGAGCCACTATGTCCAGCTACACGGATATCAAAGCTGGGGACGAGATGGCCCTGATGCAGGCTGTCGGCACAGTCGGACCGGTTTCCGTGGCTATCGACGCCAGTCACAAGTCCTTCCAGTTCTACAAGAGTGGTGAGCTTTTCTATATTTATCTATTCATTACTTCCGGGACGAAAGTATTGTTTTGGGAGGCGCTGGTTCAGGGAGTTTGTATGTATTTTGGTCAGGAGCAGCAAGGATTAGCCTGGGCTCCGCTAAAAAAAGACAAAAATGTTTTAGCACAGCGGAGCAAATTTATACGGATGGCACTCAGGCTAGCAAGGGTTGGAAATGAGTGGGCAGAGATTGCGTTCCAGTTGATTGACAAGGTCATGACCCAAAATCATGGGTGGTAGGATGTGATGTTTTCGAGGTCGCCATGAATGTGTACTGTGTAGACAGTCGGTATGAAACATGAACACTACAGGGGGCTACCATGGAATCGAAACCTGAAACTTTAGATTCAAGTCAACAACAATAACCACAAGACCATCTTTCCTAAATGAACCGTACTGAACCTTTACTGTTCTCAGGTATTTATTATGAGTCGGACTGCAGCTCCAAGAAGCTGGACCATGGAGTGTTGGCGGTGGGCTACGGCTCCATGGACGGCAAGGACTACTGGCTAGTCAAAAACAGGTAAGAGAGAGGACAGATGCATTCATGAGACATGTTTCCATCTTTGCACCAGATTCAGAGGCTAAATAACTGTAGATGGTTGTAGTTTATAGACGGGAATTGTGTACTAGTTTTACTTACCGTAATACTGAATATCGAAGTTCCAGTTATCTATTGTGCGAAATTCCATCAGTTGATAGTCTAACAGGCATAGGTCAAAGAGTCTAGAAGATTGTGAAGTTTAGAAGATGGTAAACATCAAATTTTGTATAAAAGAGAACGAATCGGGGTCCAGGGACCCGAAGAGCCAGATACTAGCCCAAGCACATATTATCAGGCAGGTAAACAACATGACTTTTCTGTTTGACGCTGGTTAAATTTAACACATGTTTTTGTAATTGGCAGCTGGGGGTCTGCATGGGGTGATATGGGATACGTCAAGATGACCCGTGACAAGAACAACCAGTGCGGCATCGCCACCAGGGCTAGCTACCCTGTGGTCTGATGGAAACTCGTGGATAGCACCTTGGCGATCCTCTGAAGCAAAATAACTAGGACAGCTACATTTCCTTGGGACTGTTGTTTTCAACATATATTGCTGTGTCCGCATATGTAAAAACTATGTGCAATAAAGGTCTTCATTTAATATCAGCCGTAGATGTCATGAGTTGTACTTTATACAATTGTCATGCAGTAAAGTCTATATCTAGCTTGTAAGGACTTTTACTAAATAAAACAATAAAAGAGATGTTGAAAAATGTTGTGTGCTTGAAAAAGGTGTTGCATTTGCAAAATGTTTTCAAGACATTCTTGCATTACTTAGTGTGTTAACATGTATGGTCGTGACCCCATTGTCGTACAATGCCCAAGATACCTGTGAAACCTTGAAAAATACCATGATATGAGTGAAATGTAGGTTCTTATCTAATTATCATGCATAAAAAACCTACATTCCGTCAAAGGAACAGAGTTGCCCTTGGTTGCTTTCTTTATATAGCGACCACAGATGAGTCGGTGCAATGATGTCAAAAAAGGGACATATAGACATGACAGAACTTTGACCCCCCCCCACCCCCACACACACACAGCACACATACACAGTGTGTGACTCAAGATCACTCGCCTTTACGCCAAAATGATGTGATAAAGACTTCTTTTTTGATAGAAGTACAGCGAGCAAGGTCATAAGTGATGCAACTGTCTTGAAGAGTTACAATTTTATCACTCACATGAAAAGTCACGTGCAAAGCGCCCTCTCATTGTCACTCAGTGCAAGTGTTCTGGAGTGCAAATATGCAGGTCCCTTGTGACCTGGAGATACCGGCAGTTACGGTGTGATTAAAGTCGTTGCCTGCATGCCAGGTAAGATGATTGTTTCTGTTGTTTCTGGTATTCATTTCCCATTCTTAGTCAGCATTGTACTTGAAAATACCAATACTATGTACAGTGTGTGTGTGCCTGTGTGTGTGATTTCATCTCCAATGCACCTGAAATAAAAGTTTCAGTGGAATTCACAATTACCGCAGGTACTACGTCTAACTCATTAAAAGTTAAGACAACAGAAGCTCCATTCATCGTGATGTATTGACGATTAAAACCCTTTTGTTTTGTGCCTTTACTGTACTGTATATGTTCTGGCATAGTAAATCTCTAACTTCCATGAAGAGAACCATTACGTGAGACGGAACATGCTAGCCACCACATGACATCCTCGTGACTGACCTTTTACCTCAAGCTCAGCAAACAACTTGTACAACTTTGTTAAATATTCACTCCTAGGAGTCCCTAGCCTGTCATATGACCTATGGTTATCAACACGTAATAAATCCTTCCCTCAATCCTTCTCAAGGAACACCAGACAAGCAAGGGCTAACATCTTCTTGCAGATCTAAACATTACAACGTTTGAAAGTTTGTCTAGTGTTTTAGCTAGGTAGTGTATTATCATTAATACCATGCTAGAAATTTGTAATACATTACACCTTCTTTTGATCTTTTCAGACAACACACGTCAAGATGAAGCTCCTGGTTTTTGTTCTTTCCGTCGCCATGGCATCGGCCATGGATCCTGAGTGGGAGGCCTTCAAACTCACACATGGTATCTATGCCGTCCCCGGATATATGGGTTACATTTGATATTTGTTTCCCTGTAAATATATCAGTTGTAACTTCTGGTGCCGGGTTTCTTTTGGGTGTCTGAGCTGTGGGTTTGTGTATCTGTTTGTCAGGACAGAATAGGTTGATAGTGCGGGTGGGGAAGGATTGTCAGGGATCTAGGATTCACGAAGCAATGAATTGCGTACTTCTCTGACGTCTGAAATCTCCAATTTCCTGTTCTGTAGGCAAGCAATATAAGAGACCAGAAGAGGAAAATGCGAGGCACGCCATCTTTCAGGACAACAACCAGATGATCAAGGAACACAACCAGCAGGCAGCCATGGGCAGGAGGTCCTACTTCATGGGCATGAATCAGTTTGGAGATCTGGTATATCATCACTTGTATCTATCTCGTACAGTATAATCTTGTTACAGACATAGATGGTATTCTGTACAATAGGAAATTACGTAAAAGTCATTACAATAAATGATGATTAAACATCATTTGTTTGTTTGTTTGTTTGTTTGTCTGTCTGTCTGTCTGTCTGTCTGTCTGTCGGTCGGTCGGTCGGTCGGTCGGTCGGTCGGTCGGTCGGTCGGTCGGTCGGTTGGTTGGTTGGTTGGTTGGTTGGTTGGTTGGTTGGTTGGTTGGTTGGTTGGTTGGTTGGTTGGTTGGGAGGATGAGAATCAAGTCCCTATTTACAGTAAAAATGTCTTTCTGTAGGCACACAGTGAGTATCTGGAGTTTGTCGTCGGTCCCGGCCTGCTGCCGCTGAACCAGTCTCAGCCCTCCGAGAATGTCTTCGAAAGCACCCCGGGGCTCCAGGTTGACGACACCGTGGACTGGAGGCAGAAGGGTGCCGTAACGCCCGTCGGGAATGAAGGACAATGCGGATCTCCCTGGGCCTTCAGCGCTGTAAGTATACAGGAGGATTTTGTAACATTGGTGTTTGTTTTTGGGGGGCACTGGTTTTGGGGGACTGTACATACATGTATCTGCATCTCGTCTTGAGTAATTAGGATGGGAAATGAGTGGGCAGAGATATATATATCGATGGGGTTTAGGTCACTGACAGGGTTGTGGCCCGGTATGTCATGGCTGGTAAGATGTGGTTTTCTATATCATAAACCATAGCGGATTACAACCGTACTGGCAATATTCCATTTTATGATGTAATTCAATCGGGTATTTTCTCATAATCATACGAAACAGTTCCCATACATTCACTGATACACAAAAAACAATTCACGAACGTATGATGTTTCCTATTTCTTCTTTTCAATCTTTTGCTAACATTCAACAATCAGAATGAAAATATATATATAATCTTCAATTGCTTTTTCTTGTCCCTTGCAGACCGGCGCTCTGGAAGGTGCACACTTCCTGAAGACGGGTAAGCTGGTGTCTCTTAGCGAACAGAACCTGATAGACTGTTCCCGTAAATACGGTAACCAGGGGTGCTCTGGTGGGTTCATGGACCAGTCCTTCAAATACATCAAGAAGAACGGTGGTATCGACACAGAAGAGTGCTACCCCTACTTGGGAAAGGTACATAGATTAAGTCTCAAACTTGAAACATCTAAGCAACACAGATGTTCGAATTTTGTGAACCGTTTACGCAGTCATCTTTACAAAGTGCTACACAGTGTTTCACAGTCTGTAGATGTCTTCCTAATAAAAGTAAGGCGTCATATTTCCGGATTGGCACTTATTTGCAATGGTGTAGGCTTCTTTGTAAAGACATGACCAAAACAAATGATTTTCTGTATCGTCCTAAAAAAATGTTACATAATGTCGCTTTAAGAAACATGCCATCACTATTGTCATCTGCACAGATGCCTGCTATTTGCATGCATATAGCAGAGTGAATGGTGTTTGTACATATTTGTATATAGTGTGTTTTTCTGTGTACCTGTCCTGTCTTGGTTTTTTAACTTATTGTAAAAATCAGTTACGCAATTCAGGGATGCATGCAGCATTCCCTGCTTTTGTATGATTTTGTTGATTGAATAATAAACTGTAATGCTGCAAGAGACTTTTTGATGATTCCATATCTCCATTGTGTGAAACGATAGATCTAAAACAATGTGTACATGTGTTTGTTGGCAGGACTCGACTTGCCGGTTCAAGCCCAAGTGCATCGGAGCCACTCTGTCCAGGTACACGGACATCAAACGTGGAGACGAGATGGCCCTGATGCAGGCTGTCGGCACAGTCGGACCGGTTTCCGTGGCCAACGACGCCAGTCACAGCTCCTTCCAGTTCTACAAGAGTGGTGAGACTTATGTAGTAATTCATTACTTCTGGGTCGGAAGCATTATTTGGGAGGCGCCAGTTTACGGAGTTTGTATGTACATGTATTTTTTTTCAGCAGCAGCAAAGATTGGCCCGGGTAACATCCGTATTTGCCACGCTCCGTCAAAACCTGTTATAGCACAGTGGAGCAAATACGGATGGTACCCAGACTAGCAAGGGTTGGAAGTGAGTGGGTGGAGATTAGGTTCCGGTTGATTGACAAGGTTGTGACCCGGTGTGCCATGGGTGGTAGGATGTTTTCGAGGTCGCCAAGAATTTGTACTGTGTAACCATGGTATGAAACGTAAACAGTACAGTGTGCTGCCATGGAATCGAAACCAGAACCTTTAGATTCTAGGTCAATAACAGTAATGAGGAGACCACCTAAATGAACCGTACTGAACCTCTACTGTTGACAGGTATTTATGATGAACCGGAGTGCAGCTCTAAGAATCTGGACCACGCAATGTTGGCGGTAGGCTATGGTTCCATGGACGGCAAGGACTACTGGATAGTTAAGAACAGGTAAGAGAGAGGACAGAGGCATTCATTATATGAGACATGTTTCCATCTTTGCACCAGATTCAGAGGCTAAATATCTGTGTAGCAGGTCGTAGTATATATATATACGCAAATGGTGTACTAGTTTTACTTCACATGCTGAATATCGAAGAAGTTTTATCTGTTGTGCAAATTTCCAACAGTTGATTGTCTAACGAATATAGGTCAAATAGTTTAGAGATTGTGAACATCAATGTCAGTCATCAAACCTGGTATAAACAAGGACGAATCGGGGTACAGGGACCCGTAGGGCCAGATACTAGTCTACGACATATTATTAGGCAGGTAAACAACATGACTTTTCTGTTAGACGCTGGTTATATTTAACATGTTTTCTGGGATTTTCAGCTGGGGGACAACGTGGGGTGATATGGGATACATTAAGATGTCCCGTAACAAGAACAACCAGTGCGGCATCGCCACCCTGGCTAGCTACCCTGTGGTCTGATGGAAACTCGTGGATTTTTGTTGTTGTGATTTCTAAGAGTCAAGTTGAAGTCTTACGGCTTGGCGATCCTCTGAAGCAAAATAACGAGGACAGCTATATTCCCTTGGGACTGTTGTTTTCATCTTATATTGCTGTATGTAATATGAACCATAGATATCATGGGTTGTACAACTCTCGTGTAGTTCACATGTACATAGATTGTAAGGACTATTACAAAATAAAACAATAAAAGATGTTGAAAAATGTTGAGTGTTTTATTCTGCCCCGCTATCATGCATTAAATAGTATGTTAACATGTATGATTGTGATCCTACTGTTGTACAATACCCAAGATGTGTTTAAAGACACCTAGCTACAGGTGAAACCTTAAAAAGGATCGTGATGTAAAATGCAGGTTCTTGCCTAAATGTATCATGCGTAGAAAACCTTTAGAAATTCCTGTCCATGACATAGATATCAGCAAAGGCTTGAAAATCATGATAAAGTATATTTATCACTACTCATATCAAATGACTATAGCATCTTCTTTGTTTAAAAAAATTACCTTGCGATTGCAAATAACATACTATGATGAATTTATTGAAAGTGAACAATGTAATATATATATGCATGTGAGTCCTGGAGAAGCACCAAAGAGACAGTGCAAATGTTAGACACGTTCCAGCGTAGATGCCTCAGAACTATACTAGGCATCTCCTGGCGTGACCACGTATCAAATGAGGAGCTCATGCAAAGAGCCAAGGTTCCATCTCTCAGTGCGACTGTAATGAAAAGGAGATTGAGCTTTGCTGGACATGTGTGGAGACTCCCTGATCTCAGAACCACAAAAACAGCTCTAACATGGAAGCCAGAAGGCACACGCCCGAGAGGGCGGCCTAGAGTCACTTTGCGGAAAACACTACAAAATGATGGGGTAAAACTTGGACTTAACTCACTTAAGGATATGGCAGTAGTGGCGCAAGACCGAAACCTTTGGAGACAAAAAGTCAGACAAGGAGTCGACCTATGCAACAAGGTTGCGGGAGGATCTAAGGTAAGGTCTAAGGTAAGAAACAATGTAATATATATTGTGTGACAAGAACACAGTTGCCCTTGGTCGCTTTCTTTATATAACGACCACAGATGAGTCGGCACAATGATATCAAAGAACAGATAGACATGACACAGCTTTGATCCCACTGCCCCCCCCCCCCCCGGACACACTCAATGTGTGACTTAGGTCACTCGCCTTTATGCTAAAATGATGTGATAAAGTACAGCGAGCAAGGTCATATAAGTGATTCAACTGCCTTGAAGCGTTACAATTTTCTCACTCACATGAAAAGTCACGCGCAAAACGCCCACTTCCAGTCATGTGATGCCAAAAGCTTTCCCATTGGCGCCTAGTGCAGGTGTTCTGAAGTGCAAATATATAAAGGTCCCTTGTGACCTGGAGATACCGGCACTTACGGTGTGAGTACAATCGCTGCCTGTCAGGTAAGATGACTGTTTCTGCTGTTTCTGGTCTTCATTTCTCATTCTTAGTCAGAATTGTAGGTGAAAATACCAATACTATCTACAGTGTGTGTGTGCATGTCTCCCTGCTTTGATCTCCAATGTACCTTATGAAATGTTTCAGTGGAATTCACGAGTAAAATAAACTGCAGGTTCTTCGTCTTAATCAGTAAAAGGTTGAGACAATATAGGTTCCGTTCACAGTAATGTGTCGACGATTGAACCCCTTTTGTTTTCTGCCTTTACTGTACATGTACTGGCAAGGTAAAATCTCAATGCCATAAAGAGAACCATTACGTGAGACATTTTACGGAACATGTTAGCCACCACATGAGATCCTCGTGACTGACCTTTTACCTCAGCAAACACATTGTACACCTTTGTTAAATATTCACTCCTAGGAGTCCCTAGGCCCCCATATGACCTATGGTTATCAACACGTATAAAATCATTCCCTCACCTTCTAATTCTCAAGGAACACCAAACAAGCAGAACTAAACATTACAACGTTTCAGTACATGTCTAGTGTTTTCATTTCAGAGTCTAGCTACTGTATTACCATTTTTACCATGTTAGAAATTGATAATACATATATATTCGTTTTATCATTTCAGACAACACACGTCAAGATGAAGCTACTGATTCTCGTTCTTTTCGTCACCATGGCGACGGCCATGGACCCTGAGTGGGAGGCTTTCAAACTCACACATGGTATCTATACCGTCCCTGGATATATGGGTTACATTTGATATTTGTTTCCCTGTAAATACATCGGCTGTTAGAAGTATTGCTTTGGGTGGCTGAGTTGTGGGTCAGTGTGTGTATCTCATCTGCTTGTCCGGACAGAATAGGTTGATACGGTTGTATGTGGGTGGAAAGAGTGACAGGTAGCATAACATAAGGTCAAAGCTCTCAGAATCTATCCAGGAGTCAACAGTAACTGGATGTCGACATGGGAAGCAGAGAGTTACCATACTTCCCAGGAGTCTGAGATCCCCTCTTTCTTGTTCTATAGGCAAGCAATACAGCAGTCCAGAAGAGGAAAACGCAAGACAGGCCATCTTTCAAGACAACAACCAGATGATCAAGGAACACAACCAGGAGGCAGCCATGGGCAGGAGGTCCTACTTCATGGGCATGAATCAGTTTGGAGATCTGGTATGTCATCACTTCAATTTATCTCGTACAAATTTAAGTTTATTATGCGCGTACAAGGCTGCAGATGTAGGTGGCATCCACTGCTTTTTCTGTACAATAGAAAATTAGGTAAACTTCACTACAATAAACGATGATCAAACATGGTTTGTTTGTTTGTTGGTTGGTTGGTTGGTTGGTTGGTTGGTTGGTTGGTTGGTTGGTTGGTTGGTTGGTTGGTTGGTTGGTTGGTTGGTTGGTTGGTTGGTTGGTTGGTTGGTTGGCTGGGAGGATGGGAATCAAGTCACTACTTACAGTAACAATGTCTTCCCTTAGGCACACAGTGAGTATCTGGAGTTTGTCGTCGGTCCCGGCCTGCTGCCGCTGAACCAGTCTCAGCCCTCCGAGAATGTCTTCGAAAGCACCCCGGGGATCCAGGTTGATGACACCGTGGACTGGAGGCAGAAGGGCGCCGTAACGCCCGTCAAAGACCAGAAAAAGTGCGGGTCTTGCTGGGCCTTCAGCACTGTGAGTATACGAGGGGATTTCGTAATATCCACGGTGACTTCCGGGACAGAAGTATTGTTTTGGGCGACGCTGGTTTAGAGAGATCGTATGAATCTCGTCCTGAATAATGAGGAATGGAATCGAGTGGAGAACATTAGGTTTCAGTTGATTGACATCATTGTGACCCTCTATGCCCCATGTCGTAGAATGTGGTCGCCAGGAATGTACTGTGCAATCATGGTAGAAACATGATGTAATAGGTGTAATATTGGTGTAATAGTGGAGTAAGTTACATCATAAAACCGTCCACTGATGTAAATCGCGTATTTCCCCAAAGACACACAATACAGCAACGTCTCAATACATTCCCAAAACCCCGCAAAATTTCCTTTTTTATGATTTATTTTTATACTTTTTCGTCTGTAGACCGGCTCCCTGGAAGGTGCGCACTTCCTGAAGACGGGTACGCTGGTGTCTCTCAGCGAACAGGACCTGATGGACTGTTCCAGAAGATTCGGTAACAAGGGCTGCGAGGGTGGCCTCATGGACCAGGCCTTCCGGTACATCAAGGCCAACGGCGGCATCGACACAGAAGAGTGCTACCCCTACAAGGCAATGGTACGTAGGCTAAATATTCAAATAACATCTCAAAAACTACTATGATAAAACACACACACACACGCGTGCATACACACACACACACACATGATGTCTGCTACAGCACCAGTTACCATGGTGACAGACGTCTAGTCCAGGTCTTTGACCTTGCCATCATTACTGTCGTCTGCACAGAGATCTCTAGCCGATTCCATATCTATTCTATGCTAACAGGGTGTGTGTTTTCACAGGATGAGAGGATGTGTAACTACCAGTCTAGCTGCAGCGGAGCCACTCTGTCCAGCTACACGGACATCAGAGCTGGGGACGAGATGGCCCTGATGCAGGCTGTCGGCACAGTCGGACCGGTTTCCGTGGCTATCGACGCCAGTCACAAATCCCTCAGGTTCTACAAGAGTGGTGAGCTTTGTATAGCCTGAGTGTCAGCCTTGTTAGCTTTTGTCCGCTACCCAAGGTCCGCTCCCCGTTGGCGGGGAGCGGACCTTGGGTAGCGGACAAAAGCTAACAAGGCTGACACTCAGGCTAAGCTTTGTATACTCACTATCATTACTTTCGAGACAGAAATACAGTTTTGGGCGGCGCTGGTTTAGGGAGTTTTATGCATGTCTGTCCACAGCAGGGTTTCAGTAGTGACAAAGTTAAGTTGTAACCCGGTAAGCTATAAGTGATAGGGTGTGATTTTCGAGGTCGTCAGGAATATACTGTGTAATCATGGTATAAAACATAACTGATAGGGCCTGCCATGGAGTTGAAACCAGAATTTCAGATTCTAAGTCAAAACCACAAGAAACCTTTGCCACCTTGCTGAACTTAAATGAAACTCTACTGTTGTCAGGTATCTACGATGAGCCGGAGTGCAGCTCCAGGAAGCTGGACCACGGAGTGCTGGCGGTGGGCTACGGCACCATGGACAACATGGACTACTGGCTAGTCAAGAACAGGTACGAGAGACAGATCCATGATACGCATCCATGATAGTGAACATGTCTCCACCCTTGTACCAGATTTGTAGGCTAAATAAATGTGTATAGACGGAAATTGTGTACTAGTTTTATAATTACCTCGAAATTAATATCGAAGAAATTTTATCTATATCTGCTGTAAAATACCGACAAAATTCCAAACAGTTGATGATTAATGATGGTCTAGAGGGCCGTGGCATGCGCAGCGCTGATGACAGCTTTCCTGAACATGGACCCCGAGAAGGAACTTATAAGTTTTACGGAGTACAAATTAATATGTGTTTATTCCTTAGATTTTGTGACAAAAACATCTATCACATAACGAGAGATTACTTGAAACGCAGTCAAACTTGTCACTTTCACTAACAGACATAATATTAATTCGAAAGTAGTTTAGAAGATGATTAACATCAAAATTTGCATGTGGACAAGGGACCTTGTGTGACTTGCATGCAGAAGACTTACGTAAGGTGGCAGGTGCTAACCTATACACATACAATTAGGTAGGCATAACAACATGATTTTTCTATTTGACGCTGGTTAACACATGTTTTCTGTGATTTTCAGCTGGGGGTCTGCATGGGGTGATATGGGATACGTCAAGATGTCCCGTAACAAGAACAACCAGTGCGGCATCGCCACCAAGGCCAGCTACCCTGTGGTCTGATGGAAAAGAGAGAACCGAGGACAGCTACATTTCACATTATAATTCCTGAGTTTACATAATTTATATGATAGCCGCAGATGCCATACGTTGCACCTGGCACAATTGTCGTGCAATACAGTTTTAGCTACATAAAAAGGGATTTTATAAAATAAAACAATAAAGATTGTGAATCAACGTCTTGGGTGTTGCCTGTATTGATTCAGAGCATGTTTTAAAATTCTGCTACCTTGCATTACAGTATGATAACATAATCGATGTTGATCAGTGTTGTTGCACAAGATTGCAATACTAACACACTATGATTAGTTCACTCAAACTGAACAATGTAATATTGTATGCACATCCCGTCAAAGGAAATTCGTTGTCCCCGGTCGCTTTCTTTATATAACGACCACACTATAGTCAGAGCCTGCACAATAATATCAAAGATAACATAGATATAACACAACTTAGACCCCCCCCCCACATACACACACACACGTTGTGCTCGTACCATAATGTCACCGCTAAAAGTGCAAGTCATTACAAAAATTCAACATCATGTACCTAAAACTAACAATGGCGTAGACTGGTCATGTTAAATAGTTACAGAAATTCCTTAGTACACGTAAGAAAAGAGGAAGGGGCGTTGCAACTGATGTTTGACGCTCATTGGTCACCTCGATTCACGTGGTGAGAAACAGACGTCGCTTATTGGCTGTTGCCTGCAGTTAGATCGGGTCGAAGAGGTTATTGCCTCATAAAAGCAGCCCCGCGACCCCACACTTTCTTCTAACTTGGCAGGAGGGACTTGCAACAGGTGTGTCGCGTGACTACCAAAAAGGTACGTTAAACGTTTCTAAACCTTTGTGTGCCATTTAGACACCATTGTCATACCTCAACAATCGCAGCCATACGACCTGGAAACATTCCATATGGGTCTAGATTAAGACAATACAGTTCAGGGAAGTTATTACGAGCATATTCCTTGTTCTACGTGCCTTTCAGTACAGAAAGTAGGTGTGTGAATATGCATCATAGAAATGCCTCAGTTACTGAGCTTAGTTCATTTTAAAAAACAGTTTGAATTAGGGATATTTTTCTATATCCAGAGCCCATATGTTTCTATCAAAGTCCCAATGCAGCAATGTATATGATACCATATGTGAAGTTGATTGAAGGGTAAAAGTAGCTCCAAATCGACCGGTTTGTTCTGTGTCAGAATGGGGCAGTCTTGGGTTAACACCTGAAGTCACGAGGCAGTCTTGTGGTGGGTTAGACACACAGTCAATGTTTGTCCAATCAGCCACTGCAAACCTACCTTTGGCCACCGAAAATTGCTAACGCGTTACGTATAGTCATGATGATGTAACACATTCAGAAGATTCGGTATATATAAAGGCCTTCTGAATTTGGTTTATACTGCCTTTAATGTCTCAGAGCTGATCCGTAGAATTTTCAACAAAGGGATTACATGATCTGTGGTATTTCTTGGGTGCAATACTGTTCAATGTGTATTTAGGTTATAAATGCAGCTTCATGAATAATATACAGCTGACGGTTGCTAGATTACTACGAAAAGATTCATACTTTATGCTCATCCATCCATTTTACGCCAAAAAGTAGTTGCTCAAGCAAATGTATATGATTTTAGAAACGGTCAGACGTTTCAGCTAGTATACAATTATAGCTTTCGTCATCAGTGACTATTGATCCATACCGTAACATGACAAAATCAGCAAAATGTTAACGTATTACACCACATATTTGCCTGCTCGGGGCAATGTGAACCTGTCTTGATTTTAGCCATATATCCTTCACATTCAAAAAAGCACATCAAGCAAATTTGCAAATAACATGTCGTATCTACCCTTTTGACCCTTTATCTATCGCCTACACAAACAACAAGTGACAGATGACTTGTATAACCAAAATGGTGCGATTAGAAACCTTCGGACCTGATGGTATTGTTAGGCGGTGACAAAGACATCTGCTTCTCATGTGATTTCCATTATTTGAAGAGAAAATGAATTTCACGTCTCGTGATGTTATTGCCAACGTTTCAAACATTGTCGTCATGAACGCATGAAGACCCCGTGATTGCGCAAAGATTAATACAAAGTTAATATTACATTTAATCAAGTGAAAAATACCAATGTGCTTCTCAGTAACCTTAAAGTGTCATCGGCTTCTTGACTTATTGAAGTGACTTCTGCACCTGTGAATGTAGAGCTATTTGTCTCTTTTTTCCAGCTGCTGAAATCAAGATGAAGCTTTTGATTGTTCTTGTTTGCGTCGCCGTGGCAACAGCCACAGATAACGAATGGGAGGCCTTCAAACTTCTCCATGGTACGAGAATTTCTTTTGTTATACGTTTCTATGATTGTGTTTGGGAATGCTTCCTCTACAACCTCTTGCTCGATATCTTTTGAAGTCTAATCACAGATTACAAAAGTATCGTCAAGCATGAGCATCATTTTTTTGAAAGTATTTACAAAAACATTACCGTTTTATTGAAGGAAGGTTTGGAGACTTTAACGATAACAGATAACTCTTTAACGTTGTGTGTTTAACACTGTCATATTAGCTACAGAACTGGGACGTTTTCCACAAGATTCACATAGCTTTTATAGTTGAATGTAAAACAAATGTATTTTCGTCGACAGGCAAACAATACAATGAATACGAGGATACTGCCAGACATGCAATCTTCTTGGAGAACAGCAAGATCGTGAAGCAGCACAACGAGGAGGCGGCCATGGGCAAACACACCTTCTTCATGCGCATGAACAAGTTTGGCGATATGGTGAGTGATACGTTTCCGTTCACTGCCATTGTAATGTCATTACCGTAATGTTAGACCATATATACAAGGAATAGTCCTTGCCACACCTTTCGATGCATAGGTGCCCACCTCCGTTCCTAATGCCCTTTGGTGACACAGTTGTGTAAGCACTACAGCGGGGTACGGGTAGCTGTAGCTGGTAGCTGTATAGCAAGGAGGAAATGCAGAAGTATATGTCAAGTCAGAAAACGTAAACAGCAAACATGCCAGGACAACACAGATCATCACAAAAAACACAAACAAAATGATAACTGTTTACAGCTAGATGAAATCTCTTTGATCCTCCTCCTCAGACAAACGAAGAGTTCCAGATGCTGGTGATCGGCTCAGGTCTGCTGCAGTCCAACAGGACCCAGCAAGCCGAGGGGGGAGTGTTCACGAGCGTACCGGGGCTGAAGGTGAACGACACCGTGGACTGGAGGCAGCAGGGCGCGGTGACGCCAGTCAAGAACCAGGAACAGTGTGGGTCCTGCTGGGCGTTTAGCACGGTCAGTACTACGATGATTCTGAGAGCCATGTCACTATATTTTGATGGCACAGAAATACGAAAATCAACACATGCGTATGTATCCAGCAAAATGTGACAAGGGTTTTTCCTACTCTGAGCACATTGCTGCACTAGATTGCAACACAGTAGGGAGGGTGTCATCCGTTTTGTAACGGGCCCGGGGCTCCTTGCACTCGCTATAACGACATTCTGGTATACAAAAACGGACGGATCCCAGGCTAGCAACACAAATTGCAAAAAGAATCTCTCTCTCCCTGTCTTAGACCGGGTCTCTGGAAGGTCAGCACTTCCTGAAGTCAGGCAAGCTGGTGTCTCTCAGCGAACAGAACCTGGTGGACTGTTCTCGCAAGGAGGGTAACAAGGGCTGCAAGGGCGGTCTCATGGACCAGGCTTTCAAGTATATCAAGACCAACGGCGGCATCGACACTGAGGAGTGCTACCCCTACAAAGGAAGGGTAAGCTAAAAAAAAAGACATATCATCATGCTTCATAATTTTCACCACCGCATTTCAGTGCTCAGCACTTGAGTCTTTTCATTGTGCTAGAGGAAAATGTAAGCCAGTGTTGTGGACTGTCGCACCGAAAGAACTTCACGGAAGTCTGAACTCTCCGATTTTTCTTCACATCTCTGGCCACATTCCACTACAGGACGAGCCCAGGTGCGAGTACAAGTCCAGCTGCAGTGGAGCCACCCTGACCAGCTACGTGGATGTCAAGACCGGAGACGAGGACGCCCTCAAGCAGGCCTCCGCCACCATCGGGCCCATCTCTGTCGGCATCGACGCTAGCCACCCCTCCTTCCAGCTGTATGACCACGGTACGATGATGGCATACCATTGAATATGTTTAACAGTGAACATTAATCCATATGATATCACATAGTAAGATTCTAACACATCTCTGAGCTGTAGAACGTTTATTCAACTGTGCCCTTCAATACCATCAAGTTGTATTAAACTAGGTTGTCTTGTGTGGAACAATTAAACTGTTTTCCACGTACTTCCCAAAGTTTTCTACTTCCCAAAAATTGGACTCGTGGAATTTTTGACCGGATCAGTCAGTCTTTTTTTTTTCAGATATCTGACCAAATGGCCTATGACACGTGACTATGGACGTGTGACGTCAGCAATGGGTTAAAGGTTGTTGTTAGTCTGTATCGGCTCCCGTCCCTGTTGGTGCGCTCTGCTGTAAATAACTTCCTTTAATTACACCTCTCACGATGCTGACTTGCCTTTCAGGTGTTTACCACGAGAAGAGGTGCAGCTCTAAGAAGCTGGATCACGGTGTGCTGGTGGTGGGATATGGTACTCACACAACCAAGGACTACTGGCTCGTCAAGAACAGGTCAGTATCAGATAGATATCTACTAAGTTCATATTGAATACATGTATGATGGTTTTTTTTTGCGAAAATAGTGATTTCATAGACCTTGCTAAAATCTCCATTGCTCGCAGTGATGTAGATGGTTGATTTAGATCTCTTCAATCTCTTCAACTTGATTAGACAATGTAACAGCGATTACAATGCGTAGCCTCAATAAGCATACAACCACGCTCTTTCTCCCTCTAGCCGTCCCCTTTCAAGCAATAAGCAAAGCCAACATTTAAACTAAGACTGCTCTGTTTTTTTTACCACAGTTGGGGCAAGGAGTGGGGCATGGAAGGCTACATCATGATGTCCAGGAACAAGGATAACCAGTGCGGCATCGCAACTCAGGCCAGCTACCCTGTTGTCTGATGCAACGAATCCTGTATCGTTCACCTGTAACAGTAATATTAGGCCGGTCGATATGGACACTGTAGTTGGACGTTGTATTTACTTCCGTGTCAATTGGCATTACGAAGGGCTTCATGTTTAACATTTTAATAGAACCTTTTACTTTACTGTACCCACACCGTAGTAAGAGAAAACTTGCCTTGCACGTTATGGGGATGGAATAGTACTTTATGTACAGTAGCTCAGGAGCTGCATGCTTTTAAAGTTACGTGTTCAGCTGTTGTAGATATCCTCCAAGCCTCTCCGAGAAAGTACAATGTTCCGTGAAATACACATTATTACTTGTTCAACCAATAAACAAAACATTATACTATTGTATACTGTGTATGTACATTTACTTATACCGCATCATATTAGCAGTAAAGGTAACCCACACAATTTTAAAACATTTTGATAACAAGGTAGAAAATCTAGCTATCATCGAAAATTCATGACCCTAGCATGTCCAGGTCATGAGATATCAAAACCGCTGCAGTACCATATCAAGCCGCCGGGAGGCCCAAAATGTACCCATTTGAGGGACTACCGACCAAATATCAAGACAATCCATTCAAGCACATGTGATAGACTTACCAGATTATCAGTTGCCACCAGTGCATTCTTAAGGTTTACTCGGGTGAACATAAATCTAAAGTGAGACAGTACTTCATTCAAATACGTTGTAGTTGGATGAGTTTCAATGTAGCATATGTCCCTCTAGAACGACATATTATATTTTATATTAAATACACGAAAATAGCATTTGCAATTACAACATTAGAAATCACGTAACACTGTCGACTTCATTCTGAAATATGGACCCTCCCATGTCTGATATCCCTGCATGTGAAAGTTCATAGTTCACCTAAGTGAAGAAACAGGTTAGGCATACATACAATGCACAAGTGGGTGTGTATGACGTCTTCAGTACTTTTGATGTGAAAAATCCAATCAATCAAGAAATTTGACACGTTCAAGAGTCTAAACTTTTAAACGTCACCAGCCATTGGCAAAAACTCAGCCGCAGGTTGAATTTTAGTGCATGATGCTTTGTAAAGCTTCGAATCCAGAATTTGTGTAGAGCGTAGAGAGCATTACTGGTATCACCGTCAAAGGAACGGGCGTGCTATAAAAGTTCAAGAATAATTAAATCGCAGACATCATGAGAGACCGTCAACATTTTACTATAAACGTTCCAGAGTAAGCCACAAGCAGAAGTTTCGCTGCAGTACCATAACAAGCCACCAGGGCGAGCAAAATCTAATCATTTTGAGGGCTCATCAGGTCCTGCCCACCTCAAAATATCAAGACAGTCTGGCAAGATGATATCTTTGTTCAGAGCTACTCCCATGTCAGAGGTGATACTTTGACATACCAGTAGTCTGGCCCACAATAAGATCACGTGAAAGGACAAGTTGTACTTCATTCCATGCATCCATATCCCGTGCACGTGGATCACTCACTCACTCCGCCCCTCAGCTAGAAGCCGCAGGGGCAGTCTGACAGTCCACAAAAGTCCCCACGTAGCGGATCAGCGCTGAAATATCTCTAAGGTTGCTGTCCAACTTGCGCCTCACAGGTGGGAATATAGTCACTGTACAAATTCTATATCTCTTAGGGTACTTTTAAGTCACTATGGTTAATTAAAATTACTCATAGCGCATGGCGGAGAAACGTCTAGAAATCCACGTGCCAGCATGGCTGCTAACTCTGTTTGAAAAGACTACAACAGTTTTATTGACAGAGGCTTAAAAGTTCTATCACTGAATGCGTCTTCTGGGTTTTAACTGTAACGCGTTACGCTACTAAAATCTATGGCAAGTGGATGGAAAAAATACACCTAAAGTTACTTGTCAAGGTGGGAGCGATTGGTGGGGGGAAGGGGGGGATAAGTACATGTGATGGACGTGACCAGATTATCAGTTACCGTCGGTGCATTCTTCATGTTTATTCGAGTGAACGACATAAATCTAAAGTTAAGAGTGTACTTCACTCAAATACGTTGTAGTTGGATGAGTTTCAATGTAGCTGATTGCATAGGTCCCTCCAGAACGGCACATAATTTTTTTTTCTAAATACACAAAAATAGGAATTTTACAAATGACACCATCAGAGATCATGTGACACTGTCGTCTTCATTCTGAAATGCGGCCCCTCCCATGCCAGATATCCGTGTGTGTGAAAGTTCATAGTTTACCTGAGTGAAAGAAACAGGTTTGACATGATTTAATGCAGACGTGATTATATGTGGCGTCTTCAATTAATATGCTTTTGTCACGTTCAAGCATATTAACTTTTAAAATCACCAGCTCAAAGCATATTAACTTTTAAAATCACCAGCTTTAACGCAAACGTTCAGCCGCTAGGTGGTTGAGTTTCAGTGCATGATGCTTTGTAAAGCTTCAAATCCAGAATTTGTGTAGAGCGTAGAGAGCATTGCTGGTATCACCGTCAAAGGAACGGGCGTGCTATAAAAGTTCCAGAGTAAGTCCAAGACATCATCACAGAACATCAACATTTTACTATATAACTAACTTCCAGAGTAAGTCACAACTAGAAGTTTCGCTGCAGTACTATAACAAGCCGCCAGGGGGGCCAAAAACTAATAATTTTGAGGGCTCATCAAGACCTACCCATGTACAAAATATCGAGACAATCTGGTATCTTTGTTCACAGCCACTCCCATGTCAGAGGTGATACTTTGACATACCAGTAGTCTGGCTCACAATAAGATCACGTGAAAGGACAAGTTGTACTTCATTCCATGCATCCATATCCCGTGCACGTGGATCACTCACTCACTCCGCCCCTCAGCTAGAAGCCGCAGGGGCAGTCTGACAGTCCACAAAAGTCCCCACGTGGCGGATCAGCGCTGAAATATCTCTTAAGGTTGCTGTCCAGTTTGTGCCTCACAGGTGGGAATATGTTCATTGCACAAATTCTATATCTCTTATGGTACCTAATTACTCAAATAGTGCATGAAGGGTAAACGTCTAGTGGCTGATAACTGTTTAAAAAGACTAGAACAGTTTCAGCGACAGACGCTTAAGGATCCTATCACTGAATGCGTCTTCTGGGTTTCAACTATAACGCGTTACGCCACCAAAGTCTGTTCAGAAAGTGGTTTATGGCAAGTGGACGAAAAAAAATACACATAAAGTTACTTGTCAATGGGAGCAATTGGTAGGGGTGGGGGGGGTAAGTACATGTGATGGACGTGACCAGATTATCAGTTACCGTCGGTGCATTCTTAATGTTTATTCGAGTGAACGACATAAATCTACAATAGATCACGTGGTACTGTCGACTTCATTCTGAAATGAGGCCCCTCCCATGTCAGATATCTGTGTATGTGAAAGTTCATAGTTCACCTGAGTGAAGAAACAGGTTTGACATTCAATCATGCCATGCACAAGTGTGTGGGTGTGACGCGTTCAGTACTTTTGACGTTTAGTATCCATTTTTTAAAACAAAGGTTAAAACTTTATTGAACCACAATTAATCCAATCGATATAAGAAGAACTATTGATCGTTGCAAATAAAAAACGCTTGATTTTCGAAATTTAGGAAAACAGGTAATTTATGATATTGGTCGAAACAACCGGGGTTTTATACTACAGGTTTTCTGCAGAGCTGCTTTCGACTACATTTATTGTGATACTGTCTCATAAACATTAGACTGTAGACTTCCATTATACTTTTTAAATCCTTTTTCTTGTTCTTTTCAGCTTCTTATAGTGCATACAAATGCATTGTGTTATGATACTCTCTCAGGAAACATTAGACTGTAGACTTTCATTATACTTTTTTGATACGTTCTCTTGTTCTTTTCAGCTTCTGGTATCAAGATGAAGCTTTTCGTCTTGGCTGTCTGCGTCGCCATGGCAACGGCCATAGACCGCGAATGGGAGGCCTTCAAAGTTCGTTACGGTAATAAGAACACATATATGAATACAATTGTAGTTAATCATGTATTTGGACATTTTAGTTAAATTTCCCAAACACTTAGATACATACGGTTCATACCAACATGTTTAATTTCGTAGGGAAACAATACAAGGACATCGATGAGGTCGCTCGGCATAATATCTTTAAGAAAAACCACGATTTTGTGAAGCAACACAACAAGGAGGCAGCCATGGGCAAACACACCTTCTTCATGAAGATAAACGAGTATAGCGATCTGGTGAGTGAATAGAACGGTATCATTATTTATAATGTAGTGAAAGCGTCAGATGTGAATGGAGAAAGCGTGAACAGCAACAGGACAAGGCGTTGCAGTAAACTCATCGAATCGAATGTGCATGCCGACTTTTGGGTTTATAGTATGACATAGCCTGTAAAGCAGGGCACGCCTGTAAGGCAGTATATTGTACTGAGTGCGCCTACCCTCATACCCTGTATAAAGAAAACAGAAATAAATAAATAAATAAATAGCCAAGTCCATTTCTCTTGACCTCAGACAGACGAAGAATTCCGGAGGTTTCGCATGGGTTTACTGAAGACCAAGGAGCCCCAGCCAGCCGAGGGGAAAGTCTTGAAGAGGGTTCCGGAACAGAAGGTCAGCGACACCGTGGACTGGCGGAAACAGGGTGCGGTGACACCGGTCAAGGACCAAGGGCACTGTGGGTCTTGCTGGGCCTTCGGTACGGTGAGTGTCGAGACGTTTCTGGGCTACTTTGTTCAATAGCATTGAACTATAGTATAGGTAATACTACCCTCTCTTTACTCAATGGAATACGTCTCATTTGTTCTTTAACCTGGTGATTTGGATGAGAATATCTCTATATGCTACCTTTATTTGATGTGTAAGAGTAAGATGGTGTCCGTGACCATACTAGGGGGGGGGGGGTAGTATTAGAAAGAAAATCAATCAATCAATCAAAAATGGTTTATTGCTAAAATCAAGAACATTGCAGCAGAAAGCTGAATTGCTTTCAAAGATGTTCATCTTTTTTTAAAAACGTTAACGACTCACAATCTTGGAGTCAAATTGTGGTATAAGAGTTGCACATACATTTAGCATAGTGAAATTCGAATTTTGCTCATTCACATTTGTACTTTACATATCAAAATTACATTAAACTAAACTCATACAATGACAATCTTTCTTTTAGACCGGCGCCCTGGAAGGTCAACACTTCCTGGCTACAGACAAGCTGGTGTCTCTAAGTGAGCAGAACCTGGTGGACTGTTCAGGGAGTGAAGGGAACCATGGCTGCGGGGGCGGGAAGGCGAAAAAAGCTATCGAGTACATCAGGAACAACGGTGGCATAGACACTGAAGAGTGCTACCCCTACACAGCGAAGGTAAGTTTGTCTTGTCGTGCCTTCAACCCCTTGCGGAAATGGGACGCGTGCAGATTCTGCTGTCATGTTCTTTATAATTTTCTGCCTAGTCAACTGTTCTGGCATTCATGAATACTTTATCTGCAGTATTTGTTTATTTATTGGTTCAGCTTACAACGGCCAGGGTTGCACAACTAGTCAATCCTGGGAGCGCCAGCCCAATGTTTCAAAATGTTTAAAACATTCGTGGGGTGTTCGGGAGGTTTGATCAGAGTTGGATGGTTCTCGACCGTAAGTCCCCTGCAAAACCCCTGTCAACCATCCTGGAGTCAGTAGTGTTCGGGGTGTGTGTTCAGGAATCAGATTTGACTCCAATTTAAGTCGTTTTGAGTCGTATACAAAAGGTAGGCCTGGCCTAAATCTGGCCAGAGCTTCCGAACACCAGCCAACCTGTTCGGCTGCTGAATGTGTGACAGGGGCTGAATGTGTGACAGGGCCTGAATGTGTGACAGGGGATGACAGGGGATGAATGTGTGACAGGGGATGAATGTGTGAAAGGCTGAATGTGTGACAGGGGCTGAATGTGTGACAGGGCCTGAATGTGTGACAGGGCCTGAATGTGTGACAGGGGATGACAGGGGATGAATGTGTGACAGGGCGATGAATGTGTGAAAGGCTGAATGTGTGACAGGGGCTGAATGTGTGACAGGTTCTGAATGTGTGACAGGGTCTGAATGTGTGACAGGTTCTGAATGTGTGACAGGGGATGAATGTGCGACGGGATGAATGTGTGACAGGGGATGAATGTGTGACAGGGGATGAATGTGTGACAGGGGATGAATGTGTGACGGGATGAATGTGTGACGGGATGAATGCGTGACAGGGTCTGAATGTGTGACAGGGTCTGAATGAATGTGTGACAGGGTCTGAATGTGTGACAGGGCCTGAATGTGTGACAGGGTCTGAATGTGTGGCAGGGGATGAATGTGTGACAGGGCATGAATGTGTGACAGGGGCTGAATGTGTGACGGGAGCTGAATGTGTGACAGGGGATGAATGTGTGACAGGGTCTGAATGTGTGACAGGGGCTGAATGTGTGACAGGGGCTGAATGTGTGACGGGAGCTGAATGTGTGACAGGGGATGAATGTGTGACAGGGGCTGAATGTGTGACGGGCTGAATGTGTGACAGGGTCTGAATGTGTGACAGACGGTGAATGTGTGACAGGGGATGAATGTGTAACAGGGGATGAATGTGTGACAGGGGATGAATGTGTGACAGGGGATGAATGTGTGGCAGGGGCTGAATGTGTGACGGGCTGAATGTGTGACAGGGTCTGAATGTGTGACAGGGGATGAATGTGTGACAGGGGATGAATGTGTGACAGGGGATGAATGTGTGACAGGGGATGCATGTGTGACAGGGGATGAATGTGTGGCAGGGGATGAATGTGTGACAGGGGATGAATGTGTGACAGAATAAATCAGTAATCCCATCCCATTACAGGATGGAGACTGCAGGTACAACTCCAACTGTATTGGAGCCATCGTGACAGAGGAACCCTACGTTTTCGTCCCAAGCGGGGACGAGGAAGCTATGAAGCAGGCTGTCGGTACATTCGGACCGGTGTCTGTCTCCATCGATGCCATGCCGTCTTTCCACCAGTATGGATCCGGTAAGAAAGTTATTGGTGTTCCGGTAGTGTTAGTACATAGCTTACAAATACTAGCAGAAGTAAACATTCCGTAAACACCAGCCTAACTGTGAGACAAGTATTAAATTAAGTACAGTATTAAATATGACACCAAATAACAATGTCAAACGCAATCGTTATGTATACTGTGACACAATTCATTAACGGGAAATCCAATACTTTCAGTTTTGGGGCCTTTCTACCCAAAATCCTATTTGTAAATGGTGATTTATTGGTTTCTGCCAACCCCGCACATATTTGCGGTTATATCTGACCCGCTCGATGTTCCCCGGCTAGCGCCCGATTGTCCGCTAGGAGGCGCAGCGACTGTAGATTTGACGTCACCGGTAACGTTCCGCTACTAGCGAGAACAATCATGGCGGGCGCATGGTGTGGACCTGAATCAGCTGTGAAACCCTTCCGTTTTGAGCCACAGACAGTAGTGGTGACTCTGACCCCGAACCAATTTGTTATCATGAAAGTTCATCTGTGTTGGTAGTAATCATAGTAAAACTTTAGACTTTATTCCAACACACAGTTTACAGACAGATCAACGGCACTCCCTGGCACTTTTGATCAATTGCTTACGTCACGTATCAGTCTCGTGTGAATAAGGTCACGTGTTTGTAAACCGTAACTCTCGCGAGATCACGTTGTGAAGTGATTGGTCATTAATTATCCTGATGAAGGCAACAGTGGTTGCTGAAAATTTGATCTCTCTGTAAACTGTGTGTTGGAATAAAGTTTGTTTTACTACAACCAATTTGTGTTTTAGGTGTATATGACGACCCCGAGTGCAAGGCGAGCAACCCTTCGAATCACGCAGTGTTAGTGGTGGGGTATGGTACTGAGGACAATCAGGATTACTGGCTTGTGAAGAACAGGTTGGTCTTACATGAAAAACAACCCATTACATGTGTAACTTGGTTCGAGAGGAACATTAATGGATACAAAGAAAGAAAACCATGACCTTATTTGCATAATTCATGAGTTAAGTCTATACGCCTGTGGTAAATGGTGGTCCGGTGACACATTTATATTCATGCAAAATCTTATCATAATCCCTTAAATCGGTCTCTTAGCATTAAACCTTTTGTAGTTACAGCTTCACGATTAAGTAATTAGACTGACATACAAATACTTCAAAATGATTGCCACCCAACAATACTTCAGACAGAGATTTGGAATGAAACTCTTGTTTTCTTTTCCACAGTTGGGGCGATGACTGGGGCACGGAAGGCTACATCAAGATGTCCAGGAACAAGGACAACCAGTGCGGCATCGCTAATGAGGCCGTCTACCCTGTAGTGCCTGAAAGTGACCTTGAATCGTTTATCAACGACATCTATGTCGGTAAAGCAATGTCATGGGTACCTCCGTATAAAGAGGCATTGTTTTCGGTCGGTGTGGGTGTGATTGTGTTAGTGGGTGTGTATAGGCTTGTGCGCTCGTTCATTTGAGTGACGACCTGGGACACCAAAGGCCACAGAAGGTCAGACCAAGCTTAAAACTTTTTTCCAATTCTTTACTTAGTTTTCTGCAACAATTATACAATAAAGGAAAGACAAGGAATAAATAGCTACGTTACTCCTGAACTGAACTTATTTTAGTCTGATGGTACGAACATAACAAATTTTCTGATATTTCCCACTCATGTAGTCATTCTGTTTAGCAAGAAACTTGTGTAAGAGCTTAGTACTGGCATATGAATTAATTACAGTTTTGTAAAATTACTGTACCAAACACAAGAAGTTGTGTCAAGAGGTCGGGAGTCAGCAGAAAATCGGCCTTTGTGATGGCCATGTGCCAGTGGAAAATGCATAGGCGTAGACAATAATGAATAAAGCAAGGCATTTGTTGTATCTACTTCAGTGCATTCAATGCATTGCAAGACACTACAACGTTTAGCGTTTCCAAATAGTTCAATGTAAAACCCTTCGTACTTTATTGCGTCCAGAACAGTACAGGGAATTCCGAGCTATGCCTGTGATAGAAAGAAAATGGTCATGGACTCCTTCATTTGTATTAGATTTGCAGGTGCAACGATACTTTCAAAGTTCAGCTGGTGTCAGTGTGCGTTCACTATACTTTTGTATCGCTACTCACTCAATAAAAACGTTCTAATGAAGTTGGTATTTGTATTGTGATTAATTTTACATTGATTTATTTTCATCAAAGAAAAGGACAGACACGGCATTTCTATCAATAGAAAAAAAAATAAACCTATTCGATCCACATTTGACAATGTAACATTTACACAAAAACAATGACTGTGCGAAACAATGCCAATTGATCGTCTCTGATCACAAGACATCACGTGAGACATAGTCGCCTGTCATTGGTTGTCGTCTACGGCCAATCAAATACCACAATAAGTTACCGTGTTATAAAAGGAACCCCGTGACTCTACACCTCCTTCTGACTTGGCTGACTGACTGACTACGGGTATGTGATACGGATCTCTCTAAACTGTATCGTTTCCGTGCGTACCTTATTAGTAGATATACTCTAGTTCGTATCTGCTATATCGTAGACAATTGTCTTCAATCAGCCTATTAAGAAACGATAACTGGGAGTTTAGTAATGTATACTATACCCTCCCTATCCTTACGTGCTTTTTAAGTCATAGACATAGATCGGGGCTCTTACCTTTGTTCCTTAGATCTATTAGTATTAGATATATTAGTATCTAGGGAAGGTGGGTACTAATTCTAATCTCGTGATATGGTCACACATTGCACAATGTTTAAATGTTAGTTTGACACTTATTGATGGAAAAAAGTGGCTAAAGAATACGACCTAATATGCTGTGTCATATAGGGTAGCCTTTATTTACAATATCTCTAGTCACGAGTTGATCTCGTGTTAGGTAATGTTTATCGAGTCAACTATTCTAGATTTACCTTTGCCTGGCAAAATGCTGACCTTTAGTCGTTATGTATAACATGTACATACACATGGCGCCGATATCGGGCAATTTTGTGAAAGTCTCTCTTAATCGTGGAGACAAAACTATGAAAAGTTTTCAGGATAAATGATACACGATACAGTAGCGCACAAACATTGAAAAGCATTTTCATCTGGAACAGATTCGAGTGCATGTACATACCTTACCATACAGTGATATTAATATTAAGCAACATGACAAAAATTAGTTTTCCAAATTTTAGTTGGAAACTGGCACAACACGATGCAGCTTTTATTGTGTTTCTGTTGCAATGTGGGCTTGTACCACATATCTTCGTTGACGTTTTTGTATATAATCATTTGCAATAGGCATCGCATGCATGTACTACTAGTATGTTAACCGGCATGTGCACAGCAGTCCTATTCGGTGACCCTTGGACTTTACTGTAATGCCACGAAACAGCAACGCCATGCTTTTTATTTAAGAAAGATTACGTAACCTTTAAAAATATCAATATATACTTATGCCTGCAATTGATATCTTATTATAATATTTAGAACCTGTTATGCGAAATGAGAAGTGATAAGCTTTGTTGCAATCAATAAAGATTGGGCGCAAATATTGTTTTGGAAAATCAGGACCATCGTGTTAAAATTATTGCCATTTAAGTCACAGTCTTGTTCTTTCAGCTACTGAAATCAAGATGAAGCTTTTGATTGTTATTGTCTGCGTTGCCGCGGCAACAGCCCTCGACCAGGAATGGGAGGCCTTCAAACTTCTTCATGGTAAGTTGATAGTTCTTATGTAGATTAATGTTATCGTAATAAAACATTTACTTTCCTGTCTTTTCTTCAAGTATGTGTCTGATTTGCAAAGTATGACATGCATTCCTTGAAAATACTCAATGTTAACCAATCTCCAACTAAAAATTTTAAAGAGATGGACTCACTCAATCTTCTTCAGCTATCTAACCCAATCGCTCAGGGCACGTGACTTTTTAAACGTATGACGTCAGCAATGGGTCAAAGTTTGTTAGAAGTCGATATCATCCCCCGTCCCGGGCTATTATGAGTTTTATAACGTATTGATTTGCCACCAGGTAAGCAGTATAACAGCCTGTCCGAGGAGAACGCCAGGCACACCATCTTCGAGGAGAACAGCAGGATCGTCAAGCAGCACAATGAGGAGGCAGCCATGGGCAAACACACCTTCTTCATGCGCATGAACAAGTTTGGCGACATGGTGGGTGAAGAAAAGCAGCCCTTTCAGTCCGTTGTCTGCTATGTTAATGTCGCGAAAATTGGTCATATATACATGGAATAGTTCAAGTAAAAATCCTCCCCACACCATCTCCATTTCTATAGCCCTTGTATACAACCCTGATCATATTGGATCTCAACCCTGTCAATCAACTGAAACGCAATCTCCATCCACTCACTTCAAATAATTGCTGTTTAGGACGGTATAAAACATAAACTACTCCTAAACCAGCGCCACCCAAAGCAATATTTCCGTCGACGTAATGACTAACTATTGATTTTAGAGCCAAGAATAGGACCTTTAAGATACGCCTACTGCATGTTCATCGCTCTGTTTCACCACAGACAACCGAAGAGTTCAAGATGCTGGTGATCGGCTCAGGTTTTATGCCGTCCAACAAGACCGCCGAGGGGGGAGTCTTCGAGAGCCTGCCGGGACTGAAGGTCAACGACACCGTGGACTGGAGGGAGAAGGGAGCCGTCACCAAGGTCAAGAACCAGGAACAGTGCGGGTCCTGCTGGTCCTTCAGTGCGGTGAGTGCCACAATAACTCTTGCGGGACATTTTAGACTGTTTTTAAGACTATGATATTCAGTAGGTCTCAATGCCTGTGACACAAAATGTAAGTTTGTAACGTTACATTCCAGTCACAGTACGTATTAGTTTTGAGTCAATTTTCATTATGTATTTCTTGGTATCCAATATCATCACAGTATCGCACCAGACCAGACTACGTTGCAATAAGCAGGGAAATAGATAAATCAAACAACCCTGTCAATCAACTGATACCCATTCTCCGCCCACTCACTTCTAATCCTCACTTTTGATTTCCCTTGTAGACCGGTTCCCTGGAAGGCCAGCACTTCCTGAAGACCGGCGAGCTGGTTTCCCTGAGCGAACAGAACCTGGTGGACTGTTCTCGAAGGGAAGGCAACAAGGGCTGCAAGGGCGGAAACATGGACCAGGCTTTCAAGTACATCAAGATGAACGGCGGCATCGACACTGAGGAGTGCTACCCTTACAGGGGAAGGGTAAGCTCAAAACAAGTTTTCCCAATGTATACTGCCTGACATCTAAATGATGTCATTTCGGAAAGGAGGGAGGTTGATACAAAATTTACAAATCCTCTGCAACTGTCTAATTTTCTATTGAATGGCATATCTACATGTACAGGCATGGTCTTACTAAACATGTAACGTTAAGTTTGATGAATAAAGCATATTAAGCATCTTATAGGTCGTGAGTAGTTCCATGGTTCTTTGATCTAGTTCTACTTGCATGCCACAATAGATGTTTCATTTCTGATAAATGATTCAACGAATGAAGACTGGGTTTTAATTGCTCCTCATAAACATTCCCTTGGACCAGACCATGTCATTTTCTCACTAACGTTAAGTTACATATCTTACTACATTCCGCCACAGGACGAGACCATGTGCAGGTACAAGTCCAGCTGCAGCGGAGCCACCCTGTCCAGCTACACGGACATCAAGACCGGGGACGAGATGGCCCTGATGCAGGCTGTCGGCACGGTCGGGCCCATCTCCATCGCCATCGACGCCGGACACAAGTCCTTCCAGCTCTACCACCACGGTAAGACAAATAGGACGATCCTCTTAGAACACCTCCGTCAAAGTAGAACGGGGCAGTTCGAACAATGCGTTTCCGTCAATTATGTTTTTATTAGTGGAGTTTTATGTTTTGATGGAGGTAGGTGAGCCTATGGGATAGGTCTATTCCTTGGGGCAACAATGTCAATGACTGGTCTAAACCTTCTTAATACAACGAATGCCTCCTGTCTTTAGTAAATGTTGTGTGAGCTTAATTCAATATGTCAATGAAGTTTAGATACATCCAGGTGATGACACACGGAAATTGGTAATTTTTTTTTATCTAAGCAACTGATCTAACTTACTCAGGTGCTTCTGTAACAATTTCCTAGTGTACAAACATCAATACTTTTACCAGCCTTATGAAACTGTTGACGGAAATCATATTTTTCAGGTGTGTACAACGAGCCCATGTGCAGCTCTAAGAAGCTGGACCATGGTGTTCTTGCTGTAGGATATGGTACTGATGATGGTACTGACTACTGGCTCGTCAAGAACAGGTCAGTATATGGATGCTAATATCATGTACAACATATCTACGTGTGCCTAGCCGTAGACCTTGTTAGTTCATGCCCTGTACCTCGGCCACACAAATACAATGACTACTAGTAGTAATAGGCAAAGCTAACTTGTATAATCATGTAAATACACCGAGGATTTCACAACTCCGTGAAGTCGCTGCGAAATTCTTGTTGTTATACGTTATTGTGAATTTCTCACTAGTTCTGTGTACATTCCACTATCTCTTCCTCCTAGCATGTGGTAAGACCATTTGACATCCTTCCTGTCAGTCTGTGGTTACAGCATTCTCCCTAATTTCCTGTAACGTTAACTCTCAGGTATTCAAATACCTGCGGACACACAAGCACCCAAAACAGACAAACACAGAAAACAAGACTTCAGAGTACGGATGTAACTAGAGATTGAGCCTCAGATTTGTTCAAAACCTTGTTAATTATATGTTGTTCTTTTTACTACAGCTGGGGCGCCGAGTGGGGCATGGAGGGTTACGTCATGATGTCCAGGAACAAGGATAACCAGTGCGGCATTGCCACTGACGCCAGCTATCCTGTCGTCTAATGCAATAAATCCTAACTACAGTTAAAGACGGCTAGTGACATAACACACTCTCAAAACAATGTATCATATCATGTTATATTACTCAACCAACAATTGTACCGTTGCGTATTCTATATTGGTCGATGTCATTCGTGTATTTACTTCTGTGTGTTGTTGTTCGGTCTCATGTCATGAGAATGAAATTCGCAACATTTCAAAGAACACAAAGTCTTGTAATTTACCGAATTCGATAAGGAGCTTAGTCTGTCTTAAAAAGGAAGGCCATCTAGCGGTTTGAGCAGATCTGTAGCTGCGACTGACAGTCAAACGCCTGGTTCTTGTAGATGTGCGCTGAGAGTACAGATAAAAGTGTACGGAAAAGCTTTTGTATTATCAATAAAATAAATCCATACTGTACCATTGTAAGTTCTTTTTTTAATTTCCCTGTTCGTTGATATTTCTAGACAACAGCAGGGTTTGTATTGAAGTGTAGTATCCCAAACACAATTTCAATACTCTTCCTGTACTAGTAAAATGATCTAATGATTTACTTTTATTACAACATTCTGAGCTATAACACGTAGGTAACCAATCGTGTTGTATTTTACAGCATTTCGTATATTCTATTACCACCAAATGTTTATCAAATGTAACAACCCCCCCCCACCCACACACACACACTTTAATAGGAGAATATTTGAACCCTAACGTCATAAATAGAATTAACGAGAGAATCGTGGGTCAGACAAAATCAACCGTGATAAGATGTAACAATAATATCAATTTGCTCTACAAATAAACAAGGGCAGAGGCTAACCAGAGCTAAGCGCCTCTGGTTGGTTCGCCGGGGGTCACGTGAAAAATAGACGCGTGTCATTGGCTGTCTTTCATCAACCGATCAAAGAAGTCGTTTTGCCTAGATAGCGTTTTGTTTAAGCCATCTGATGACCTCACAGTATCCACCTTAGGATAGACTTGCTACGGGTTTATCGTGGAGCTCTGTCCACAAACAAGGTAATGACTTTCTCTGCTCTGTACTACTCATGCCCTATTCTATATCCGTACTAGCGTAAAGCCCCGCTACATTCTGGCTTAAAAAAATATATGGTGGCCGAAATGGACTATGGTTGGAATGGTCCATTATTGCCATTATGTAATACGCACCGTGTGTGTGTCAAAGACATAACATCTTGGAGAATAAGTGTACGTCGACGTCGGCCTAAGTACGAACTGCGTACACAGTGCGCTATATAGATTTTGGTAAAGTTCTTAAACCATGCAATTAATGATATGTCAAAAGTAAAAACCCTAAGCCATTGTCTACGACACCTGTAGTCACGAGGCAACCTCGCGTTGTATCAAGAACAAAGGTGACGTTTGCCGAGGTAACTATTACAAGCTCACCTTTGCCCACCAGTATTGTTTTACATGTCAGGCGCTATCTCTCTGCATTACGCAACACAAGCATTAGGTACAAGCTACCACGATATTAAAAACACATAAAAGTTACCTACGGCATACGGTTGTTTTCAACAATATTGGTGTAACGTAAATACATACAACTTACTAAGAGCTGTTAGAATTTAACGCATGGGGGAAAGGGGCCCGGGTGTTACACTTGTAAATCAGCTGATACTGATATGTGAATCAGTATTACGTCAGGAGACAAAGTTTCACTTGTTGATATATATTCAATCTGGTTCTTTCAGATTTTTATATCAAGATGAGGCTGTTCGTTGTTGTTGTCTGCGTTGCCGTGGCAACCGCCTTAGATCCGGAGTGGGAGGACTTCAAACGTCGCTACGGTAAAACCAACACTCTTAAGATAGCCTAAGCAGCAGGAGCTATTTAATCGTCTTCCTATCCATCTATTCATAATTTTGGCCTGAAATACTTGTCAAGATATACATGTTCATGGCTATACATGAATGAATACAAGAATGGGGTCCTTCGCGCTTGACCTTGCGCCTCCGCAGTCGTAACCTGAACCGGCTGATACTAATAGGCCAAGGACATTATGAACATGCTAACACTATGAGCTTTATATACATTCAGAATGGCTGCATTTCTTCTGTAGATGAGTTCAACGTTAATCTATTGTTTCTTGTTAGGTAAACGATATGAGAGTCTGTCTGAGGAAAACGCCAGGCACTCCATATTCGAGGAGAACAACAGAATGGTGAAGCAGCACAACGAGGAAGCAGCCACGGGCAAACACACCTTCTTCATGCGTATCAACAAGTTCAGCGATCTTGTAAGTAAAATCATTTTTCCGTGATTCTAAATATACTGCTTTATCGGAAAAATACCGCATCTAATAAAGTCATTTATGAATGGGCGTAGAAGTAAAGGATTATGAAATATGTCCTGTGATTAGGCATCACACATAAAAGGATGTCCACCAAGTCAATAATGTTGTTGACGATCCCCCTATGGACTTTAGGATGGATATTTTAGGATGGATATACACCATGTACAACGTTGAAATGTTGTTCGATGTTATATTTTACCATTTAGAATGGGTTTAGGACGTAGTAAGCATTTATTTTCAGACAAACGAAGAACGCCAGCAACTTCTGATGGGCGCGGGTCTGCTGCAGTACAACACGAATCCGCCAGAAGACAAAATCTTCAAGCCTTCACCCGACCTAAAGGTCAACGACACCGTAGACTGGAGGGAGAAAGGTGCCGTGACGGAGGTGAAGAACCAGAAACAGTGCGGGTCCTGCTGGGCTTTTAGTGCGGTGAGTATCGGCACGGTCCGGTATTGGTACGATTTCAATAGCTCTGAACACTTTGAAAGCCTTAAACCTGGCCTAGATACCAGACCCATAACACTCTATCTAGGCCCAGAGTAACCAGCGTGTAGATTAGGGCCTAACTGAGGGGGCTGTGGTATAATTTCCTTGGGGCATGTTGGCCCTTCCTTGGGTTATGTTGGCCCATGAGCTGAAGACTGTCCTGTGTAGGCCCTGGAAACAGTCTGGCACCCAGGCTACCTTAACCCAGGGCATACAGCAGGATCAAAACTTTGTCAGTCAAGTGCAAACAAATCTCCGCCCTCTCACTCTGGAATCCAAATATGCAAACCTTGAATAATTTATCGCCATCCAAAACAACACTTCCTTCCCGGACGCAATAAGGGTAGTACTAGTGACCACAATTGCAATCTCTCTCCCAGACGGGCTCTTTGGAAGGTCAGCACTTCCTGAAGACAGGCGAGCTGGTGTCCCTGAGTGAACAGAACCTGGTGGACTGTTCTCGCAGTGCGGGCAACAAGGGTTGTGACGGAGGGCTCATGGACCAAGCCTTCGTCTACATCAAGGATAACGGCGGCATCGACACTGAGGAGTGCTACCCCTACAAGGCAGAGGTGATGTTGTGCTAGCCTCTACCAAGCTTCGGGAAGAGGCTGAAAAGAATAGAAAAACGGTAGCGGCAAACTGTGCTCTTAGCGGAGCACCTGCCATTTCTTCTCTTTCCAGCCGAAGCTTGGTGGAGGCTAATCTTGCACAGACTTTTCCTGTAGCTGCCTTACAAATGTACATTCAGCTGTGGCCATGTTCACCACCTTGTGCTGATATAAGTTATCTACGTACTAAAGCATCATAACATTCCAAGTTTCGTTTCGAGCATTTATAGAAGTAACTGTGGAGACACAAACAGACACACGAAGGTCATTATACTGCACCAGGAGAGGTAGTCAGTGTGAGGCAGTTTTGAGACAGGCCATTGCCATACAGTGGCTGATATTTTGTATTGCTAGCAATTGACTACAGCTTTATCCTATTTCATGACCACAGAACCACAAGTGTCATTATAATGCGAACTGCAGTGGAGCGACCGTGCGCAGCTACCACCACATCTTCCCGCCTCATGACGAGAAGGCCTTACTGCGGGCCGCCGGTAGTGTCGGGCCCATCTCTGTCAGCATCGACGCCACTTGGGGCTCCTTCTTCCACTACAGCCACGGTGAGAGCGTATTGGATGTTTCGAACGGCATAGCTTTTTCACACTCACAAACAAACCGACAAACACAAAAGCTCCATTGCAATAACTTAAATGAACCCGCCACATGGCACATATCGAACTTGACCTTCCTTTTTTCCTTAATCCTACCAACCTACCAAATCTGATCACGATCCATTGACAGCATCACGAGTTATCAAAGTACAGCGAAACTTTGTTTTGTTTCAGGTGTTTATGACGAGCCGAAGTGCAGCTCCACACACCTGGACCACGGTGTATTGGTTGTGGGATATGGCTCTACTAATGGATCCGACTACTGGCTCGTCAAAAACAGGTCAATAATAGATTCATATATGCATGTACATAAACTGTTGGTTACATAAACATAAGGGACTTTTAGGCCAGGACCTGACTGCAGTTTTGCAATTTTTACACATAAATACGATAATGCACTATCAAAATCAGACAAACAGTAAAAGTAGAGGTCATCAGTAAAACTCTGCTTTTCTTTACCACAGTTGGGGCAAGGAGTGGGGCATGGAAGGCTACATCATGATGTCCAGGAACAAACACAACCAGTGTGGCATCGCTACTGCTGCTGTCTACCCTGTAGTCTGACAAACTGGACTCTAGAGGAAATAAAGCGTACCAAAAACGGCCCTTTTTTTACAATGAGACACAATAAGTGACCAGGCGCAGTCGTGTGAGTTTATTGGTTGATTCGCAAGATGATCGAACACTCACGCGGTAAGCATGGAGCTATCTGATTACTGACACAGAACGACAATGAAGTTTAAAAGGGTAAAAAGCCGCGAGCACCACGCCACCCAAAATGTAGCATATCTAAGTACGTGCATATATCGTCTAAACGTCTTCTAATCTGATCATCTTAAACAGTCATATTTCATTGTATCCAAGTTTCCAAACATTGGTGTCTTATTCTTACGCACTGCTGGAATGTGTTATTCTATGTAATGTTTTTGCACATAATAAAGCAAAGGCACTGAAACTCTGCTCAACTTCGGTCCACCCTGACTGTCCATCACAATAGTAAGATTTGCCCAGGCACGATTCTGGACACGCGCGGACTATCCAGCATTGTGCCTGTGGTCCTAGCGTATCTAGAGGCAGCAGACAGTGTCTGAGGAGCATGGTTCTGAGTAAAGTACTTAAACTTTCAGGTGACTGTAAACAGGTGGCTTATTCAGATCTTCCTTGCGGTTGCGTAAAAGAATTCACACGGCCATTCGTCCACCATGGACACCTGTTTAATCTCGATGTCGGTGCAGCCGTGACTGACCAGAGCGTCACGAAGAAACGCCTCGTTGAGTTCGAAGTCGGCAAACTTTTCCGTCTCGACGATGATGTTGTTTTTGAAGTCGCCCAGAAGGACCAGCCCGCCGCCAGGTTTGACGAGTGACGCCATGTTGCCCACGCCTGCGCGGTACTGGTCAGGCGAGTCGCACGCCAGCTCCAGACAGAAGGACGACACGACCACGTCGAACGGATCAACGCTGAGAGAAGGGAAAAATTTTTTGAAAGAAAAAATAACGACGAACTACGCTGGCTTTGACAGAGGATTTAAGACCATATAACACATACAATGCCAAAGCACGCACACACAAGAAATGCACCATTCTTGTACACACAAAAAACGGCTTCCCTAATCCATGCCACATCGACAGTGCACCACTTAGCTACTTGTAGACGCAATATGAGTTAGTTTCTTTTGCACTATCCTTAAGACAAACCTTTCAGTACAAAGCGGGTTGCTCTGTTTGACGTCACAGTGTACCACGGATTTAATAGCTTTTCGCAGACGGGCTGCTATTTCGTCTGGACTTGAGCTGGAAATAAAAGCCCATACTTCATTTTTCATCAAAAGCCACAAAAAGATTTAAAACTGTTCAGAAGTTTTAATTATGCACTTAAGCTCCGGAAACGGGGTTTAACAAACTCACCTGTTTCCCTCCAGTTTGCTGATATACCGGAAATACGCACCCCAATCGAATGCTTCCGGGTCACCGTCTACCCACTTCTGAAGCTCCTCCCGACACACCTTCAAAAGAGCTTATCTTTACTTAGTCTTCTAAAAGTTGATATTACTTAGCGCACAATAAAATCATGATCATCCTCCATAAAACGATACCAAAATATCTGCATTCCCGTTACAATATTATCTGTTTGAAACACATGAATTGCCTTAAAAAATTCAGGGCATGCCGGGTAACAACCCTGTCAATCAACTGAAATCCAACCTACACCCACTCATTTCTAATTCTTGCTGCTGAGGTCGAGATATGTTCAAACCCCAGCGCCACCCCAAACAATACTTCCGTTTTGAAGGTAAAAGGGTTCCAATACAAAGGTAATTAAAGCGAACTGAAAGGCAAAATCTCAAAAAGTGTAAACTTTTGTAATACCGGGAGGTAGTCAGAGCAGGTGATGTCCGGGAAATATTTGCTCGCACTCAGGACGCTCAGAACGGACGGGCCTGTGCCGATGTCCAACAGTCGCTTTCCCTGGAAAATACCTATAAAAATCTTCTTTACATAAATATCATTGGTGTTATTTCCACTATAGATAGGAATCATCATTATCAAAAGCTCACTATTCACGACATAAAAGTCATAATATTGCTGTAATGATCTTTGTACATCGAGCGACAACTGAGGCGAAAGGTCAATGACTGCCCCTTGAGCACTCCTGTAAACAATACCCGTGTTTATGAACCGTTTTATGGTGTCTAGTGGCGTGAAACCAAGCCCTACCAACTCACGTAGGAACACGCAAACTCCTGATATTCAGTATACAACGCAATTCTGAGGCATTAATAGCAGTATCTTAGATGCTACAAGATAAGAATACACCTTTACACTGCCATTTTCTCTTCTCAAGAGCGAGCTTTTGACAGGTGTAATCTAGCTTTCTTTACCCTCCCAGAGCAGTAGACCGTGACGTGTTTACCTGAGCCGAATGTCTGGTGTAGGTGGTCCATTATGAAAAGCTGGACACATTCCTTGTCGTCTTCCCCTTTAAAGGCGCTGAAATGTTTATCCAGGTACTCCCGCGGTTTGAACTCCTGGGTGTAATATTCTGCCACCGACTGCTCTTCGGTTGCCTTTGAGTTTGAGTCAGCCATTTTGCTCCGGTGCCTAGCAAAAGGAGCGAAGCAAATACAATCGTCTCACTGAAGTATACAATAATACACATACACATTTTCTAGTCCGAGTTTGTGTAATCTGTTTATCAGTGTGCTATATTTTGAGCCAACGAACCGTAAACATACCTACTTTAAAGAGAAGCTGTTGTCAACAAGCTTCCTGGTTGATGACCTTTGCACTTCAACCTTGACCTACAGATCGTTGACCTGCCTAGACGATACCAATAGCTGTGGCTGTAGTAGGTCTGTATCACCATTGGTTCTTTATGTAGTAAAAGCACACCGTTTCGGAGGTATCGTTTATCTTGTGGTTATATTTCGGTGTTGGGAAGATGTGCGGGTATGTGTTGTATATTTATGCCGGTTTCGTGTTTTGTCAGAGCCAGAGGTTGGTCAGGAAAGTCTTATGCAATTAGTATACTTTTCATTCAATGTACATTTTGTTATGTCTTTGAATCCTTTTATTTTGGATTCAGTTTTTTTATTGAGTCTCCATCGTATCATACACATTATACAACCATGCATCAATTAATATACAATGATTAATATACAAAGAAAAGCCTAAACCTAACCCGAAAAATAATCCTAATTCTAAACCTAATGTTGGCCCTAACACCAACCATAACCTGCTAACCAAGGAGATACTACCCATACCCTACCTATAAACTCCAGACACGAGTGTAGCAATGTGTTGTTCGTCTTGTGCAGTTCTCTGACAGCTAGGTTCACCCCGCTAGTCTCGGCTACCCTACACGAGCACTACCGGTATCTCACAATCTCACAGAGCAAATCTGGTGGGATCAGATACTTTAGTATTTGGCGCTACACCGGCTTCAGACTGAAGGCTCTGGACAACACTCGCAGGTGCAATGATAATGAGGAGGCAAAAACACCGCGACAATGCAGTGTACATCTGTTCTCTTACCTTTTCACTGACTTCTCCCTCTGTGAGACAAGCAGGGTCATACAAGATCAGTACCTTCGTTTCTAAACCCTTAAACCGTGATAGACAATCTACTATGATGGCAGAATTGACAGGATGCATAATAGAGTCCTCAGCACTTTGACACTGAATGCCTTTGGCCTGAAGATCTTCTACTACCTCAGGTACGTCTTTGATAGTCCTGAGGAGGACACATATGTCCTTTGCGCTCACATTGTTTCCAACTAGGCGATGCACGTGTTTAGAAATGTAGTCAGATGCGGTTTTGGGAGCGGAGTCGGGCGTTTGGTCCATTTTGTCCCACTCCACGCACAAACCCGTGATGTCGTGTCCAATAGAGTAGTCAGTATCTTCATCGGTATCACTGAAGTACTTCTTAAACTGGTCAAAAACGCTGCCCGTCATCCGGTACACTTTGCGCAGTTGGATCGCGCTGGCCAGTTCTTCTTCAGAGAACCCTGTCGCGGCTGTCTTGTAGACGTGTTGGTTGTTGTCGAGGAAAATCCAACGAAAATTCCTCTTGCATAGTGATTTTGCCTGGATCTCCTTCAGCAAAGCTCGCCAGTTACCGATGAAGTCTTCGCCCTCGTCTACAAAGATGTGGTCAAAGGTGCAGACGCGATGGATTCGCGGTTTGTCATCTAGGATACGGTCAACCAATGCACACCTCTCCTCATCACTCATTTCTGACACATTTTTATTGCCGTTCTGACTAAGCTGACACAAGATGGAACCAAACGTTCTAACTGTAACCAATCGACAGTCTTCCAGTTCTTTTGTGAGTCTGATTTCTAGCGGTTTGTTGTAGCAGAGAACGAGGATCTTCTCGTCTTTCCCAGTTTTGCCGATGTCTCTGTTGAGAGCCCGTACCTTGTGCAGTAGGATGGAGGTCTTCCCGCTGCCGGCGGGACCTGTGATGAGCTGGTACCGCGGCAGACCCACGTTGTTCAGGAGAGCGAGTTGCTGACTGTTGAACATCTGCAGGACGTCTCGGGTGGTGTCGTCTACCAGTTTGCCCAGGGTACAGGCGGTGGCGCTGCGAAGGCCAATGAACCTGTAGGTACCGGACAGTGATGAACTTAAATTTGTAAATAAACAGGGTAATCAGAGATTTCACAAAATGAATACAAAATACAATCATGTTTGAAGGCTAGTCATTCACCCAATTTTTGTCCGATTCTTTAGGTATGTTTACAAGGCCTGGAAGATAATACTAGTACATTGTAGTACCTATATTTTAAGAAAGTCGTACGTAATCGGAATATAGCGTTACGCGTCATTCTACATTTCTGTAGATAGTTATTAAAAATACCTTCATACCATTGCGACTGGAAACATGTAGCAGGCTTTGTTCAAGGTTGAAGAAAAGCCTTACACTAAGATAGATCTGTGAATGTTACCTGCAGAGTAAGCCCCTGTACAAGTCTTCCCGGATGCACAGCGGCCGGACACAGCCGATGTTCCTGTCCCACCACTGGCGGAAACACAAGCCATCCTGACAGTCCTCCAAGAAACAACCGTCCTTGTAGGCATCCATACTGTCCTGGGGTCTTCTACAGTTGGGCATGACCACAAAAGCCGGGTTCCGAAACAGGGCAGTGGACGCCTCCCTGGGTACTCTGTCCTTCAGGTACTCCGCGAGAGCCTTTCTTGCTTTGTTGATTTGGTCTTGAGCTTTCTTGAACCGTTTTCGAAGAATACTGTGCGAGCTGACTGCCTTGACTTCCATGAAGATGACCCCGTATTTCTTACTGACGATGACGAAGTCTGTTTCTCCATACACCCTCCAGACGTCCTGACCGCGGTGAACTTGTTCGTTGAAACTGAAGCTGTGAATCACGAACATCGGGTCGCGGAGGTCATTGCCAAGCTCGTGGAGAAGGCGGTAAATATGCCCTTCTGCGTCGTCGCCCTTCCTTTGGACCTGATCTACCGGTTCTCCAGAAAAGGAGAATATGGGAGGTACCATGTGAAAAGCGGTCAACCAGTCAGGGTAGTTGTTCTTGATATACTTCTCCACTTCTGTGTTGCTGAACTCCACTGATCCATCATCATGCAGAGATCGCTGTGCTGTGAAGTTGACACGAGGACAGTTGTCCATCTTGCTCCGGCTTTGTTGGCTGGTACTAGTGAGGGATGAATATGGCCTGCTCTACCCTCTAGCTGAATTAGGTTGCTAAATGGACGATACAATTGTATAAACGGGCGTTTTAGAACATACAATTACATTGGTCAGGCGCCCAAATATCCCCAATCTGCATAGGACCGTATAGCGATTCAGGAAGCGCTGCTTTTATGAATTTGTATGCAGTCCGTAACTTAAGGGGCTTCTTGAGCCGCCACGACTTCAATCTGCATAAAACATGCTCCTGTATGTAACCATGTAACGAGCATTTCCCGAAATCAGAGTTCAAACGTTCTACTACCTGGTGAGGCAGAAAAACGTCCTCACCGATACCGTGCACAGCGCACCCGGAAGTACATGTATCATATAACGTTACTAACATAATATGTGTATATGATTTGCTCAAAGCAATCAAGCGATAATAAACAATTACAAATCTCTTCGATGAAGCGCGGTTTGTATCGATTATCAGAATTGACATCAGGAAAAGCGAGGTTTTTGCTAGAAGCTTTCAAATTCTATGGTAAGATACCTTGATCTTGGAACAGGCCGCGCCTACCTGCCCACTGTGCTCGCCTCACCTTTGACCCTACAAGCCGTACCATGTTTTTGAAGGGGTGGGCAGGGCTCAAGTACATGGTGCCACAGAGGTACGCCGACTAGATATTATCACACATCAGTCATTTAATTGTATGGCCCATTCATTTGAAGAGGTTGAGATATTTATTTCCGTTTTATTTGGTCAGGGTGACCTATCTCATTGTGCATCATGTTCTGAAATTCCAGCCTCCTTGGTTTGCAATGTGTTCCTGTAAGCAGCTGCAAATGTACAAATAGTCATTGTCGTACCTCTCCTTGGTGCTGAACGCTATCCATTGGCAAACTCCAGCATATTTATTTGTCTATTCTATTTATTTCTGTTTCATTACATGAAACAACTGGACAGGGTAAGCCTTTTGCCACCCCCCTGTCCATTCCCATCTCTAGTACTTTTAAAGAGCATATGCAGTACGAGTACAGTAGGACCCTGAAAAATTGTATACATACTAGTATGTCTTGTACATGAACAAGCTTAATATCAATCATTAAGGGACATGAACATTGAAATTTGTGTCGCTGTCTTGTCTTGTTGCCATGTTTTTATAAGAAAACCACTTGGATAAGAAGACCACTGTTCCTTTGATCCCTGGGTGGTTGTCTTAGGGAAATATTGACTGTAATTTTATTATCTTGAATGACAAAGTAAAATTGAATACATCCAGGCTCAAACTTCTGCAGATATTGGAATTAAGTCAACCTGACATTCTGATCATATTTACCTCTAAATGCCATTTGAGTCTCTTTATGTCCCAAATTAAATGTCATTTCCACATCACAGTTTACTGTAGACCTCCTCTCGCACAACCAAAGTTGGTGAGATGTCAGCCAAAGTGCAGCAGCCTAGGGGGAAAGAGATACCCAAATTTCTTGGTGAAAGATGATTTTGAAAATTGTTATCAAAGACATTTTAACTTCACTTTTTACTTGTACTATACATATACTATATACACTTACATTAAAGTCTATATGTAGTGATATTAGCATACATGTAGATGTTTGTCGGCACATATTTACCTATGGATTTATCATGACTTAATGTTTATGGATTTGTTGGAACGTCTAGTGTGTAACCTGTATCTTCTTACATTTTGTCTTACCCTGACTGCTTCCCTCATGACCTCAATGAAAAGCAACCAGCAGGCCAATTTGCGTACTAGTGTTTCATAAAATAAAGGCTCAAACAAACAGCCACATGTTGTACAGACCAGACAGTGCCATGGCAAGGTCCAGCTCATCCCTCAGAATTTTCATAACTTGTCTAACACCCTCTTCTCCCTATAGATAAGGAAAGTCAAAATTATGATTAAAAAAACAAGAAATTCACAATTACAACAACACAATTACAACGACACTTCATGGAAGTGTGAATTTCTTTATTTCCTGATGGACTTCTTTTATTTCACCTTTTACAATGTTTTAAGATTCAAGCCTTCTTTATTTGACTTCTATGTGTGCCCATATGCAGCTCTAAATGCATGTATACAGTACTAGTAATCATGGTTGTACCTCTCCTTGGTACTGAATGCCATCTATTGACAACTTTAGCATATTCCCCCTCTCCAGGACTTAGAAGAGCAGTATGAGTAATGTTTCATCTCTTCTAAAACAATTTTAACAATACTAGAAGCCTTCAAAGTATCTTAAATTGACAAATAGGTTAGTTTTTTGCTTACATTGAAGGTAAGCCCCCAGATGACCGGCCTTCCTACAAAGACGGCCCGCGCTCCGAGTGCCAGCGCCTTGAGAGCGTCCGTTCCCGTCCGCACACCTCCATCCAGGTACACTTCCAGCTTGTTTCCCACAGCCTGGACTATTTCTGGAAGTGCCTCAACCTGTGAAGGGTTTAAAATATAAGCAGGCAAACCTCAGTTTGTGATGCTAAAGCATATATTCCCATGATTATACTATAACTGTACAATTCCAACACATTCATGAAAAACCTAAACACTTTCCAGAAATCTGAAACCTCAGATGTCTTGTAAAAAATTGTAACAGGGCCTTTAGCATGTTCAAGATGTTGATTTCCTTGGAACAAGAACAAGCCGTGACACTACCCCTTGAAGTTGTACTTACTTACTTACTTACTATAATGCATTTGTTTAAACACGATTTCTGCATAGATGTACTTGCATGGCTTATGAACGCAAACAGCTGACTCACCGTAGCTGGAACTCCGTCCAGTTGTCTCCCTCCATGATTGGACACCAGAATCCCCTTCACACCTGGATGGTCCAGGGCTATCCCAGCATCCTCTGCTGTCATGACCCCCTTCAGTATGATTGGCAGGTTGGTGATGGAGCTCAGCCAATCAATGTCCTTCCAGGAGAAGGCGGGGTCCTGGGGGCTGCCACCCATCCCATAGTTCCGTCCATCTTTTGCACTGTCCTGAAAAAAAAAGAGAAAGAGACATGTTTCTTGGTAGAAGACGAAGCAAAAAGAAGCTCTGCTTCATATATATATGTGAGGGCCTGCATGGGTGATCCTGGCAATGCTTACCAGTAATGGTAAATTCAGGAGGTTAAGCAATAGTTCATGTAAAATTGATGCGCTTCTTGCAAAAGGTTTTGGCAAGATGTTTGTTGGATTATACAATATTGTACTCATGTCCTGTCTGGAAAAAAGGTGAAAGCCAAAACAAGACTTAATATGAAATTACAGTGTGCGGCATTAAGCTACAATTAATATAGAAATATGTTAAGTTCCAGTCTAAGTTTGAAGTCACCTGTTCTGAGCCGTCCTTCAGTGCGAGAAGGTTGGGCACGGTCACGTGAGAAGGAAGTTGGAACTTGTTCTTGATGTCAGAATACCGCTTACCTACTATTGGAAGGTCTGTCAGGAAGTAAAGAAATCACATGTATGACGACATGTAAGTCAAAATTCATTTTTTTGGCATTTTAATAGGGGCACGTAAAAAAATTGGGTGCAGTGATGTGAAATGCTATTGAATTTAACTAATGTTATCTCTGTTGGGCCAAAGTTCAAAGATTCAAACTTTCTTTTTACCGATGGTGACGACCAATGCCTTGTATCCTGCCTTCTCCACCTTGTGAATGAGACGCTGTGTGAAGGACTTGTTGGGCATGAAGTACATCTGGAACCACTTCAGACCAGCAGGCGAGGCCGCCATGATGTCCTCCGCGGAGCTGCTGGCAAAAGTGCTGACAGCCATGCAGGTTCCCATCTCAGCTGCAACTGAGATTTAAAACAAAACTCAAAGAAGAAACTAGAAAGGCAGCATTTCCATAGCAACTGCATATGGCCTTATCCTAACAAACTACTGCTCTGTTTATTCTTAAACACATATATATATATGGTGAGACGAGACCAACTCTCTTCTGCTACTTGCACCATATAAACGTTATCCAACAATATCATACAGGGTGTCTGCTACAGCACCAGTTACCATGGGGACAGCTGTCTGATCCAGGTCATTGGCCTCATTTGTTTCGAGAAAAAAAAGGAGGAAACAGATAAAAAATAGTGTTTTCCTTCTGTGAAACGGAACTGAATGGCACTTATTTTTAAGGGAGTAGGGATCATTCCACGTACGTTGTAAAGAAATGACCCAAAAATTGTATCATGCTAAAGTTACTAGTACATATTGGAGCTTTAAGATATCTTCTCCTTGCAACCTTTAGCGACACAGATGTCCCCTTGTGGCCAGGCCAGGTCCTGCAGGCCCGCGGGACTCACACCGATGGGAAACTCCACCCTCTCCCCCAGCAAGGTCGTGGAGAGGTCACGACGGGACACATCAAGCAGGAATCTTGGTCTCAGTCGGAGTCTGTTGATGACAAAACAGTCTGGAAGGTTACCTACGATCCTGAAAGACGACTTGGCTCTCTTTCCCAAATTAAATTTCTCGACATAACTATAAAAGTTATGACATATGTAGATACATTTGGAGCTGACATTTGTACACTATACTTTAGAGGTAACCATCCATTCATCCATCCATCCATCAACCATCCACAATCAGTCCTACAAAAATCCATCAATGTCTCTCACTTAAATATTTGTTTAACACAGTAGTTAGCTAACTACATAACTTTACCATCTTACCTTTTAAAAGCGATTCTGTTTTCCGAAAGTGTCTGACATTCTTCAGCCCCGCCTGAGAAGAACTCCCAAGTTGCTTTGGACAGGTGTTTCTTGGAGTACTCTTCGAAGTCATCTACGCACACCATGCGGCCTGACATTGTATTGCACTGCTGCTGAGTAGGGTGTAAAGTGTAAACTTTATATATCGTTGTATATCGTCACAGCATATCGTGTCGTTGACTTCACTAGACCAGGCAGGGCCAGGTTAAACCCAAAGGGTCGGGCCAATGAAAAGACTCTTCTCAAACAAGTCCTTGCTCTTATACTGAACGAAAAAAAAATTAAGTTATATCCCACACTGGTTCCAACAAAACAACAACAAAGCAGCACAACATTTCGGCCTTATCACGGAGTTACAGAAAACACTGACATGACATATATCGTACCTGATGGTCCTGTGATTTCTCTACATGATCACCAGTGAAAACGACGCCAATACCTGGCCCCTGTACCTGGCCATATCTGGTTGTCTGTGAACTCTACATGAACTTTGTACGAAGGTAAACACGACGTCAACCTGTGCTTCTGAAGCATATCGCTAGATGGCGCTTACGTACCGGCTATGATGACCATGACGTCATCTGTCACCATCTTGAAAGGGAAATTTTGCGGTCAGACGCAGCTTCCCCAGTGTTGTTGATGTTTCGTTGTGTATTTCTGACATCTCGGACGTTTTTAAGCAGATAGGGCGTCTGTGCTACCTTTGTTTCTCACAGAAATCGTGTAAAAACGCATCTGTGAGAAGGATTTTGTTGTAGAATACCCGACTAAAGCACCTGCCGCAGTTGTGTTGAAGAAACATATCGACATTTTTTCTCAGCTGACGAACACACTCGAGAACGCAAAAAATGGCTGGATGTCTGGACAACTTCCAGTGGCCCAAGTGCGACTGTATCGAGCTGGGAGACAAGCGGAACGCCATCGCCTCCATATCAGCTGGAATGCTGGTGAGTTTGGGTTTTTGTTTCAGGGAGGGTGGGAGGGGGGCGACCCAGAAAATTATTATGATGCAAGGAAGTAAATATCTATCAAACATTATTTGATTGTAAATGGAAATTGGTGCGTTTTGTAAACGCATGCTGTGTTATGCCTTACTTTTGAATTAATGGATTTGCGTTTCCATCTGCGGAATAAAGTCGTAATTATGTATCTTTTTGTTGGGGGGGGGGGCTATCTATTCAAGGAAACTAGTCATCCATACATGTCATGTGATGATGATGTTGGTTGGTCAGATGACAATAAACAGTTAATCAAACCCACACAAAGCTACTGTGGTCCAGACGACTTACCAGCCAGAATATTGAGGTTCAAAACTTTATAAACAATTCTTTCTTGAATTGTGTTTGTGTGACATAAATATGAGATCCTTAGAGTACTTTAAATTTATAAGTTAATGTTTGTAATTGTAATGTTGGTATTTTTCTCCATCTTCCCAGTTCTTTGCAGGTTGGTGGGTGATCATTGATGCAGCCATACAGTACCCTGAACAGGACAAGCTTCACCACGCCTACCATACCTGCGGAGTCATATCAACTGTGGCCATGTTCATGTGAGTTCCACCAGAGGGCAATGCAGTATCATCACTAGAGCTCTTTCATAAAACCATAAGGTGGCATGGTGGTCTTGTAGGGTTGTTAACTTAGAATGTAAAGGCACTGGGTTTGAATCCCTAAATTTATTTTTTGCACTTTACAGGTGTGTATGTAGCAATCTATTGACCAACAAAAGTGTTGACCTTGTTCTTGCTAAACAATTTTTTATCTGCAGGATAAATGCTGTATCCAATGCCCAGGTGAGAGGGGACACCTACAACACAGGTTGTATGGGACAAACAGGTAAGTACCTGTGTACATACACCTAAGTGCATACACCTAAACACCTGAGTACACACACCCGAGCACCTGAGTAAACACCTGAGCACCTGAGTAGACACCTGAACACACACACCTGAACACATACAATGTACATCTGAACACCTGCCTACACACAGACCTTAACACCTGCCTACACATCTGAATATACACACCTGGACACGAATGTTTGACCAATGTTAATTAATCTTTTTCTGGCACACAAGACAGTGCAGAGTCTGTACATCCAAGACATATTATTGCTTCATAGGAAGAAAACCTCAGATCTTATATTATCCATTTTGTAGCATAGCCAATCCCCCGTCAAGTATGTCATTGTAACTTCATGACTCTCCTTCCAGGCGCCAGAGTTTGGATGTTTATCGGATTCCTGCTCGCGTTCGGTTCCCTCATTGGAGCCTCGTGGATTCTCATTGGTGGTTACGTAGTGAACCGTGAGTTACCATGGCAACAGTAATGCACATTTTCCTCTCCCCCTTCTCACGCCTCCCCTCTATCCAGGTGCCCGGGTGTGGCTGTTCCTGGGTTTTCTCCTTGCCTTTGGGTCACTCATCGCTTCCTGTTGGGTGCTCTTTGGCGGTTATGTAGTCTCACGTAAGACAGCTTTTATGTATTTATTTGATTGCTTGCTTGTTTGTAAATTATGCATTTGAAGGGCTGACCGCCTATTCAAGGTCACCCATCCAGTCTTCCCTTTCCATGCCTTGGTTGCAATCTAACACAAATTGCTCAGAATGCAGTTCAGTACCAGGGTCACTACTGTATGCAAATCACTCTACCCCAGAATACTATAGTAGCTGGACGTTTCAAGCAACATCCACTACTTTACGTCACTAAGTAGTGAATGCTACTTTAAACATCTGGCAGTTTTCAAATCTATCCAGTTGCTTGAGCAACTCAACTGTTTTCTTGTGTATCTCCTTGCCTCAATGTCCAACCTTCATTATTGTGAGAACTGCCTTATTGGGCTTCATTTTGTGGACACTGTTGCATTGCTCTGAAGAACCAACTCTTGGTGAACAGAACTAGAAAAGATAAACTGCAAGACAGATTTTGCTGCAGCATGTTGCACATGTAACGACTGGTCTTTTCATCCACTGATTTCTTCATCTTGCATCTAAGTCTTTTATGGGTCACTTCTTCTTATCAACCACTTTGGCTGTTTCATGTATGTAAAGGGAGACCAACCTCAATATTTGAAAACTTGTTTGAAGAAAATCAATATAAATCAGTTCAACGAAAAGAGTTCATTAGTTTGTTGGAGACGAGTCAAAGGAATGTTTGTTACTGTAAGTCATGGAACTTTCACAGTGGTTTTGTTTTGCTATTGAAAAAATCCTGTGCGGTAGTCATGCAAGGAAGACATGTCCATTGTCATGAATTCACAATGCAGAGGAAACTGTGAAAATAAAACCATTGCGAAAATTTCAAGACTTGGCGTACATGCATCTTTTTACAGGAAAAGTAGTTTACATGTTGACTACATTGTGTAACCATTCCAACTTCTTTCCTAAGCTTGAGAATACAGTCAATACCTCTTATTTATCAAGTGGTGACATTTTCTTGTATTAATGTTAAACATTTATTTTCACCACTCAAGCTTCCACCCTGCACAAGCAGAACCAGTATGCAGGAGTTGCCGTCTTCTTACAAAATGCACTTATCTTCTTCAGGTAAGGATCTAATGATAATAATATCTCAATTATTTTCATGAATTTTTTATTTTATTCATTATTTTTGGCTGATTTTCTTGTTGATTGTGTCAGTGCATTTCCCACTGGCTCTCATAAGGCAACAGACATGTGTAAAGCAGAAAATTGAAGACCTTGGACCTAACTTCGTGTCAGTGCCTAGCAAATGGAAATGACTATGAAAACCCAAGCAAACTCACCCCAATACTCGGAGGTTAAACGAAAACAAAACCTCACTATTTGGAGGTTAAAGTGTCTCTCTATATAGAGCCTGAGTTTTTTTTCTGGTTGATGATATATAGAATTTTTCCAGTTTTCATAGAAGCAATAAACCTCAGTAATGTCTTGAAATACAAGTACCAGTGAGTCTCTCACATGCGTTCTGTTCCATTTTGCAGTGCAATAGTCTTCAAGTTTGGCAGGACGGAAGACCTGTGGGAATGAGGAACAGCTATGTCAGACCAGCAGCATGCTGGGAGGAAACAGCAATAGAATAGCATGCCTGTACAGTTTGGTTGACCTTGACAGCTATAATCAATGTCAGGATCTTGTTAGATGTAATAACTCAATGTGGCATATTTTATATAGATCTTACTAAAATGGAAAGTGCTCATTTTTGTCGGGTGGTATCGGTAGTTATTGATATTATATTACAAAGGTAACAAACTGAAAACAGTATATGATAACTTCTATTGATGTTGTAATAAAACTTTCAGTGTTATTTCAAAAATATATATGTGTATAAGAAAGACCTTTACAATAATTCATGTAATTAGTAGAGGTATGCATTCCTTTTGAAATGTTGGTGTTAGTAACATGTTGAATATGAATCGTTCTTATGATAGCTGTAATGCTAGATATGTTTTCCCTATCCAGCAGAATTTTTTTGCATCTTTTTTTACTTTTCTGTGCATATTGTAAGTTTTCAAGTGAATTTTGTGCCATCTTGTACAGTAAGTGTGTTGAATCCTTTCATTTTTCTGTTGCTTGACTGTTGTGCATATACAGTTAAATACAAATGTAATAAAATAAGGTAAAGTCATAGGGTTTACTGTACTTTAATTAGTTGGGCCATATTTGAACACTTGTTGTGGCTGGAGAATTCATTTAACCATACACACCCCAATTCCTCTGCAAGAGGGGTCCGTGGTAGTACACGGCAAAAAAAGAAGTGATTAAAACATTTCTGGGGCCAGATTTGAGTTCACATTGCCCATAATCTGCTGCAAAATGACATTAGATATTAATATATATCGCACCATATATTCCCTGAAAGAGGGTTGCTAGACTTGAGGGTTTGCCATCTCGACTTCAGACCGGAAAGAAACAAAATTTAAGAGATCATTTTGACGAGGCCCTTTTGATACTTGATACTTGATACGTCTTCCAGGAAAGAAGGCCGTGGCCTGTTATGTCCTGATCTCTGCTCACTCGGTTGCATACCTTCGCTTCTCCCAGTGACTGTCAAGTCTGCTTTTCTTAAGAAACTTATCAGCTTGTGTTCAAATAGGGATGTCTTGTAACTTTAAAAATTGTAACCTGATATTATTCTCTTCTAAGTAATGTTACATGTATATTGCAGCGTGTATTTATACTCAGAACTGTACATAACTTTCAATGAGACTGTAATATTTCCTGATCATTGTAGTGGGTTGTCAAAATGTCATGAAATAGAGAAGGAACAACATTATAGTACTTATTGTTTTGTAGTTCATTACAATGCAAAATTCTGATTTCATTTTATTTCATGCATCCAATAAAAAACATTCTGATGCATTTCATTTCATTTCATACATCCAATAAAAACATTTTAAAAATGCAGGTTTCACCCAGGCGCGGTACATTCTGCTGACGTGCTGTTATCTCAGCATAGTTAAAGACTTACAGCATGGCAGTAAAAAACCCTTGGATGAACGACTTAGTGTTTTGAGACCATAAATTCTTAACATTTCTTTATACAATGTATCATGAAAATATGTACATGTTGAGTGTGCAAAAAGAATTAAACATTATAATGTAAAATCCATGTTTTGAACCTCTTTATTGTATTGGGTGGGCCAGTTTCTTTGCAGCCCAAAGCCTTAGTACCATACATGCCATATGGGCCTTTTTTGCATGAACATCTGTAGTGTAAACCAGCACCTAGAGCGATATGTTAGAAGTTACAAGATATACATGTTCTGTTCTCTACCTAAATTAAGATATAAGAACAGAACAATAAAAATTAATAGAAAATAGAAAGCTTACGTTCCAACGTCACTGTCCTTGTTATGCAAGGTCATACCAATGTAATAGTAATATAACGTGTAATACTGAATGAAATTGTAAGGTGGCGCTTTTGCAAGCTACAGACGTGAGCCTCCATCTGGTTCACCTCAAGCTCTGAAATATGTATGCAAATGAGCTCCCACAGGCCGCCAGAGTGAAAACCGGCTGGATCCAGTCCCAACCAGTTCCAGCCTGTCATGTCAGTTTCGATGCGTAGGGATATCACAACAAGGTGATGCGGTTGGCATGGAACGTGTTGGAACTTGACAATCTCTACTGAAATGAATCCCGGGGTGTTGGAATAGTTTTACTGAAAGAACGATGGTTATTTTGCAACATTTGGACTTTGTAAACGGGAGACACGCCCATCTTGCACGCTGAGCAGCACTTTGGACTGGACTGCTAAACAACACAAAAATTAGTCGACTTGATGAGGTGGAGGGATATCGATTTCAGATGTGCAAAAAGTGGGAAATTTGAATAGCATTCGACAGAAATATAGTACCGGGCATCGAGGTGATGGACTCGGTCAAACGGAACTGGACTGGTTTTTAGAAGAACATTTTTTGGGGGAAGAACATCGTATCGGATGTTTTTGTTTGCGTTTTTAAGGGAGTGCAAACGCGGGAAAAAGAAACTGAGGGCGCGGGAACAATGATGCAGTCAGGGCTTTCCACGGAACATGGTATTCGGCAGAGCAAGGTGTTTGATTTATGTAATTTGAGCAAAACAAAAACATTTTTATAGGTCTCGTTTTTTTACGTCGTTTGGTTAAGTACGTAAGTTATGGAATCACCTGGTATTTTAAGTTTCTAACATTAATGATATCGAATATAGATTTCAGTATTTGACCAAGGACATGTCCTTGATATTTTGACGGAGTGGTTTTGTTTTATTTTCAGACGAGCCCCGGGTTTCTACACTCGAACTCGACCAGCCACACGTGGCCTTTCAGCGCCATTGCCGAGTTGATTGGTGGGAAATTTGAGTCCTTTGTGCATGACTCACTGTTACGTCAGCTCAAAGCCGGGAATAGTCAACTGTATTTGATCTTGGCGTTGGGCGATGTAACGTACTAGATGTAACGTTATGTATGGACAGAACGAAACAGTCTGAGGCGTTTAAGGGTGGGAGGGGGGCGTTTTTAACGAACTGTCAAAGCATGCCACAAACTTGGTTCAAAGAAAAATTTATGAAGCTCAGGTTAAAGATGAGGCAGCTAGTAAAGGAAAATTATCTTCATTTCAAAGTACTACAGTGCAATATTATGATTTTATGGTTTGTATGAATTTGACACCTGTTATGCCTTGCTTGACTGGATGTGATATGGGCAGTGTTATGAAAGAAATACATTATTATATGATAACGATTATATAAGTTACAATAGTATATTAGAAAACACTCAGGTCACTACCAACATTCTAATTTTGACATCCTAGTCAAAGTCAAACTATTATATGTAGTATAGCATATCATATACATATTAGGCCATACTGATTCATTTATATGAATTACATCTTATGAGCACTCCAATTTGATGTGAGCCATCGAAAAAATCGGGGTCAGTCTACTGAGAAAGACCAGAGTAACTGGTTGAAAGCTCTAGTTGAGAACCATTCTTCAATGTGTTGGATCGAAAGTTTTAACATTCTCTATTATTTTTAGACAACGCATACGACCCCGATGTGGCGGCACGGCAGCTTTTCATCGACATGGAGAACATCAGCGAGACGACGTGTCTCACGTTTACCGACAACGGCGCCGGGATGACACCTGACAAACTCCACAAAATGCTGAGGTATTTTTTGCATAGTATTAAAAAGTGCAGAAGGAGGGGGGAGGGGCTTACCAAGGAGCTTTAAAACAGGTTTCAAACCGTGGTCCTGTGGTTAGGATTTTGGACTTAGAATCTTAAGGTTTGGATTTAAGCCTATGAGTATGAATGTGCCCATTTCCAATGTTATGCCCTTGGGAAAGGCAGCATAGGTGAGAAATGCATTTACCAATGAGGTTAACCTCCTTGCATGTACACTAGCCAGGGTGCCATCCTGGTACAATTACTTGAATTAGGCCTGCTTCGTTCATTGCGACTTTGGGAGTGGATGTCATACCAACAAGACTAAGGCCTTGTAACAACATGCACCCTTTTTTCAGTTTTGGCTTCTGTGAGAAAGTGGAAATCAATGGCCATAAACCAGTGGGTCACTATGGCAACGGGTTCAAGTCAGGCTCCATGCGGCTAGGCAAGGACTCCATGGTGTTCACCAAGAACGGGAAGTTCATGAGCGTGGGGTTCCTGTCACAAACCTACCTGAAGTCCATCCAAGCGGAGACTGTCATCGTGCCCATAGTGCCGTTTGACACAGCTGATATCCTTTGCCTACATGCAGAGTACAAGATACACAGCCACGTATATATGTAGCATATATACGTGTAGCCTATGTAACCCAAGCTCCGGGGGGCTCCCTACATAGTCCGCCACCCAAGGGGGCCGGCTGGATGTTGGGCGGCCGGCAAAAGCGATTTAATCAGGCTAATATGCGTGGCTACATGAAAATACAACATATACAGTCACAGTGCTGGTAAGATGTTGGAGGAGGGATTTAGGGAAGGTTCCAGTGGTTGAAACAATTCTGTAACTAACAGTAGTCATAGAAGTGAGTCATATTCGCAATGTACTTCATACATGTACATACACTTATGTGATGAAGGTAATCATTCTATACCAGTATTTGCTTGCATTTATGTTATCTTAGAGTTTCAAGTTGAACATTGAAGTATTATAAGATATCTACCTCTGTCCATCCTCACGTCTACCTTGTCCCCCCAGTGACCAGGAGGGCAAGAGACAAGGTACATGTAGGTAGGCAGGTAGGCCTGAATGTACAAAACTTTCCTTAACAGATCCCACAGATTATGGTTAAGACCATTGACTCTGACCCCAGCCTGGAGGCTATCACTAAATACTCCCTCTTCAAGTCCAAACATCAGCTGATGGAACAGTTCAACAAGATCCAGGGTAGAAAGGGTACCAGAATTATCATCTACAACATCAGGAGGTAAATAGCACTGGTGTATGAGGACGTCGACACATCATTTGTGATATTCAATCTGTAATTTCAGTCGGACAGAAGGTAATCACAGACGATGTACAACTTTCCATTTGTATCTGTTTTTAAAACTACACCGAATGTCACCCATGCATACTGTGTTGTTTATTACGTTGCCTTTATTTCTCCAGAACGACTGACGGGAGGCCAGAGTTTGACTTCTCTGACGAGAGGGACATCAGGATTCCTGACGACACAATCGACGAGCAGGCTGGAAAAAAGTTCCGTCGGCAGGATCGACGACAGGAATACTCACCAGAGTGTGACTACTCCCTCAGGGTGAGCCAGGCGTCGTTTGTTTATTATGTTTACTGAAGGTATTATGTTTACTGAAGGAAAACATATTGTTTTTGCTACGTTTCCTCTTCTTCCTCTTCTTCTCCAAACCAATAAAGGTCAATGACCTTAAACCAGATGGCAAAGCAAATGCATAATGTTTACCTTCGCATATGGTCTGCTCTGTTATTTCTTAATCAAATACATTCATATATATATTGTCAGACAGGAGTATAAATCCCTCCTACTATAATAAAATTGCAACATTATGTAATTCAACACCAGTTACCATGGTGAGAGATGTCAACAAATCATATTGGCCAGGTCAGAGGTCAGTGTTTGGAACGGAAGAAGAGGAAATGTAGCAAAAACAAAATGCTTTCCTTCGGTAAACATAAATACAGGTTTGACTATTTCCACACATAGATCAATACCAGTATTACCCCCTGGCCCTCGCTTTAAAGTTTATCTCCAAAATGACTGATTTGTTTTGCTCTTCCAGGCTTACTGCAGTATTCTCTACCTCAACCCTAAGATGCAGATCATCCTGCGAGGACAGAAAGTCAAGACCCAAAAGATTGCCAAGAGCCTGAACAACACTGAGAGAGACGTGTATAAACCTCAGTGGCTGGTGAGTTGAACTGTAGTTTTGTGTTGTTTGTGTTTATACAAGTGGACAACATCATCATTATACCAACAAGTAGCCCAACAAATGCTGATGAAAACATTAGCAACCTGTATTTCGCTCTACTGCCCCTCTCCCCCTTTTGAACTTTCAAATAGTCTAGTACTGATGCAAATATTCATGATTTGTTTCCACAGCCCAAGTCAGTGAAGATCACCTTTGGGTTCAGCCCACAGAAGCATCACTACGGCATCATGATGTACCACAGGAACCGGCTCATTAAAGGGTACGAGAGGGTCGGTCCGCAACTCAAGGTTCGCACCTTCCCTCATCTCTGCCAAATGTCTCCAATGTCGTGCAAATCTTGAAATGTTCTCAGTGGTTATGTTTTAGAAGTTGAATGGAAATCATGACACCAAGAATATGTGTTTTGAGTGATTGTATGATCTTAATTTCTTGTCTCTGGATAGGATGCCAACACACGACACGTTTGAACTTTAAGTGATTTTTGTGACTGATATTGCAGTATGGCAGACAGGGTGTAGGAGTGATAGGTGTGATTCAATGTGACTTCCTGCAACCCACCCACAACAAACAAGACTTCGACTACACCAAGGAGTACAGGTAGAGTAACAGTTCCTTACTTCTTTTTTTTCAAATTCTAGACTTTTGAAGGGTCACCGGGTTTCTTAACAGAAAGGAACACTCATGAAAAGTATTTGAAAAAGGACGGCCTTACTCACAGCATAGCAGATGCAAATCACTGTGTAGGAGCCCTATAGCTCATACTATATATGCAAGCCAGAACATTGATATCCCTGTGTGTCCATCCCTCCGTAGGAGCACCATAGCAGCCCTGGGCTTAAAGCTGACAGACTATTGGCTGCAGAAGAAAGGTCAAGCATCCTTGTCAAGGTCATCATCCCCAGCTGCAGCTGGAGGATCAGAGGAGGATGAACCTGCGTGAGTACCGCTGTGATTGGCTGAATTTTAATTTATTCAATTACATGTACCTCATCAGTAAGTCTTTGAACTAAGTTGTGATGGCTTATGATGCTAAAAATTGCTGTATTTTGTTAGCTTAGACACTCTAAAACAATAGTTGCCTAGCTGGAGATAGAACAGGCATCAGCGAAATAAAAGGATTAGAGCTCTCCTCACATGTAGCAGACCATGGCCTCCCAACCTTCTTGATCTCCAGACCAAGGTTGGGAGGTAGTCATGAGCAGGGTCATCTGTTGTTGGAAATTGGTCAACTATGAGTTTTGAAAAATCACAGTCAGGAAAGTCATATTAGAGGAAACTGAAAATGCTAGAATAGAATGGAGACCAGGCTACTCTCAACCCAGCACTAACCTTGGTTAGGCAGTGTTTATGAGCAAAGTCATTGGAAGGTCCTAGAATGTGAAGGGCTTTAGTTGAAAGAAACTGCTTAACTTCAAAAACCTGTTATTTTTCCAGGCCCACCCCAGACCAGCTGTGGGTCCAGTGTGATCACCCGGACTGTCTGAAGTGGAGAAAGTTACCAGAAGAATGGAAGAATAAGAAACTACCAGACAAGTGGTACTGCAACATGAACCCTGACCCAAACTTCAGGTACAGACTTCATACACGGTGGCAATTGCAAAGTCTGCCAATGAAACATACACTTCAAGGAGCACTAGAGCTGGGAGGAGGGTGTTATTTTCCAATATGAAATAATATTAGAAAGTAAAGAATGCATCCTACTTCACAGTATACAATTAAATACCCACGACTAGTAGCCGCACACACAGAAATAGGCATCAGCTCTCTTGAAAAACCTGTAACTACCCTCTAAACAATCCAAGAATGCACTGCACCTTTGGCTCAATGCAATGTGATTGAAAATGTTAGGTTTACAAATACATATTCTATGCTGGGAGATTGAAAAGGTTAGGTTACACGAATACATGTTCTATACTGGGAGATTGAAAAAATGGTCTTATTAATATGTTATGTGATACCTTAATTCTGAGTCTCTTTTCTAAATTCTCTTTAGGTGAGAGAACTTTTTATGTTGGATCTAAAGTTTTAACTCTAAACATGTAACTACCAACACAGATGAACTTTCATGATAGTTTAATTCTGAGTCAGTAAGATTTACTTTAGTCTGTTCCTTCCAGGGCATGCTCTGTCCCTGAGGAACCTGAGGATGACCCTGATGAGGAGATAGCAGGTCCTTCTTACGACAAGTCTGTCAAGAGACAGCTGTGAGTTCATCCTTCCTTCTCTGGGTCAATTGTCGAAGTAGCATGAAAGTTTACATTGATGAAGGTTGGACATCCAGGTAAACAATAAAGATTGAATTGTCTTTATATATGTGGATAAACAGTTGTGTGTGTTTTATGTGTTTTATGCAAGCATTTTAGTGTTCTTGTGTGCACCCTGGACTTGCAATTTGTATATAATACCTGTGTCCTTTTTTGGCAACAAATCTGGACAGATTTAGACAAAAGTCATTCTGATTTGTGCCTTCCAGGGAGCGTGAGAAAAGAGAGGAAAAATACAGAAAGGAACAAAAGCAGCGGATGGAGGTAGGGATGTAAAGAAAACTTTTAACTTCACTAGAATCTTATGTTTGTAATTATAACAGTGCAGCAATGTTCAACACAACATTTGTCATATTACAGTAGCTACACACCTAGCTGCAGTACCAATCAGAACCAGCCCTGAAAAAGGTGCCAGACCATCACTGAAATATCAAATGAAAATACCCACTGTTTGTTGTATAAATGATCTTCTTAATTTACACATCGCTGTTACATATTTGCATAATTTGGCATCTCTGTGTTACAGATAGAAGAAAGGGAGAGACAGCTGAGGCAGAAGGACCTCCAGTTGCAGAGACTCGGTGCACAGATTCAGCAGAGCATCCAGACCCAGGCCGCGGACAAGAAGCCATCACACGCAGAACTGGTGCGAGCAGAGATAGAGATGAACAGGAGAAAACAGATGGAGACCCAGTACAACAAGATGGTGGTCGAACTCAAGAAACAAGAGGTGAGGACAAGATACAGTCAGCATTTCTGTCAGAGTTTGATCTTCAGAAATATGAAATCAAAAGATTTCAGACCTCTGGGAAGTGTTTTGGGTTTTTGTAAAGACATTGCAACTATGAAGGGGGTTGTATGGCTGTTTATTACAAACAGCCAACTACTTCCTGAATTTCTCCTTGTGCCACCCAAAACCAGTACGTGCTGGGTCACCTTCAGGCGTAACCTCCCTGTCAATCAAAAATCCACCCACTCTCCCTGCAACCATGTCTGCTGGACAAGCATACACGCAAACCCACGGACAAACCCACCCAAGAAAATACTTCCTTCTGTACCTGAAAGTAACTAAATGTATGTTGCTTTTGTGGAGTTTTTTTTAATTCTCTATTGAGTGGTAATTTGATTTTGCATGTTCTGCCACAGAACCAGCTCCAAAAGCAGCGAGATGATCTGTTACAAGCCCAGCAGGTGGCTCATCACTGGCAACAGAGAGCAGAAGCAGCTGTAAGAATCCAATCTTCTTAAACACCTTGTTTCCTAGAAACATATTACACTAATCTGAATTGTAAATGTTTGTGTTTGCATTTTTGCATAAAAGGCAAAGTGTGCTACACATGTACTCTTTTTTAATGAAATTGTTTTACTATCTTATATTTTGATACCCATACAGAGCCTGTGTTACAATTTATGACTTTCTTCTTCTTGTGCTTTCTTGTGTTTTGTTTTTGTTTTATGTGCTCATTTGGTTTTTGGGTGTGACTTTGTGACTGAACTGGTTTGGGTGGTGCAAACTCCTCAATAGATTGTTCATTCTTGTAGGCTGTCCTTTAAAAATGATAACCATCCAAGTTCAACAATGACAGTGAATAAGGTGATAATAAAGTTAAAGGTTAAGTATTTTGCCTTGCAGGTGACTGGTTATGGGAGTCTTGTAGGGTGTAGTTTGTAGGGTGTAGTTTGTTGTGTTTGCTGTTAGGGATGGTTGGGCCTCCTCCCCAAGAGCCTCTGGCCATACACCTCTAACTCAAGAGCACCATTCCCACTCCCAATAGGAGCTCAGGATTATTTATCACTATAAAATCAACCCAAATTCTCTCTCACTATGGAAATCAGTCATTACAGCCTCCAACAGTCCAACAGTATGGTAACAGACAGCTCTCAGTCTGACAATAATTGGTCCATGTTACCAAATATAAAATATGATGAATCAACAGGATAAGATGTTTCCAATTCTCCTGACTTAGAGGTGTTGGCCATCATTGATCAAGCTTCTTGGGGCCTGACCAGTGGATGGAAGGGCTACTAGAAGTGTCATGTAGTCAGGCTAGGTTTGGTAGGGGTCTGAAACTAGTGTATTTTCTGTTGAAAACTTTCCTAGGCAACGATGAAGCCACCGGAGCTCCAATCTCCGGGACGGCACGCTTCGCTGCCTCAGGCACAGCAGGAGAAAGCTGGTGACGGGCAGTTGCAAAAACGGCTGATCGCTCAGCAGGCGAAGCCCACAGAAGGACAGGTGCAGAAATGGGAGCTAGTGGGACAGCAGCTTACCAGTAGCACTGTAAGGCCAGTGAGTGCAGCTTTAGGGCCTGGTACCATCACCCAAACTGCTAGGACACCAATAGAGGTGGTAACAATAACTGACTCAGTAGCTAGGAGTGAATCAGGAATGGCAGGAAACCAGAACAAATCACAACCTACTTTAAACTCGCTAATTCGATCTGCATTAAATGTAGCATCAGCAGCAGTAGGTAGTGGCTCATCTGCATGTACTGTTGAAGCAAAGAACAAGTCTACACCAGTCATTCCTAATGCAGTTCCTAAGTCTACCAGCCAAACTCTTCAAACTAAAGATTCCACAATGATGAGGGTCACAAAGGTGCAAAACGAAGGAAAGGTGCTAAAAATCAGTGCCATCTCCAAAGATGGGGAGGTGATGAACATCACATGCCCTCAGCGGCAGATGCCAGCGTTGGACCAAAGCAAACCCATGTACCTTCTTGTTCCCAAAGCCAGCAATGCTGCCCTGAAAAGTGGCACGTTGGGGTCAGTTCAGAGTAACATCAGAATTGTTGGGCAACACGTGGCCTCCACGCAGCCAACCGAAGTAAGTGGCCCGAAACAGGCACAAACCTCAGGGACAGCTCAGTTTGACAACAGGCTCACTGCCAGGCAGTCTGAGCAGGAAACACTGTCAGGGACATCCAAGCAAGTTCAGTCACAGGTGAATTTGCCAGAATCCTCCAAGGTGGCCAATCACAATCCATCCTGTGTCCTTGAACAGGTTTCCGCATCCCAGAGAACACCCAGACAGCCCCAGGCTGGTCCTTCAGGGTAAGATATTCCTCTTTTTTTAATGAATTTGCTTAGTGCAAGGCCAAGAGACCACTTCTAGACACTGTTAGTGGAACAGCATCTCTTCTCCCTAAGTCAGAAACATCAAGCTTGATTTGCAGAGAGTGAGGACTAACTTCATGATGATGGTCTTTCTTTGATGTTCCTTGAAAATGTAATGGTAGACAGTAATTCAAAGAAACCAGAGTTTCACATTTTTGTTTGTTCTTTTATTTGTCTCTTTAACTGAATGATTTTTTTCTTCCTCTCAGGGTCGCTTCCCAGAAAAGACCAGCATCAAATTCCCTCCAGAACCCTTCATCCAGCAAAGTTCCCCGTATGGACGACAGTGATGACGATTGCATCATCATCGACGACAGCAATACAAATTCCACATCATCTGTGACAGTGAAGACAGAGATCTGTCACATCGGTGTTCAAACAGACCCCGCCGATGTAGTCAGAGTTAGCGCATCAACCGTCCGGGAAATCGCTACGCTGTCGACCGTAGAGCAGCGTCAACTACTCATGGAGCAGTCGAAGAAGCTGAAGATGTTGAGAAGAAACGTCAGCAAACTTATCGGTGTGCTGGTGCCAGAGCTGAGCCTGGAGGATAATGACATTGACATGGAGAGCGATTCAGTGGACGAACTGCTCAGACAAGTGCTGGAAGCCAACAAGAACCAGTGACAGGGGGGAAAAGACTAAGAGGACTAAGTGTTACTTGGAGGTAGTCTCCAAGCCGATGTAGCCATTCAGCTCATTCTTGATGTTTTATACTTATTGTCAAAACCTTTAGTGCTCATTTCTAGTGTATTTTTCACCACCCTCTGTAGGTTGCAAACTAGCCAGCTAACGTCTCTGGCATATTGTTCAGACTATTTGGTGAGTTTCTACTATTTTTATAGCAACCCGGGAGTCTTGCAGAGGCTCTTTTTTCATGTTTTGCACAAACTGTTAAAATACAATACCATACTAGAAACGAGTACTAAATGTTGCAGAAACAGGCATAGAATGAGTTGAACCCTCACTGCTTGGAGATTATAAATAGGGCGTACTTCTAGCACACTCTAAGATAAATAACTACACATACTACTTTATGGAAATTCATAATACCAAACATACAATTTTGTGATGTGTACAGTTTATGAACGATATGACTTCCAAAATTCCACATAATTTATTTTTGAGAATACATGAATACGAGTGAGGGCAAGGAGCCGTTACAAATCAGAGGGCAGCAAGGCTAACCCTTCAAAAGAGATGTGTAAATTTCTCACAACAGGTTATTGTACCTGAACCAAAAGGTGACCATATAATTATAGTACCATAACTTTACCAACATGTCAAACCAAATCCATTCTTTGTTCATGGGAAGCACAAATATTCGTCTATGCTAGGCAGCTCAAAGTCATACCTCCACACCGGACGCATGGCCAGAAAAGGTTTTATGTGCTTTTTGTACACACAATGCAGATGAAAGTGTAATTTGGACTATTCTACATTCCCTTGGTATCCTTGATACATATTTTCTATTGTCTCATAATATGTTATGTCTATCAAAGTACAAGATATGGATCTTGTGTTACAGTTAATGTTGTATACTAATATTTAGTATTTTATACTGTTTGCATCAGATATTGACCTTCCACAAGTTTCATACAGTTCAGTTTAGCTCTGTTGTTTTGGCAGGTGCTTCATACTGAAATGATGTTATGTCAGGAAGATGTACCAGTGAACATATGCCTTTCTATTTTGATAAAATAAATCATCTTCGTAAATATCAAGGTGTTCATACTCTATTAGTATTTGTATCAGTACAAATAGATCAAACACAGCTTGTTTGATATTTCTTCATTTTTATACACTTGTATTGTATTCATGGCAACATACTTCTACACCATTGTTTGCATAGTACTCTGACCTATATTTCTCAAACAAACCAGCATTACATTTACAATGATGATTTAAATTTCTCTCTTTTAACAAAACTCATAATCAATACAAATTAGATACCAAAAGGCTGCCTTGGCATGAGAGCCCCTTTCACATGTTCAGACCCTCCTAGGATTAAAGTTTACTCCTGAACATTCTCCACCAAGGTGTAGCCCAGAATCTGTCCTATTTTACCATTTTTAGCTCTAGTTTGCTACCCTGATTTTATCCCTCTTTGATAAGTTTTAGCAGCCTAACAGGGATAGTAGAGGTCTCCTGATTGGCTCAGCCGAACCAGTGGTCTCCCTGGCAGTCTCTGTTCCAGGCGGTCTCACACAGCCAGCACCACTCGTACCGGCACTGTGCCCGGGGGCACGTCATGTGCATACATCCACCTGAAACAGAATTGACAAGGTCAGCCAAAGTTTTCCCTTCTGTACATGCACCACATTGCTGTTGTCAGTAGCCAATAGTGAGCAGTGTCTGTAAAGCCATAGGGAAGGAAGAATTCAAAACCGGCTGAAGTATTGTGATTGGATGGCAAATGTGGCACCTCCAATGTTGGTCATGAAAACAACATTTATACCTCTTGGCAACACTCCCTAACCATGGACATTGTTGTACTGCCAGGACTTTGGAACTGGTTAAACTCACCATTTTTTTCCACAGGTACCTTGCAGTTAGGACAGGGTTTGGTGGTTCTACTGACAGTCTCCTCTGACTCTCGCTCCCAGCGAGACCTCAAGGCACTCTCAGGGTCTACTGCATACCTCTGGAACCAACAACTCATGAGATCAGTCTACAAGCAATCACTTAGTACGGTTTCTCAAATGATACAAGGCACACATGATCAGAAGTACATGTACATGCAAAAGAGCACGTCGGCAGAACGTACTGCACCTGCGTGAAACCCGTAATGTATTGTGCATAGCACTTTGACAGAATGTCTTGCATAAGGTTGTATTCGCGCATATAAGGTTAACACTCCGTCTGTAGTTTCCAAATGTTATGTTGGAAAAGATATCTTCTGCAACAGGCAAAATTTTGATGCAACGTTGACCAAAAATCCACCGAAAACCGTGAAAATACAGGGTTCTGCGCAGACGCAGTACATTCTGCCGACGTGCTATGCAAAAGGAACTCACATTCTCTGCTCCAAAAGGCTGTTCCATCTGTGGCCTGCACTCCCCCTGGTGGAAGGGTTCAAGGCAGTCTTTGCAGAAAACAAACTAGCAGGAAAACAAAACAAACATTTACAATATAGTAGCATCATTCATAATACATTTATATCTGGTTCTGGATTTGTAATACATGTAACAAGCTTAACAAGAATAATCTTTTTTGGTAATACATGTAACTTGAAACAACAAAATGTGAAGAAATTATTTGCTCTTCTTTGTGTATGAAATTCATTGAGTCATCTGTCTGTCATTTAGAAGATGCAGCCTCTAGTGGAAAGGGGATGTAACCTAGTGTGATGGAAACATGGTGTAACTACTTACCCCACACCCCTGTGCTCCCTGTCTCACACACTCCACCCTCCTGGTGTCCCCCTCAGGCAGCAGCCCCGCCCCACAGCCCCGCCCTGGGCACAGGACCCCGCCCATCTGCAGAACACACTCCTCTGTTCCAAACCTCTGGTAACGGTCATACTGTAGAGGTACAGGAAACAAACAGGCATGGCTGTAACAGACGTATCTTCCAATATCTTAAGAGAGCAGTGACATTGAAATAGTGAGGTTCAACTGAAAGTCCTTATTCTGGAAAGTTACATATATAGTATGTTCACTAGTATTTTACATACAGTCAAATTAGTGAATGAATTAGTACGAGTAACTGGTCATACTGCAGCAATAGACCATACAGGAAACAAATATTCAGCGTGCTATAGCCGGCTGCCACTGTGCTACGTGCCTGCGAAGCTGGAGTGTTATGCCAAGGGGCAGTCACTGGGTATACCGACTATACAGATACAGAAACTGGTGTGTTATGTCGAGAGGCAGTTATACCAGCTATACAGATACATCTGGTGTGTTACACCAAGGGGCAGTTTTACTGGCTATATAGATCCAGAAACAGACAAGGCTGACTATCAGACTGTTTCATCCAACAAGAGAACAATGGCATTGAAATAGTGGCCAAAAGTTCAAGTTGAATCTTTTGCTCTTCCAGTTATATACATACATGTGGTATGTATAATAGTAGACTAGTATGATGTTTTTCTTACAGACTGACTAAAATGTTGATGGTTCTCACCTGTTCATCTCCCAGGACTCTAAAATGATGAACTTCTTTGATCAGGGAATCCTCACACTCAGCTGTCAGAAAAGAAAGATTTGTGTTGGTTACAACCATCAAACCTCAGACCTTGTTACAACAGAGAGTCACTGTTAAAAACAATGGCAAGATTTTCACTTGTTTTTCTTAACTCCAAGCCTTCAGACATTTCAATGTTATCACTGAAATGTAAAAAACAGCTTTACAAGCTTAAAAAAGGACTAGACTGTTAAATTGTTATTACCTGGACAGGGCAGGGTGTACCCCAAAGTAGCATCTTGGACAAACTGTCTGTCATTCAGCCTGGTGGTACAGTAGGTGTTGAAACAGTCCAAGCATGAGGTGTGGGCGTCTTCACACTCAAACACTATCAGTGGAGTGCTGTGGAATCGGAAATAATGGTAGACACACTGTCTTGAAACATTTCCCCTGCTGAAGTAGCTTTTGGGCATCAAATTTGTATTGTTTACCACGGGGTTAGGTAGCAAGGAGAAAGTTTAAGTTTGCTTGACTTATGTAAGGTTTGCTGTAACATCAAACAAGCTTTGCTATTTTTTAGGAGTGAGAAAGGAAAAAAAGGAATGATCTCAAAGCTACTATTTAAGATTGATATTAAGGTTAAAGGTCTCTGTGACAAAGACTCTAAAATGGGAGATGGAACCAGTGCTGGAAAAAAGTACCTGACTTCCACACACGCCATACATGGTACGTCCTGGGTGTTACTCTTGATCATGTACAGGGCCACTGCAGTATCCTCCTCCAGTGTAGGGTGGGCAGCACACTTAAAGTAGAACTCCTGTTGACATAGTCAATCAAATTTGCTTTTATGCAACTCATTACATGGGCAACTATTTGGTTGTATAAGATGCAACATTATATGTAGACCCTATCTATGAAAAAAAGTGCTCTTAATTGTTAAACTGCTTTTGCATGCTTAAGCCAACCTACAGCGACAGTTCCTTGGCAACCCTGTGATTGACATCTCCCCTGGATCCGCCCTGGTAACAGCACATCATCCCAACTGCCAGGGCCCTGTGGCAAAAAAGAAAGCACATTTTACTACACTCTCAATTGCAATTCTATATGTAAACTCTGACAATACATGTAGTTCAAAACATTTAGAAATGCCAAGGAATAAGTGAAAGATAAGTAAATTACTTCAGTCTAAATTTATACTAGTATTTGCAAGAAATCTGCAACACTTTACAGAAGTTGATGACCGCTGACACATGACCGCTTCTACATAAGGACCACCTGGCCACCAATGTGACAACTTTGTGATGGTCCCTTAGATATTTTTCCAATTGACACAAGCATTAAAAATCCTGACTATAGTAACCACCTGTCAGTCCTGAGTGGTCATCTTGGGCAGTTTTGACTGTTACCTTACATCTACAACTTTCACTTTCATCAGTGTGCCCCACCTACCCTGTTGAGAGTGAGAGTTCCCTGTCTGCAGGTAGCACACCTGACCCTGAGTTTCCCAGGCTGGACGTCCTTACACTGCTGCTTACAGTACACAAAGAAGTGAGGAAGTCTGCGGGCTGAAACAATCAAGGTTTTGACGGATTAGCATCTTCCCTCAACTTCCAGGAACTTTATGAATTACATTAGAATGGATGATTACTCATACCATTGTACAACATAACTAAACTGTTACACTATGGTTTATATTTCATGTACCATGGCATGATTAACAGTACACATTCCTGGCAACCATACCAAGTCACAATACCGTCAATCAACTGCAACCCAATCTCTGCCAACTCTTCCATTTACTTATGACTTTGCTTACTTAACTATTACACCATCCTTCTAACTCTGGAACCTAAACATACAAGCGCTGCCCAAAACAACACTTCCATTCCAAAGTTTACAGTACCTGCCCCCTGTGTGGTGCTAGATGCCGAGGCACCATCTTCTGGTTCGTTCAGGTCCACCCTGGTGAGAGACTGAGGCTCTTCAGGGGTACTGGAGGAAACCTGAGCTTCTACAGAGAGCTGTGGACGGCCTCTGACCACATGGACAATACTGTGACTGGCCAGGTCACACTCCTGATGGGAAGAAATGATATAGGAAATCAGAAGCTGAGACAAGTCACAGCAAAAGCACTTTTACGAAGGTTTTGTAGGTTGTTGAATATGAAGGCTGTGTGCAATTTGGATATATTGGGGTACTGGGTTAGATGTCTGTTCTACAAATTTTGATACTTTATCAGGCATTTTGAATAAATGTCTCTCATCATTCAATTTTAACCTTAACGTCAAGGTAATGGGTAAGGTATAAATACAACACATGTAACGTTAACTGACTGAGAGTAGCTAGTAGCAATAATGACATGTTAGCGGTCTAGAATATTTTTGAATAAGTGCTGAAATGCCACCTGTCTTGCACACTTTGTAATATAGGAAATAAAGTATTTTCAAAACTTTGTCCCATACCCCAATGATGAAGGAATCCCTGAGCTCCCTCCCCGCGAAGATGATCCTGATCTCGGCGGGCGGGACCTGTTGTCGTGCCGCCAGCACCTCCTTCAGCCGCCCGACGCTCCAGGACGAGTCCACGTCCACCGGGAAGCTGTGGTGAGAGTTGAACCGCACGAAAACCTGCATGTCTGTCGACATTTTGGGCGGTCTGACAAACCCGGAAGTAAGTCTTCGAGAATTGCTGCGTCGAGAAAAAAATCAACGAGCGCTGCCGCCCAGTGTCTTGAATGGCCGTTTATAGAATGTTGCCTGACGCACAATGATTCACTTTACGAGGAAAATTATGTATCTTCTGAGCGGTTAGTTGCTAAGACGAGAATTTGACGAAAATCCATAAGCAGCAGCAGCAGACGAAAAACTTGTATCAGGGCGCCATTTTGATCATCATCATACGTCATCGCTGTGACCTTATTTTGACCTACTTGGTTGTGCTGTACCTTCTCCACTATTGTGACTTCCTACTAAGTTTTCATGTATTGACTGAGTAGTGACTTATCTTATACTAGTACAACTTTCCCCTTCTTAAGTGTCCATATTCTAGGACTCCATGTTAAGCGTCAATATTCTAGGACTCCTCAAACATAAAAGTTTCAACGTTCAACATCCCCATCACTATTAAATCTAGCAATAACAAGGAAACAACATATCTTAGAATGCTGCTTTATTGTAATCATGACCACAGCACTACAAAATAAATCCATCCTAGTTTTTTATTATCACCTTTAACACCTGTGGCTGTGTTTGTCTCCTTTGAATTTCCCGTACATTATTATTTCTCACACATTAAAATTGTACCTGAAGCCTCCTTGCTGAGGCTGACATTATATTATTTAGTAGAGATACTCACAAACTCTTTTCAAAAGGCACTACAAAAAAATTTTAGACACACACAATTATGTCTTAGTATGTGACATATGCATACACTATAAAAAGTATCATACATGTTGTGTACATATTTTGCATCCCATGGATTTGTTTCAGACCTATGCTGCAGCCTCATGTTTTCCTGTTTTTATTGAATGCAACAAATGTATCTTTTACTGTCAAGAGCACAGGAAACATTTGAAACAAGGTCAAACTACCATAAGGATTGTTTCTGTGTTGTATTGATCTTGTACAGTTTGATAGCCTGGGCTACACCATCTCACTGTCGGACTGATTTTGCTTCCTCCTGGCCTGTGGAAGGGCTACTAGAAGTGTGATGTAGTCAGGCTATTTTATAGTTTGGCTCCTTTGTGGAATAATCTCCAACTTGGCTTCACGTTTTACTTTACAACCTCTCGATAAGGATGGAGGAGGCCCCACCACCACCGTTACAGATAGCAGCGACACCCTTCTGGCCAGGCTGTAGGTTATGGACCATGTGACTGGTGATCCTTGCGCCCGACATGCCGATAGGATGTCCAATAGACACTGCCCCACCATTGATATTAACCTTGGCTGGGTCAATGCCTAGCAGTTTGATGTTGGCCAGGACAACAGCACTGAAGGCTTCGTTGATTTCCCACATAGTGACATCGTCCTTGGAGATGCCTGTCTGCGCCAACAGTTTCTCCACAGCGGGAGCCGGGGCTATGGGGAAGTCTATCGGGGCAACTGCTGCGTCCGCAAAGCCGACAATGCGAGCCAATGGCATGACACCAAGCCTGCTGGCAGCTTCTGATGTCATGACCACGAGAGCCGCAGCACCGTCATTGAGCGTGCTCGCGTTCGCAGCTGTTACCGTTCCGTCTTTGACGAACACTGGCCTCAGTGACGGCACCTTATCGAACTTGACTTTCTTGTACTCCTCGTCTTCCGCCACGGTCACCCCCGGACCCCTCTTCTGAGGAACCTCGACGGGAGTGATCTCCTTTACCAAGATTCCGTTCGCTGCCGCAGCCTGGCTCCGTTTGTACGAGCTGATGGCAAACTCGTCCTGATCCTCGCGACTGATGTCCAGGTTCTTGGCCGTGTTCTCCGCACAGTTGCCCATGTGGAACTTGTTGTAGACGTCTGTCAGCCCGTCGTGGACGATGAGGTCTTCAAGTTTCAGCCCTCCATATGCAGGTGCCTCCCTTGCCATAATGAAGGGGACATTAGACATACTCTCCATCCCGCCAGCCACCATCACGTCCTGATGACCACACATCAGGCTCTGTGCTGCCATCATGATAGACTTCATCCCCGAGGCACAGACTTTGTTGATGGTGGTACATGGAGTTGCCAGAGGTAACCCAGCTCCCAGGGCTGCCTGTCTAGCTGGCGCCTGCTTTTCTCCAGCCTGGAGCACATTTCCCATGTAAACCTCCTTCACCTCTTCCGCAGGGATACCGGCCTTCTCGATGGCGGACTTGATGGCGATAGCGCCGAGTTGAGGGGCGGGGAGGGAGGACAAGCTGCTGCGGAACGAACCCACGGGTGTTCTGGTGGCACTGACGATCACAACATCGTGCAGACCGGAGGCCTGGGAGAACCGTCTTGCTGTGCTCGTGACTTTGCCTTTCAGCTGGACAGCTCTGAAAAGTGTTGCCGCCATGTTTTTCTGTGTTCGGTGAAGATGTCTGTGCTTGTTTGGTGCGTGTCGTTGAAGACAGGTGAGCCTACGAAGGTCTTTACGACGACAACACTTTCTCTGTCACGTTGGCGCGGCCGAAGGTTGGCACGATGAACTGAACTTTCGTGACCTTTAGTCGCACTGATTCATGGGAAGAGCGTTTAAACAGAAAATTTCCAGCTTTTACAGGTTCTATTCAGTGCGAAATTATTGAAAAGTATATCTATTGCGTAATATTATTTCTTCATGAATGATTTTGACATAAACTCAGTAGATCATCAACTTTGCTATCGGAAATTTCCGAGCAAAGCCGAACATGACGTCACGGCAAACACCCTGTTTACCGAAGACTCCCGAGGGACTGTTTACATCCGGGCCTTTTGCAACCTTGTTGCCATGCGACAACATAAACCTTGTCAGATTGATTACATCTGCCAGTCGATCCACAAGCGTTCAGACGAGTAGAAGTACCGCCGACTTTCCTCCGGATTTTCCCCCAATAATCGAAGAGAGAAGATTTTCTCTGATTCCTCCGCCAACGGGAAATGTCTTCTGAGGTTCTGATCAAGGGAAGCAGGATGGAAACCGAAGGATTCACCACCAAATCTCGGTTGAGGAACGCGAAGGTAAGTCCCATCGCCGAGAGGTCACCGATTTCCGCGACTTTGGATTGTTTGTTTCACCATCACGGAGTTGCTATGAGGAACATAGCGCACTCGTGGCGTATCTATTATGCACGACATACTGTAGTTATTACCAGAATCGTGTAGGGTTGTTGATATACTTGTAAAATATGAATAATTGATGTAAAGAAGAAGATTGCGGGCAAAGATTTGAGGCACGGTCAGAAGACATGTTGGCCCACCTCCCCCTTCACATCAAGACAAACATACACGAAAACTCTTAATCCTCTAGTTTTCTTAAGAACAGAGAAGGCTAGTAGTTTGTATTTTCGTTAACGTGTGTGTCTATAATATCAAAATTACGCCAAATATGATGGTCAGTGACCTAGAAAGGTCGTTGGTAGGAATGAATGAGCCGACCTGACTACCGTTTGTTGTGGGTATGTTGGGCTTGGGCTTCTTGTCTGACATCCTAGACGGTTTATATTTCCAAAATTTTCCAACCAGAAAGATCCAAGACATCATACGATCACGATTATCAGAGTCGAGCCAAAAAACCTCTGTCCAAATTCCATACGATTCTACTCCCATAATAGGATCCAGATGATGATTTAAGCACAGACTGCAATTTTCATTTGAAACCATATGTGTACCCTGGATTTTAGGTAATCCGGTACAAGTGGTACAAGTTATAATTTTGCACAAGTGGAACCAGTTGTGTGACCTTAGGGTTTGTACATAGTTTGGAAAACCTTCCTCAACCGTCAAGCTTAACCCTAAAAGCCCATGCACTTACCTTACACTAGAAACAGGCAATTATCAACAACATTTCGCGAGATAATTGGCCATTACGGTAACTCCCAGCCTTGTGCCGTGGGCTCTGGGAAAATCAGTGTGGGATTTGAAAGCCTAATGGTATTTTGGGTTTATTACTGTGAATTCAGCTATTTTCACAGTAGAAGGGAAAAGATATTTTCACCAAGTCTTAAGGTGGCAGTTTTGTAGTACAATAACACTAATAGTATATTAGAAATGTATATTTGCTGTGTCATAAATTCACAGTGGATACTTTACCACAAAACTCGTGAAAAATAAAACTACTTTGTATGTTTCAAGGTTTACAGTATGTTACTATGTTGGCAATTTTGGCTGAAGTTTTGAGGGTTGGGAAGTTAAACATGGATATTTTACCATGTACTGTAGCTTGCTGATGCTTCCAATGCATCAAACAGAATGCATATGTCCAAGGTTAGCCTTGCTAGAAGGGGATGCAATAAAAATATAGACATATGTACAAACTGGTACAAGTGAGTTAACATACTGAACATTGATACAACATTGATACTGAAGCAAGTTGTGCAGGTGTTTCTGTTTTCGTAAAGTCTTTGGAACGTTGTGTCAGAGGTCGTTAGGCAAAGGTATCGCATGTCGCTAGGGAGGAAAGTGATATATGAGCATGGCAGTTCCACTTGGCAGTCATAAGTGCAGGGACAAGAGGGGCAGAAGTGTTTATATGTTGTGCTACACTCTAAATTTTTGCTCTGTCAAATTTCTACGACACTCTTTCATGTTGCTATGGAACTTTATCTTTTAACCATGTGATGTTATACAGACGACGAAACTACTCAGTAGGATTTTTTACCTAAGGGATTAGTAAAATCTGGTCTATGTGGACAGGTGGCCACTATAAGAAGGATTTTCTTAATGCTTGTATCAATAGAAAAATGATCTAAAGGAACTGCTGAGAGAGTGGTCACATTGGCCAGATGATCCTTATGTAGAGGTGATCACCTATGAAGGTTTGACTGTATCTTACATTGATATTGACAGCTAGCCTCCTAAATCTGTGTTCATGGTCTCTGCCATTTTGTAATGTAAGAAACTAGTCAATTGGATTATTAGGTAATTAGATTGCATATAGGTGTTTGACTGCATAGATGTGATATCTTGTTTTCGAAACAGATCATCTTGTTTCATTCCTCAGGCTTTTCCAATATTGTTACGGTGTCATATGATAATCTAATAACCTAGATGTATTGTATAATCCAATACACTTGTTTCTGACATAACAAAACACACCTTGCTGAATATTCGGCTGTCTATCTGTCTGTAGCATTTCTTAGGTGGAAATTTTATCAGAAGATGCTGACATTTGGTGAATCCCTGGCCTGTTCCCTGGCCTGTCTGTTTCAGACAGGTGATATAATACACATATAATTGGTATCCACAAGTTGGCCTCATTCTGACATTACTGCATGAAATATGTGCAAAGAAATTCACAATCATTATGATATCAGTGTGCATGAAGTCATGAACAGTTCATATATTCTTTTCTATTAGAGAGATTTCATGCCTACCCTCTATGGAGGTTATGGTATGATTATTACAGTTAGATGTTTACAGTAATTTGTTTACGGCTCAGTAATTTATACAAAATGTATCAACGAATTGGAAAGAACAATAATTAGAATCAAACCAAACCAAACCAATGTAATCATGATTAGGTACAGTAGCACTGTACGTAATGGAATTGCTTTAGTCCAACTAAATCAATGTTTACCTTTACAGAAATTACTGTATTATGTGGTAAATAATAGGTAACATATACATATTTCAAGTTGGAATCAACAACCTGCCGATTCCCCATACATAACAGTAAAAGGCAATTTATAATTACAGTCAATAAGTGTCTACTCTAACATTATAGAATCTGTAACAAAATTCAACACCTCTGACACAAGCGTCTTTTAAATTTATTTTTTGTCAAATAAATTGAAACAGCCAAGATTTGGAATGTGTTAACCAATCAGGCTCAACCAATAGATACTAGACTGTGTATTGTTATCCCACTGGATATGTTGTACAGGACCACTTTCTGTTCTATCAATTATTCATAATACGGAAACATTGTACTCATGGCTAATGGTGACAGGTATGTCTGGCTCATGTGATCCAAGAATGTCTGTGCAGTACTGCCACCTAGCAAGTTTAGTACAAACTGCAGACTCCATGTTGCCGATCAAGTCATGACTGTCACTGATGGTGTCATGTCTTTGTCCAGGTACTGGCTCCACCAAATGCAGGAGCATTCAAGGAAAGACCAGCGAAACCTACTGCCTTCAGGAAGTTTTACGAGAGGGGAGACTTTCCAATCGCTCTCGAGCACGACACAAAAGGCAACAAGATTGCATGGAAGGTTAGTCGTTTACATGACTCTTTAGTATGCTCGGTTCCTGTTCTGATTCTTGGTGATTTCTTAGTACTGGAGAATTTGTATAGACTAACACAGGGTCACAGTTAATGTAATAACTGTTTATTCTTACAAATTGTATTTCATCAGGTTGAAATAGAGAAGCTTGACTACCACCACTACCTGCCCCTTTTCTTCGATGGCCTGTGCGAAACGACACACCCCTACGAGTTCTTCGCGAGGCAAGGCGTCCACGACATGCTGGAACATGGCGGCTCCAAAATCCTCCCAGTCATCCCGCAGCTAATCATCCCTATCAAAAGTAAGTCTGCTGTGAAAGTGGGGGGAGCATAGACATAGCAAAAAAGGAAGGGGATTGGTTGAATTAGTTATGTGCTTGTTACCTATGTTTCTATTATGTTCATGAATTGAAGACTTTTCTTGTTATGGCTTGTTCATTGGTTGAATTGATATTCAATTTTTTTATTCATCATACTTTTAATAATTTCATATCATTAGTTGATGAGTTTATTGGTTGATAAGTTTGTTGAAGGAAACTTGCATAATGTAATGTCTAGGGAGGACAAGGGACCAAGGATGGGATCAAGCAGTTAGGCAAACGTTATCCATTCTATGTCTCAGTCAATGTTGTTTTACAAAATAGCATTCAGTACACGATACATTGAATACTTTGTTCCATTACACATATAATTCCACACCAAGTCTACGCCATGTAAAACATATATACATGTGTATCTCCATTCTGCAAAGGATGTCTTTTTGTATCTTCAGACAGTCTTGCTTCTTTTGGGTGATCAGTCAGTTAGGCAAAACAGTGGACAGTTCTGTCCATGTACTACTAGTAACTACATAGTGTATCTTCTATAGGGAATAGAGATTGCACTGTCACAAGTTCATTAGGGCTCAAATAACAGTGTACTTATCTTTACCAACAGATCCATCACAAAGGATTACGTTTGATCCAGCTAAGCCTTATTCTGAATGATCTCAATATAGTTCTGACACAGCAATAATTCTATAATCCAGGCTAATCCCTCATGTCAGAAGTTGTGTTTGATCCAGTCCCAGGAACAGCTTTGATCCTGGATAGTAGTTCACACTAGGATAGTGTGGCACCAGGAACAGACTGTCACCACGCCACACGCAACTTGATGCACCCAATGGGAGAGCCAGACCCACCCACTGGCTGTGGCGTATAATCACGTTCAGAGGGACATGCTCGCACAATAGTTGTGCATCGCTGATCGTGCCCGCTACCTGTCATATCTGCAGCGTTTTCAGACCGTATCCTGCACCCAGTTTACAGATAAAACAGCTGTGCTCGCATCTGGGAAGTGGTCTTGCTCCTCTTTCCTCTGTTGTAGTTTACAGTTTCACCAGATCGTAAAACATCTGTTATAGACAGGGGAGGGGGGCGGGGCCTGGCATGAGTAATCGGATCCTCCCTCCCCAGGCAAGATTCCAATAGCCTGAACTCCTCCTGCTAATCCATACCACTGGTCAGGCCTGCTGCCTTCATTATACACACATTCCACACTTAATTATGCATTCTTGTTACAGTACCTTTTTTCACAAGTTGTTTCTAATTGATAGAATCCTCTATTGGACACACTGCTGTACCCTGTCCCTTCTTGACAGTCTGGCATAATTTACGACCACCGCTTTTCACACCAAGTTATTAATAAAATGTCTTTAACCGGCTCATTGAACAATATTAATGTACACAGTTGGATAAGCAGGAGGGACCAGAGCAAGTGTGTGCCATATGTCACTTCTGTCATGGGGAGAGAAAAGAGAGATGGCCTATCTTTGATAACTTACTATTTCAGCAGTACCTACATTTGAGAATTGTTTGAATTCCATTGCCTTTTCTTTTCTTTTACAAATGAATAAAGAAAGAAAGGGATTATGTTTCGGAAATAGTAAAAAAAAAAAGCTTCGGTTACAGAGTACCACAGTCTTGGGGAAAATACCGGGACTAATGAATGCTACATTTTTTTTAAAAATTGGAAATGTCATTTATGTCATTCAGATTTTGTATAAACCATAATTTTTTTGCCATTGCGAAAAGGAAAGTTTCAAGTGCAGGGTCATTAAAGATATAAATATGGTTACTTGTACTAGACACATAGTCTTTCACTATTGGATACCACGCAGCGGAGACTAGAAGCATGGCCAGGATGATATATGTGGTCACAGCAGTGTAAAAAGTATTTATCGATTGGTAGGAAATGGTCCCCACTCCACTAGACAGTGGGCCGGGGGTGACATTTATTAATGGTATTGGTTGGGGCGATAAATTGAGCACTGTTGAAATTGGGGGTATAGGGGCTCATGTATACATGCATCCATTAACTATGCCTTTTATTGAAATGGCAGCGACTTGTACAGAGGAAATTGAAAAGACAGGACTCTTTCTGCCCCTGTGGGAAACCTTGGTGCTGGCATACCGATCCGATGACTTATTGGGTCGCAGTCTTGAAAAGTTGGTGAAATTGTTCTAACACAAGGTCCAGGGTTGTTACACAAACATCGCTGCTTTTGAAACATGTTTTTTCCTGCCAGCTGCTGGGAAATGGTAGGAACAGAAACGTCTTCTGTGTTTGCGAAGTTGTCCAACATTTGGTATACCGTGTATTCACTGAACAAGCATAACCAACTGTCAAAATACAGGAGGGTTTGGTCTCTTTTTCCATATGATTTGATAAATGGTGTTTTTGATATCGAAAAAGGAGATTTGCAAAAGTACAAAGAGAAGTAAGAACACTTTCATCTTGTTTTCGTCCCCTGAAAAGCAAGAGGTTATAGTTGTAAAAACAAAAGCCACAGAAGAACATTTTGTTACCTCTGTTTCTTTTCCAGTCAAAGCTTTGCGGAAAATCGTTTGGACAGAAATGAACAGGAACTATGGGAAAATTTGTTCCGCTGCGCTGTTGAACAGACCAGAGAGAAAACACACCATGGTTCCCGAAGGTTTTTGACCTGGCCATCAAATCCATGTTCTTGAATTTGTTCCAGCACTGCAAAAACTTGAAAAGTCAGGAAAACATCAAAACATCCCCCTTTTTTATATTCTGGGCAGCTGTGTTCATTCCGTACATGTTTTGTTATTGTGAACAATCCCTACTTCTTTTCAAAGTACCAGACAGAAAATTTCAATACCAGCTGAGGGAAACTTTTGTAGATCTTGTAGCTGTTCTTCTGAACAAATAAACCAAGAGTAAGTCGCAACACTCTTGTAAGCCCTATCATGGATAGCCTTTAACTCCAAGTTAAACCTGTGCTTTTATGGATGACTTCTTGTCTCAATCTGCTAAGCCAGGACCACCAAGGTGTTCCAAATCTGTAGACAAGAATGGGGAATTGAGCTCATTTGATTGACACATCTGGTTTACCTGTAACAGTGTTTTGAGGAGAGCCACACCTCCAGCATGTTACAGATCCCACCACACCTATCAAAAACAGTTGGGATCCATCCATCCAGGTGTGAGTGGAACAAACCTTACACAAGTTACAGTCTGGTCTTGCACAGCTTGTACAAAATTGGTGTGTTTACCTTGTAATGTATACAAAACGAACAAACAAACAAACCTGCACCTGTGACATTAACTAATAAATATTCATAAGCACCAGAAGCCATGTACAACTACAAGACACATGTATGTTGTGAAATAACTTGTGCAAACAAACACACTCCCTCCATCTGACCTTGTTCATAATACCAGTTTATTTAGAAGAAAGAAAAGTTGCAACTCTGGAACACGAACTAACGAAAGAGCTTGTTACTCTTCGCTGATCCGACTTCCGCTAACTGTTATTGGACGGATGAGATTATTAATAACTCCACCCTTGGCCAAGGTTTCACCGGGATTGACTTTAAGGCCTCTTCCCTCCTTTTCAATTACTGCACTAATCCTTCTTTCTTCCCCTTGAAGGTAAGAGCAAGGTCTGGGGCGATAAGTTACTTCTGGAGGCAGCTGGCCTACCCCAGGCATTTTAATGGACTGACCTGATCACTGCACCCCTCCCCCTCATTAATAATGGTCCACTCCTAGCTATCCTAAAAATGGAAATTTAAACTGAGGTGTGAGACACCTGTGGGTCGTAAATTGTTTCAAGATGAGTATTTTTGGAGGATGACACAGTTTTGAAGTTAAACCAGGACAGCCATAAGAGAACCTTGATGTAAAAACATCATCAATATTGTTGGTTTTGTAAAAGTTTAAAAAGTTTCTTTCAACCCAAAGGAATTCATGAAATACATATGGAATATTCTGAGATAAGTCTATATGGCAGCATAACAGTAACTACATAATTATATTAATGTAATATTATCTAGGAGACACAGTTCTGGGTCTTTCAAACTGTTTTCTTTTACTGAATTTTTCTTTTACCTTCCAATCAAGATTTTATCATTTTGCAGTCTTCCAGCTTAGCAGTCAGCAGAAAGGCTTCATTTCGTTGTCTGAAATCACTTCAGCTACTATACTGAAAATTATTTATTATCGTGGGGACTTATTTTTGCGGTAGAAGGAGGAAAGGAGGTTTTCGCAGTGTTCAGAGTTTATAGTTAAAACGATTCTATAGTACAGTAGTAACACGTTAGAAAGGAATATTCACTGCATCCCACCATTTGCGGTGGAGAAGCTTCTACAAAATAAGACCACCGCAGATATTTTGAGACTTACAGTATACAGGGAGGTGACTACATCTGTGAGTTGTAAATTAGATCTTCAAGCCATTTCAGCGCTGCCCTACATAGTTCACAACAAATACCCAGCATGCCTTGTGGTTTCTGTGGAGCTTCGCGGCATGCGAGCAGCTCGTATGACAACTCGTGTCCTCGTTAAAACTTCGCCACATTTCTCCATCGGC